CCGTCTCATGCGGAGCTATCTCCTGGCCGCCAACATTTGTTTCCCCCCTTGATAGTTAAAAGACTATTTGGGGCCCATACAAAATTTTCTTTTGGTCTGGACAAACCACACCGGGGGTTACAAGCTACATTACTATACCCTTTCAAACGTGCTCAGCTACCTGCTGAATAGGCTACGGCAGTAGCGTCGGGACCCTCTCAGTCAATGTGTTAATTTCCAGAGCACCCAGATCCGAGCCAATGTCTTTTTATTCATTGTCCAACTTTTGGAAGCTGAACTGAAGTTGATATACTACGCATAAGGAAACTTGTTTTGCATTTTGCTTTTATAATTTTGGATAACTTTACCCTCTCCTGTAAGAATTACATACTTGTAAAATGGCAGGACTGCCAAAATAATATTACCATTGAAGTTGACATGCCAGGTATCAAGGCAAACCACAATACAGATTTGGGGCATGCAGTTATGAGTTTGTCCCAAGAAATTGAATTTACTAATTTTGATTAAGTACCAAATCTAGGTATTTATTTGATCTGATGTAGCTGAAAGGGAAGAATCTACATTCTACTTGACCAATCTTTTATCAAGAAAACTTTTAGTCCATTCAATGCAGACTGAAATCTGAGACCATCACCCAGCTACAGATTTTTTTTCATGATATTTGATAGGTTGATCTTATATTTAGGTTCTGATTAATAGCAAATAATGTTTTATAACTTGCAAGTGCATTTTTTAGGGTTTTAAACCGTGACTCCACCCTGGAGTTGACCATAAGCGGCTGAGCATGCAAATACATTTGTCTAATCCCCTTGGCTTGACTCAATTGTTGAGTCACAAATTATTTAGAAGTTTCGTATTCTAAATCATTTCAAAAACCTATTTTTACGACTTTTTCTTCAATGTGTTAATGAGGAAAAATATTTCCTTGCTGAACAATAAAGAAAAAAAAAACTTTTTTTAGAACAATTTATTTTTTTTCTAATAATTACAGTTGTTATTTGAATTTTCAAAAAAGAATTTTAAAAAAATATTTAAAAAACAATATATTTACAATAAAATTATATTTTGAAATTAATTTTTTTTCACTCCTTTCAATTGTTTTAAAGTAAAAAAGATTTAATTATTCTTAAAAAAGAAAGAATATAAATAAAATTTAATTTAATTAAAAATTTAAAAAAACTATTTACAATAAAAAAATATTAACAAATTTTTTTATTACTTGAATGATTTAAAATTTTTATTTTTGTTAAATTCTAAAAACATGTTGGAATGCATTCCCGGCTCGTCTTTGGACCCATGCAGTATGCTTACATCCAAATGGTCCCGGGCTTTGGTGATTTTGGAAAGCATATTATTATTGCACATTGTAGGAAAATAAAAATAAAAATTATAGTTTCTAAAAGCTGAGATACAGTTGATGAATTTTGTAAAAAAATATTTACCTGGATCATCCTGGCTTCCTTCCACTACATGAAAACGGAGGCAAAATTTAATTAGTCACATGTATATACTGCTTCAATAATTACGTACTTCATGAAAGTAAGTCAAAACAAAATTGGAGGCGCAAACTGACAAATCTTATTTTTAATTTAGAACATATTAAGGTGAGAACACACTAAGCAAATCTCTGCCAACGAAAGACAACCAATATATTGGGCCGAATGTTGGTTGCTACCACATTGGCCATCTCATCAAACCATGGGTTGAGTCCAAGGATTTGGCCATGTGGAAGTTGGCTCTAAAAACAAACAAAATTTGTAGATTTCTCAGCACTTCTAGTTTTGTTGTATGGTCTTGCAGATCCTCCTCTGGCCAGTGTGTCTGCTTTTTCGTTACCTAAAATTCCTTTGGGCCTTGGCACCCAAGATATCCATCAGGTTTTGTTTTCTGAGGTTTTGTAGATTTTGGATGCATTCACTGACTAATTTTGATGTGATTTTTTATATGTTAATGCTTTAATATTTACTTGGATATCAGATCTTATAAGGATTTTGTTACCAGTGAAACCTCTTTTAAGATTTTCTAGGGCACAAGCATTTATGTTATGTATTCTCCTTGAAAGACGAAGTGTACTTTCCTGATGAGTTGCATTGCTCATCTTGTACAAAAAACACCCGATCGAGTTCCTTTGTTTGTTTTGGAGTCATCTGGATACTATATCATTGTGTCTGAAGCTCTCCTGACTTCTTCATTTCCTTTATAAGATATTGTAAAGAATGTTTCCGGGATCATATAGTCAGTCCCCATTTCTAAGAATGGGTGCCAGATTTTGTTAATTGTGGTTGTGTGCCCAAATTGTTTAGTTCCTATCCTGTTTGATTGCTTTTGGAGCCTACATGAGCTTTTCCTTGTCTCTCCTTTTATAAATGTTTCCAGTGGAGGTAGCAGATTTTCTTCTACACTTGTAAGGGTTGTACTCATTGCACCTTTAATACACAGGTTTCTAATCTTTGTATGCTGCCTAGTGATTGAGTAGCTCTTTTTGTTGAGCTTTGGTCCACCAGATTAATGATCCATAGGTTATTTTGGATCTTGTTATTGCCATGTATATCTGGTTTTAATCCCCAAGATTTTGCCTAGGGTTCTTCTTGTGGTCATTGGCGATATTTTACTTTTTGCTGTGGTATGCTGCAGGTGAGGGTTCCAGGTTAACTTTTTATCAAAGATTAGTTTTTTAAATGCAGCATTTCATTATAGAAACGTAGGCCTTGTATTTCTGTTTTTTTTCTTGGTGAAAGCAATTAGGGTAGTTTTTGAGGGGTTTGCTTTAAGTCCCTGTTGTGAACACCTTTCACTAAATATGGAGGAACATTTAGTGCTCTTTGGGTGAGCTCTTTAAATGTTGAGTAGAATTTTCCCCTGATTAGTATGATAATATCATCTGCATAGTCTGATATAAATTCTATATGAGATCATACACTACCACATTCCACAGAGGAGGACAGAGTATTCCTCCTTGCGGACATCCTCTTGCCACCACTGCTTCTACTTTTTCGTGGAACATGGAGGCCTGCACTTTTCTGCCATTTAGCATTGGTTTTATCCATCTGCAGCAGGTTTTGTCAGTTTCTTGCTGTTTGAATGATGTAACCATTGCTTCAAAAGTTTAATCAAATGCTCCTCCAATGTGCAACAGGGTTCCTAATGCTATTTCTTGATTGTTCAGTGAATCCTCTAATGTATCGTTATTTGGTGTAGTGCTGATTCACAGGATTTTCCTTTCTGATAGGCATGTTGATATTTATGAAGGGGTTTTTCTTCTAGCGAGCTGCACCTTACATCTTTTCTTAACTAGCCTTTCAAGTACTTTGAGTAAAAAAGATGTTAGACTGATCTGTCTAAATGATTTTGCATCTGTGTAATTTTTCTGTGCAACCTTCGGAATAAAAACTACTTTTTCAGTTCTCCATGTGCTTGGTATGTCCCATTGCCAGTTGCCAGGCAGCTTCTGTATATTTTTACAAGTAGAGGGAATAATGTTATTTCACCCTTTTGTAGGAGTACTGGGTATGTCCTGTCTGTTCCTGGAGATTTGAATGGGCTGAAGTTGTCAATAGTCCATTCAATCTTTTCATAGGTGATTACTGTTTTGGCTATTTACCAATCTTCCCTGTTGGCTTTGACAAGTTCAGTTTTAAATCCATTACAGTTCGTGGTCCGATTGAGCAAATAACTTTTTTCAATTAATATTTATGAAAGGTATTGGTTGAGATAAAATTCAATGTCACGAGCGGGATTCGAACCCACGATTGTTCCTTATGTTCAGGTTGGCAGTAGTTTTTGATTTTGGAAAGTGAATACTTATTAGAAAATGTTTTCTTCCCCAGTAACTCGCTGTATTTCTCCCAGTTTGTGTTTTGGGTTTTTCTACTGGTTGCAAATGTCGGATCAGACTCAGAGCTCATAAGCGATTATACATTTTAGTTCATTTTTAATGCATGTTCTCGTGTTTTGTCGCATGCGGTCATATATATTTCTTCCCTTATCTCCCAGCCCTGCTACTCTACCTTTTACTAGCCAGGGTACATGGATAAGGGCTACATGTTCTCTTTGGCCACACGACAAAGCACTTTACTGTGCTGGCGGTTTGCTTGAAGCACCCTCAGCACAGTCTTTATCTTTACTGCTTTTTTTATTTAGATGGATGGTAGGCACTGTTGCCATGAGCCATTCCTTGGTGCTCTGGTTTTTGCATGTTATCAGGACAGTCCCTTTTTCAAAGTACCTATTCCTTAACTGAGCTTTTACAGCTCCAAACTCTGACCGGCTGGCTGTTAGTTTGTTCTTGCCCAGGTATTTGTCTGACACCACAGCCATTTTTAACAACACTGCTGTCGTTGGGTTAAATAATTAAGTTGGGGGGGGGAGCCCTGTTCTAAACTGTTTCTCTACACCTGGCCTGACTTCATTGTAAAGTTCACCCACATTGAATGTGTTAAGGATTATCAATGAACCATTAAACTTTGAATAAAACTAATATTGTTGGACATCTCAGTTGATGGGATTAAATTCTTTTAATTCATGTTATAAAAAATTAAATTCACTAATTTCATGATCCGCTTGACCAATTAATATATTACAATTAATTAAGGTTTTTAGTTGAGATAAAGTCAATGGCACGAGCAGGATTCGAACCCAGATCTTCTTCTAGATACGCCGTAGAATTTTCTCTCCTTTTTGCCATTTTTCAAATGTTGTGTAATCGGATCGGATTCTCGACGACAAATGAAATGGCCACTGAGAGCTTTAGTGAACTATACTTCATTTTAAATCAGGAGGGAAAATTCAAAAAGGTGGGGTTGAGATGGGAAGTGGTGCAGCGGCGTATCTAGCCGAAGATTGTGGATTCAAATCCCGCTCGTGCCATTGACTTTTTATCTCAACTAAAAACCTTAATTAATTGCTATAAAAAATATTCATTTACACATAGTCAAAGGTATGCGTTTATACATTTACCTTATAGTAAAAGAAATACACAGGGCAATATAAACAAGACCAAATAGGAAAGATGTACTGTTTTTTTAATTTACATTTATGTTGTAAATAAGTTAGATTATGCCATTTTTGTGGTTTTGCTCAAGTACCATGTTTACAATAAATAATGAATCAAGTGATCTAAGTAAAAAAATGAAAAGAGAAGAGAAGAAAAGCAAAATGCTAATCTTATGAATTTGCGTACCGATAAAACAAAAACAAGAATTTCCGCAAGTAATAATACATTTTTTGTTTCCACCAATTTGAAGAAACCATTGAACAAAAAACAATGAAACTATTCTTGTGTTAACAAGTTTAGAAACTGAAATTAATATTACACTATAATCAATACAAAATTAATAATAATAAAAATAAAAAAAAACATAAAATCCATTTTACCACCATCACAAATTTATTATAACATTGCGTTAATGAGAATATTTAGTTTATTGTTCAACTCAAAAGGTACAAATAAATAAATGTATATATTGCAGGCCTTTGAAAAATAATATATAAAAAATGAAGGAAAAATACAATAAACTTCTTTAAAAAGAAAACTGATCACATTTTTAAACTAACGTATTTTAAAAGTTACAACCAATTAATTTAGTTTATGTTGGGTTACATTGAAGTGTTCTTGGTTCAGTCAAGTATTCGTCACTTGTACTATTCCTGTATCCTTTAGATTGTTTCATTGCTTCTTCTTCAGGGATCATTTCAACCATGTTCACTTCCTCAGCGTTATCCGGAATAATTTGCTCAACCCTGTGTAAAGCATAAATATGTTAATAAAAAATGAAAAAGTTTTTAGTGGAAGGAGGAAAAAAGGGTGAGACGAACCTTCCTGGCAAGCAGGATTCTAACTTGGGCACTACCTCCGGAGGAAGATGTGAAGGGAAATTCACAAGAAATTGAATAATTAGACGTCCTTTTTCGAAAGGGTTTTTGTATTGAGGCATCCCCTCGCCAATGATGCACTTCAATTCCTTGTGCTTGATGACCTCGCCTTAAAAATAAATAATGTGTAATTTATATAATTAACATATTTGAACAATAAGTGAAAAATAATATTAATAAAAATTACCAGGAATAGAAGTAATAAGAAGATGTCTCCCGTCTAGTGTTCGTATAGTCTTCTGGAATCCGCACAGTGCCTCAACCAGTTCTAATTTCATCATCATAATTAAATCATTTCCAGATCGTCTATTGAAACAAAAATAAACAAATTAATATCAAAACAATCATTTATAGAAATGTTTAAATATAAATTAAATATGAACAAAGTTGCAACGAAAATTTGCTCACCCATATGGGACATCTTCTGGTACATAATGTCTAAAAATAAATAAAATGGCTGTCAATTGTATTTTAGCTCTTTTTCGAATAAATTGAGTCTTGCTTTCAACTTTTCCAAATCAAGGTTTTATTCGATTTGTTAAATAAAAACAGTCTTACATAAAAGTGAATTTTATTCCAAGCAAGATAAAAAGTAATTAATTAAGGATTTTAGTTGAAATAAAAAAGTCAAGTGGTAGAGTAGCGGCATATATATCTAGCCGAAGGTCGTGGGTTCGAATCCCGCACGTGACACTGACTTTTTTATCTCAACTAAAAACCTTAATTAATTGAAAGATATTAATTGGTCAAGGAGACCATGAAAACTAGTGAATGTAAAAAGTAATTTTAAAAAAGTGCAAAACAAACACCTAATAATTTCTTAATTTTTAACATAAATGTAAAATTAATTAATTAATTTTCTTTCCATGCAAGTTATTTAATACCAATGAAAATGAAGATTTGTTAGTCACTTGAAAAAATAAAATATATAAAAATACTGAAGAAATATTTTGTACATTTTACAGCCCCTTATTTTTTTTAACACAACTGGGCAGCAAGGGTTTTGTTTTGTTCAACAGTTTTATTTGCATTGAAAACAAAAGTATACAAAAAGGTTGTTATTCTAAAAAATGTCAAGATTTCTATGGTTTAAAAGCTTAAACTTCCTCAGGATTTTGTGGCAGATAAGAATATTAAAACCACGATAAATGTACCAGAGACCCCAGTATGAATATTAAATGAAAGATTACAATTCTCAATGGATGCTTCAACTCACTTAAAAATTGGATGTTCCTCTTCTTCTAAAATGATGACAATATCACCAGGCTCGAGATCAGGTTCTTGGTTGCCTTCTCCAGTGAAAACAACTTTCTGCTCATTGTGCATTCCTTTGTCAATGGGAAATTCAATTATCTTTTTCTGATGTATAACCTAGAGGAAAAACAAAATTAGGATTACATTTATTCAAGTTTTTATAATAGAAGATTTAATTTGAAATACTAACTTTCTTTCCTTTGCAAACTGTACAACAATCTTGAGGCTTAATAATTTTCCCTTCACCTCTACATTCCACACAGACGGACTGGATTTGTTGAATGATCCCTGCTCCGTACTGTTGTATTTGTACTTGCATTCCGGTACCGCCGCAGTTCCCGCAGTTTTGAATTGCGCCTTTCTTACCGCCCCTTCCTTCGCATTTCTCACAGATCACGTTCTTCCCGACCTGGACGTTCCTGACACCGCCGTTGTAAAGCTCTTCAAGGGTGACCGAAAGGGGGTAAACTATGTTCTTTCCCCTTCTCTCTCTCCTCCTGCTGCCGAATGATTTACCGAAGAAAATATCGTAAATGTCCATCGGGTTCGAAAACATGGAACCACCTCTTGATGCACCCTCCTTCAACGCTTGTTCTCCACCCTCATCATAAATCTGACGTTTCTCTGGTGTTGATAATACTTCATATGCTTGTGAAATCATTTTAAACTAAAAATTACAAATTATAATTAAAAACAACCAAAAAATTAAGATTTATAATTAACTTTTTTTTGTAAAAAGCAGTACCTTTTCTCCCTCATTTGGATTTTTGTCAGGGTGATATTTGAGAGCAAGCTTCCTATAAGCCTTTTTAAGTTCTTCCGTAGAGCAATTAGGCTTTACGCCCAAGATATCATAATAAGTTGTCTCTTTCACCATTTTAGTTGTTCAAAACTACAAAAGAAAACAAAAATATTAATATTTTATTATGCAATGCATATAAACTTCTTAACTATTATAGGTAACAAAAAAGAAAATGTTCGTATTTTAAAACAGGTATGTATGTATACTGAATATTCCTAAAACAAAAAAGTAAAACCTCAGATTGTATGTTTGAAATTTGTTTTAATACTGTTGTCATTTTCAGCCAGATATTGATTTTTAAAAATCAAAATTTTTAATGATTTTACTGTCTTGTAATTTTGTCTACCTATCCTTGTGGTTTCAGTGTGTCTGTCAAGACAGACCGAATGGTTGGTAATGACAAATTAACCAGATCACCCCATAGGCCACAAGAGGAAATCTCACGATGTAAATTAGTCTATATGATGGAGGTGGGGTGAGTATGTACACTCACTTTTTGCAAATTATGTATTACAAAGGTTAAATTAATCTAGCTGAATGATTGAATGTTGACCCAAAAATAACTATCCTTCTGCCTCCAATTGTGGGGAAGGGTTTACAGTTTATTATATTTCAAGCGCTCTTTATGATTTTACACTATGCCGCACTAAAATGAAACTATTGAGACGTGGAAGTTATAAAAGATATTATTTTGTGGTTTCAAACTGTTACAAAAAGAAGTGAACCATTTATAAAGTGTGTATTACAGTGACATGTGTAAGGAGAGTGAGGATGAATACACATATAGAGATGGAGATAGAGATGTTGAAGGAGAGCGAGAAAGAAAATACATGACCATCGTTTTTCATTTCAATGTCATCATCTGATAAATATATATTTTATTTATTTTTTTATTAATTCAGGTATACACTTTAAACGTGTGTGGTGTTTAGTGACTGTTAGTTAATGATTATTTGTAGATCGTGAGATGCGGTCTGGTGTGACGGGGGGCTCAAAGTGTTTGTTTTCTGTGTAGATGTGTCATTCTGGAGTGTCGTGTTGAGAGTGAAGATGATCTCAATAATGATCGAAACGTTGGCATGATAAAGAAAATGTTTTTTTAAAACCTATGTCACACCAGACCGCATCTCATGATCTCCAAATAATAATTTTAATTAACTTTAATTTCAAAAGTTGTACTAGCAAGATAACTGTTGTCATGTAAACGTTCATTATTGAACCTTCATACTGTTGGACTTTGGAGCATTAATTTTGTAAGTACCTTAAAATAATTTGTAAAACGATTCAACAATAAAAACCTACAGTTAACCTTTTTAAACCAACAATAATCATTATTCAGCCAAAAAAGAATGTTATTTTAAATGATCTTAGTGATCCTTCCAAAACTCTTTCTACTTAGAGTAATGTTCTATATGAAACGAAACAGCAGTTAAGTACGAAGGCAAACATTCTTAAAATAATATCATGGCGTTAAGAATTGTTAATATTCAAGAAAATGAAATGAAAGAAATCAAAATCAGGCATAATAGTTTTATTTAATTTAAATGTAATGAGTTAAATTATGAGAAAAATTAGCATAAAATTTCTTAGAAATAATTCTTGAAACAGAATAGTGATTCTAAAAGCACATAAAAGAATATGATGGTATGGTGGATACGAAAAACTGGAGTCCCAACTAAGCTCTATACAGCTTAATATACATGTTTATGAGCTCGCAACACGTGAATTAAGCCCCCGTGTGCCGCTTTTTCTTACATCAAAGAAACTCATTTTCGAACAGCACTGGGACCAAATACAGCGTCACCGAGATCCAATCCTGCCCCAGACCTTCCACACTGAGGAGTTTCGTGTCAATTTTCATTGCCGCCACCAGTCCCCTTAGGCATCGGACAAGAAGTCCAGAGGCAAAGGTGGGAATCTACTATAACCACTCACTACCATGGTCTCCACTAAGGGGTTTTAGACTTGAATTTATTACTTTAATGGATCTTTGTAATCCTTCCAAAACTTACTTGTTTGAGTAATGGTATATGTAAAACTGTACAGTTATGTATAAGTACGTAACTTATGTACAAGTACTTAACTTACGTACAAAAGCAATAGTACTTAAAATAGCCTGTTGTGAATTATTAAAACTAAAAAATTAAAGAAAAATCAGGCAAAATATTTTTATTTTTAAATGTAATGAGTTAAATTAACAGAAAAATCAGCATAAAATTTCTTAGAAAGACATTCTAAACAGAATGGTGGTTCTAAATGCACACAAAATAAATTTAATATAATTGGATATTCAGTTCAAAAAGGGTTTTAAACTTGGTTTTTTGTGGGGCACTGGTCGCAGCAATAGTTTGACATTCACATGGCACTCATAAGGTGGTATGGAAAAGGCCCGGGTTTGAATCCAGTTTCCCTACACATACATAAAAATGGGCTTTTTTCTCAAAAACACTGGCACCTTCAGTTCACATAGCCTCGTAGTTGAAATACCCTCATTAAAAATTTAAAAAATTAATTAAAATTATTATTTGATCCTTACAAAACTTAAATTAAGTTATTTTATATGTGACACTAGATGGTTTTTAAGTACAAAAGCAATAATATTTGAAATATCATGTTCAGAATTGTTACAACTCAAGACTTGAACAAAATCAGGCAAAATATTTTTATTTAATTTAAATGTAACAAGTTAAATTATGAGAAAAATCGGTTTGAAATTACTTAGGAAGTCATTCATGAAACAATGGTGTTTCTAAATGCACATAAAATATGTCTAATATAGTTTAGGGATGGATTTTTTTTTTTTTTTTTGCAGGGCATCGTAGCTTAAGCGTTGACACGGTGCTCATAAGGTCGTAAGGTAAAGGTCTCTTGTTCGAATCCAGCGTCCTTGCATTCAAACCAGACACCATGCAAATGTTTTTTTTTTAAAACAAAAATACAGATACCCTGAGGATACATATAACCCCATAATTGAAATACCCTCATTTCAAAAAAATAAGTAAATAAAAAAGTTTATTATTTTAAAGATTGATCCTTACAAAACTCTTACTTCTTAAAAACAAAAAAACCAGGTTTATTAATTTAAAGATTCTTTACTAAAGGTTTTTTCTTTCAAAAACCAACTGCAAGGATTCATATAACCTCATAATTGAAGCATATCACGTTAAAAAAAAATTAATTAAATTACAGGATCTTGTGATCCTTGCAAAACTACAAAAATTGTTTGAATACTGTCATATATGGAACTATATATTTAAGTACGAAGACAATAATATTTAAAAAGTAATATCTTTCTCAAAAGAAATTAAAAAAGGTTAATTACTTTAAAAGATCTTTGTGATGCTTACAAAACTATTACTTCTTTGAGTAATGTTATAAGTGAAACTACACGGTTTTAAGTACGAAGGCAATAATATTTAATAATAACAACTTTCTCATTAAAAATAGGTTTACTATTTTAAAGGATCTTTGTGATCCTTACAAAACTCTTACTTCGTTGAGTAATGTTATATGTGAAACTATATGGCTGTTAAGTACAAAGGCAAAAATCTTTAAAATGTCATAATGTGGGGGAAATTGGGAGGAAAATCACCATAGTTTCTTAGAAAGTCTTTCTTGAAATAGAAGAATGGTTGTGTTAAAAGCAGACAACACAAGTTTAGTATCTCGTGGCATTGGAAATTCAGCACGAAAGGGTTTAAAAACTAGGGTTTATTGTTTAAAAAGGTCCTTTGGGATCATTCCAACTCTGTATAATACGAGCCTTGGTCGATGCTGAACAATACAAAAAGAAATAGTTTCCTACGAGCTTCCACGCGATGCCCGAGACAAAAGGATAATTGAAGTTAATTTTGAATTGCTACATTCGTGTTTTTGACAGTCATTGTTTATAGATATCTGAACGCAAAGACGCAACGCGACAAAGCGTCTTTGCTAATTCAATCGTAAAATTTTTGCTAAGTCTAGTGCTACTTTTACTTTTTTTTGTTTCAGGAATATTCGACGTGTAATGGCAGGTCTGATGGGAACCATGGCGAATCGCTTTTTTGGTTATGTCCACCGAGTCCATTACAATTTGTTCACAACTATGCACGTCACTTGAAAAGAGAAAAATATACTTTTAACGCTCCAAATAAACTAATTTATATTTAAGATATTTTTTCTATTATAAGATGTATATGTCTAGTTTAAAAAATAAATAAAAATAAAATTATGGGGTACGTTCTTTTTATGATATTCTGAACAATAAAAGATTAATTTATACTTCAGAATATACAGGAATAAATAAATCCAAGTATGTATGAAATAGTATTAAGCTAGTACAATTATATTTTAATAAGAGAAAAGGGAAATAATTGAAAAAATGATGCAATAACTAGAAATTACTAAATTATTTCGTTTTTTCGAAAATCAGCTTACAACTTGACTAGAACAGTAATTAATTGGCAAGAGAAAAGACGCAAGAGTTGGGAAGAGACTTTCTTGACACGGACCGATGGGCTTAAGGGCAGACAAAAGAAGCCCTCGTGGTGTTGGAAATTAAGGCCAAAATGGGTAGAAATAAACTTGTTCAATACTCACTTGGTTTCGACTTAGAAAAAGAGACTAATTGCAATTTCAAATTGGACAAAGTTTCGAGAGGAACAGACTTATACGACTTGAAGTGCTTAACAATACTGAGCGGAACAGGATACGTCCTTCGGGTCCGTATAGGAATGGAACGTTCTAGAATATTCTCAAACCCTGTTTCTGCTTTATTGACTAGCGGCCGGAGGGATCTTCCTCGTCCCATCATGCCAGCCTGTTTCATATGACTCTTTCCAACCTTTCTAGTTATATTCTTAATATATTTCATAAGCATAAAAAACATGTGATTTATTTAAGATGACGTGACTTTATTTTTCTAATGTTTTGTCCAATTTTTATTATACATGAACATATTTCTGGCGGGAATCAACGCGGGGAGTTTAAATTTGAAACTCAATAAACCTTATTGCTAGACGTCCCAAACCCCCAAACGTAAAATTAAAAACTAAATCTAAAATTAAAAAACATTTATTGTGATCTCCACAGACATGTTTTCGCTATGAAACAAATGCCAGCCTCTTTTAAGAAAGTTTTGGATGAGACTGCAAATTATTAGTTACACCAAGTCCCAGCCATTGAAGTCAAGACTTTCTACAATATTATATGACAATATGGGAACCTTTCATCATTCCCTGCTTCTCTATATAGAAGTCAGATGGCTGCCTTACAGAAAGTACTTTTAAGATTACAGGAATTACGTTTTTTAGTTTTATCTTTGTTGATGGATCATAATGTCAAATTGGCCAATGTTTTCAATGATGTATATTGTCATTTATCAGATATTTTTGTGAAAACGAATGAGATGAGTCTTTCTTTGCAAGGGAAGATAATCACAACTTTTGACCTTGCAAACGCTGATTATGAAATAAGTGAACACCTTCGAAGTTTGGAGAGGTCTGTTGAGCATAAGCACTACTTCCCAACAGTTCGAGATAGAAAGACTTGGGTGATCGAACTGTATACAGTTTTGACAAAGCCAACCAGGCTTCAAGTGCATACAACTGTTTGATAGACATTACTTCAGACCCTACCTAGAAATCTACTTTCGAGCCCAATACTTACCCCCATTTTTGGCTCCATTGGAAAACAAAAAATTTCAACCTCTCGAAAAATCAAAACGTGTTCTTCCATTTGGCACAACTTACTTACGCAAAACAGGATTTTATACAGCCACCTTAACTAAACTAAAGCTGTCTAGATGCAGAACTAGATATCCATCTTCAGCATCAAAAATTAAAACCAACTTATCCAAATTGTGCAAGCTAAAACAACCTCACTCTTCCCATTAATTCATTAATTATTATTATTATTACTTTTACAATTGGCTCGAGTTTTACATACCTATTGATTCTGTTCTGTCCAATTTGATTTTTGTGTTCCGGATTTTATATACAAAGTTAAGTATGTATATCTAACGTTTGTTTGCATAGTGATTTCCCCCTCGATCACCTATTAGGAATGGACTGGATAATTTATAAAACTTTAATTTACGACATACTATAGATATATAATTTTAAATACTTCAATCAGAGGGTCCGCCCTGGATTTTGTTCTGTGAAAGGGGTCTGCTGGCTAAAAAGTTTGAGAAGTCCTGCCTTAATGCATTAAACCAAATTTTCAATTGATCAAATTATTAAATTGATAGAACACAATTATTAATTGATTCTGATTTATTAAGCTCATCTCTGCACGCAAATGTACATGCATACAAACGTGTACAGCAACAGAGCAGAGTCTATCATTTTCCGCAGTCCATCAGCAATTTTAGCTTTTGTAATTTACAAAAAAAATTCCGACAGGCTATGAGAATAACTCTCATTGGGTGTTGGTAGTCTGAGGTCAAACCTCGGTTTTATCCGTCCAGCCACTGGGGACGAGGATGAACTCCAGGGGCTATTAACACTAGATCATTTCAGTCCCAATGCAGAGGATAAGCGGATTGGACCAATGGATTGTAAACCGTGACCCCATTCAACCAATATTTGTAGCCTGGTTTGGCCAACGAATGAGTAGATTACTGAGCCCATTTGGACCCAGCAACAGATGACAAACACAGATGATAAATCAAATGACAGCTCAGTTTTCAGGTTTGATGAAATTTAATGAAACAATAAACATGTAAATACTAAAAATACAGTTTCTTCACACATTCTGCGTTGTGAACAATGAATTATTTTCATAACAATAATTTGTTGGTCATCTTCTTCAGGGTTCAGCTGATGTTCTGAAAGTTTACTGAGGTACTCCATCACATTGCGGTATGTTATGTTTCCTTTAAAATTAAACTTACTCCAGGTTGTGTTAAAAAAATCAACCAATTCACGAGCATCTTTTCATCGGGTTTTCAGAAACTTTTTTAATGCTTATGAATTTCATATTAGATTCAGCTTGGATTTGTTTGATAACAGTAATTACAATATGAACAGTCGGATGGGGTGAGTAGAATTGACAGTTGTAGTCTGCGTAAAATGATTCTGCAATATTTGTAGTTCATATGTTTGTATTCAGTGGGGTTGACGCCTATATTTGTGGGGAAATGTGCAGTCATCTGCTATGTAATTCGTGAGGGCATAGTAGCTGAATTCCATCACTTTTACAGGTGCATCGGCCATCAATGATGTGAACACATACACCAGGGCGCTACGCTCAGCCCCTTTTCGACTCACAGTTGGTCCAGCTGGGAATTCCCCCAACACAATCTCTTTTTAGATTCAGACCCACTCTCTGAAATACATTCTTTCTTATTTACATACCATTCACTCAGTTAGGGTGTTGGAGTATTTGATATTCCTTCACCCATATTATATGACTAATATAATTGAGGTCAATGGGGTACTCAATTCTCACGCCAATAAATTCATTCACAAGCAAAGAAAGAAAATAGACCAAAATGTATGGCAATGTGCGACCTATCAAAGGCATTCGACAGTTATACGTTCTGTTTTATTAAACAAATTGTATTATAATGGTATAGGTGGAACTTTGTTGAATTTTTGTGAAAAATTCATGGCAAATAGTAAGTAAGTAGTTGCTTTTAATAGAATGAACTCAATTCAGGGTTTAGTGGAATTAAGAATTACGTAAGGATCTATCTTTTTGTTATTTACTTTCAACAAATACATATACTATTAATAAAGACAATTTTGTTAGCCATAGCTACTTTTTATGCAACTGTGCTATTGATGTATTGAAATCAGAAATCTTAGATTATTTCAGGGCAATTTTTGTTAATTTTATGATAAGTAAAATTTATGGTTTATACATAAAATTAAATTGACAAGACAAAATTAATTTCATATGTAAAAAATCAACATCATTATGCTATAATCATGCTATTAATGCTTAACGGTGTTATAATCTTATCATTCTGAGGATAGTTACTCTGAATAAATATTTAACACAGATGTGAAGTAGGGGTGCAAATTGAGTCTCTACACCTATTTAATATATTTATTACTGATCTGTCAATCTATTTGAAAGGTGAGATTACTCTATATGACAAAAAATACATATATATCTTGATAATATTGTTGTTATTAGATAATGCCTTAATTTTACAAAGTAAGATTTCAAGACTAAAGAATTATAATGATAGCAGGAACTTAAATATAGTTCTAAAACAAAGAACAGGAAATTCAGAAACACACTACTGTGTTCAAGAACCATTCTTACATCTGGTGACATGCCTACATGCTCTTTATAAAGAGCGAAAGCATGACAAGCTTCTAGTAAGTGGGACACATATAGCAACCTTTTTCTGTATAAGGGGCATCTGATAATGCATATTTATGCTTGATTTCATGTAAGTGAAGAAATATTTATTTTGGATATGTTACCAAGCATGAATATGATGTGTACCACGTATAGACCTAAATTATATTTGTTTTTTGCCCCTTGCTGCCCAAATAATTTCCTTGTTCAATTGCAAAAGATATACTTCTTTTAAGTATGATGTATAAAGTAAAATGTAAATTTTACTTTATACTTTTAATATACTTATATTTACTAAAAAAGTAAATTTTAAGTATGACATACATTATACAAAGTATTGCAACGATATGTTGGAAATGATTTACATAATGTTATTATATTGAAGTCAGATAGATCTTGCTCTGGGTTTATCTCTCCTGTTCTCAGAGCCCATAAAAAAGTAATACTTCATATGAAAAGTAGATATTCTGAATATATGGTTTTATTGAGGATACATTTCAGGGGCCATAATTTATTAACAATATTAATGATTATTTGGAGGACACCCCCTTATTTCTGATATATCTCTCAAAAACATACACCTGCTTGGAACTTCGCATAATAGAGTATTAGGGCAAAGAAAAATTTATTAATTGAAATATGTTTTAAAAAATGTTAGAATATTACATTATTGTAGCAAATAAGCTTCCACCATATTTTTTGTTATGTACTGTTTTTAGAACTGACTGTCCAATTATTTTTAACCTAATCAATATTTTCTTGACTGTCTATTGGATATAAACTGTATTAATCAAATGAATCACCTTGCCACCCATCATTAAAATTAACTGTTAATAATCACACTTGACTAGTGATTGAATACTTGGTATTGTGATTTTTAACTAAAGAACTGCATACTTTGATTTTAATTATTAATAATTCGTGAATTAGAATATGGCTAATTGGAATATGTTTAGTACACTAATACAGCTGTTATTTAACAGTAAAATTTTGAAAAATAAAAATATGTATGGTAAAACCAAAATATAGGCAATTATAATTTAACATAATTAAAATAATTATTTATTTATATTATTACTTACCTTACTCTGATGACAGTATCTCACCATTGATGATGGCGAAAGGCCGATATGCATATGACAAACACAATTAAAGAAAATAGGCAGACCAAAATGATCGGTAACAGCTGAATTATAGTTATAGACTGTTACCAGATCTATTTTATTCAATTTTCAAAATCATTTCTATTCATTCATAGCAGTTACTAAATTTGAATTATTTATAACTTTTTATGAGATATAAAACAATTATTAGATATCTTCACTATACAGTCGCAACAAAGCTTTTTCTATAGTTTGGTCTTTTCTAATAACTTTGGTCTGGTTGATGACTATTGTTACTGTTTTGTCTATAACACTATTCCACCGATGATGATGGCAAAACGGTGGAACAGGTCTGACATGCAAACCAACAAGGATGAGCAGATCAAAATGATCAGAAACGACCAAGCTACAGGTTCATTGCTCTTCGAAAAGAAATCTCGATATCGTCATTTTTTCTTTTCACTTTTGAAGATTTTTTTTAACAAGTATCATATGCTACTTAAGAATTTTTTAAAATCTGTAATTGTACTTGAGAAATTGGGATAATAAAAAAATTGTCTAATTTTCATCATTTCAGCTAAAACTAACTTTTTCATCTCAACCAAGAATAATTTATTACAAGTGTAGTTTGTGGCACCACCAAGCACATACTGTATTATCAAGGATAATTGTATAACTCCTGCTTGTACATTTTTCCTAAATTATTTTTCTTTCTATAAAAATAAGCATTAATTATTTTAGTCATACAGTTATTATTCAATGACTGTATTATACAAATTAACATTAATCATTCAAAAATTTAACTTTTATGTAATAAATTAACATTGATTAACCAAGTGCAGCATTACTTTTATATACACCTGATATCAATTATTCACAAAAAAAACCACTTTTGCATAACACGACATAAATTATTTATAGATAATGAATTTGAATGGGTAAAAAAAGAAATAAATGAACACAATGTATTATATTTGAACTGAACTGTATAATGTAAAGCCATATCACCATTTACATACATATTTGGTATAAAATATCACAACATCGAAACACTGGTATTCACCAAACAGGTACAAATAATGGAAAAAGTTACAAATGTTGTAATTAAGAAAACAAGAATTATTAACTAAAATCCTTAAATACACACAAAACCAACTAAAAGTTGCCCTTCAATAAAGAAGAATGGAAAAATAGAATGTTATAGTAGAAAACCAAAAAGAAAATAAGATACAATTACTGACCCTTGTACAAAACAATAAATTATTTAAATACCAACTAAACATATGTAAATACCAAAACAAAAAATTAGTGTATAACAAGATTTGTGTATGGTGTTACATATAGAACAAATAATATTAAATTATATTGTCATTAAAACAAAAACAATAACAAAAAAAAACAAATGCCTGGATAAATGCATGTCAATGTGATTCTCAATACATTTAATTTCTTTAGAAAGAAGCTTTGTCTCTTAAGCCTAAATAATAAAAAACCAAAAAACAGAAAGTATAAAGAATATACTCTTCACTTTAGTACTTAAATTCTAGTTGGATAAATGTTCTCAACTTTAAAGTACTTTAATCCTCGAGGGGAAAAAAAGAAAAAAAAACTATGTCTTCTAAATGAAACTCTTCCAGCGTGTTCAATTTAAATGAAAAGCAATGATAAAAATGTAGCCACATTAAGTTTTTAAAAAATATAAATAATTAATTTCTATTTTTGTTAAAGTATTTACCTGTAAATACTAGAATAAATGCACCATTGTGATATATAAAGAAAACTAATGCTATTTAAATTGTGATAATGTAAAATGTCTTTTACACGCAATAAAAAAAACGAAATTTTTTTTTTATCCGTAAGCTTTTGAAAGATAGTTTTGCTAAACTAAAGTAAATGAATTTGTGATAAGTCCTTAGATTATTAGTTTACAAAAATATTTATCGCGAAAAATTGCAAAAATAATTTGCCCAAACTTTGGTGTTAACATTTCTTTCTTAGCCTTAACGATTTGCATTTATTTAAATTTCGAAGGCAAATTTATTTTAGAATAATAAAATTCAATATGGGACTTTTGATTAGAGATCAATCGCCCCGCATACATTATTATAATTTTTCAACATAAAACGTTATGTCTTAAAAGGCTCAGCAGTTTTTATAACCATGTGAAGCCAATTAAAAATATAATCTACTAGTTCATCAAACTTCGTAAGAAAACAATTGAACCTAATTTGCAAATGCTTTTTGTGTTGTTTACTATCTTTCTTATAGCTCAAAAGCATGTTTGAATCGGGATTAAAAGCAGGCCGCTTAATTATAGGCCCTGGCTGGAAGCTTTTAACTTATTCAATTGTGATTCTAAATCCTCTATCCTCTTGTCACGATTTGCCAACTGCTTTCTCAACTGAAGAACTTCATCATAGAGCCGATCATAAGCTCTCTGCAACTGTTAAACATTTATATTTTTATAAATATATTTCTGTAGGAGTTGGTTTATAATGTTAAAATTTATTATAAAACCAAGTTGTTTGTTTTAAATGTATTGTATTGTATGTGATTTATTTGAATAAAAATAAAAAAAACAAATTGTAAGTTTAATAAGACTTCTTGTCTGACTTTTTTTTTGTAGCCTATAGTTTTACATATATTTATGTTTTTTGCAGGCAACCTCAAATTTCCTTGAAGGCTGACTCAGTCCTAACATTGCTAAGGATGTCGAAAGCTTGGCAGTAACAACTGAATTTGCCCCTTTTTAAAAAAGGATTGAACTCCACACTCACCCCATAATTTATAATTTCTACTGAATTTGCTTTCTTTTTCAAGGCCATATTTTGACCCAGAACGTTTGTGAGTGAAAAAGTGGCCAATATTTCTTACACTGAAAACAGCAACTTTATTACGAAGATATGCAATTTTGGTCTTTCCTATTATTAATGCGTACATGTTTAGCAGTCATAATTAACCATAACAATTAGTTCAATTAATTATTCTTTTTCACTAAGGTCTTGGCTAAGATGAAAAAGTCAGTGTCACACAATGAAAATGAATAATTAATATGGTCAATTATGACCACTAAACATGTATGTATGTTCCCCATGGCCATTTGTCACACAAGTCGCTGAATCAAATCCTAATACACAACATTTGAAAAATGGCAAAAAGAGGGAAAATTCGAATTGTAGGTTACTACTGACCAGTTCACATCTCCACTATTTGTCCTTATAATTTTTCTACCAAGCAATTTTAGGATTTTACTGTGGTCATTAGAGGCAGAAAACGTGTTAAATTGATTCTTAAGTAAGAAATAATTACAATTAATTAAAGTTTTTAGTTGAGATAAAAAAGTCAATGGCACGAGCGGGTCTCGAACCCATGATCTTCGGCTTGATACGCCGCTGCTCTACCATTTGAGCTATCGTGACCTCGATCCACTTGGACACCAACCTGGTGGTCCAAAAGGTGCGGTTGAGATAGGAAGTTGGTGTCCGAGTGGATCGAGGTCACGATAGCTCAAGTGGTAGAGCAGCGGCATATCAAGCCGAAGATCGTGGGTTCGCTTGTGCCATTGACTTTTTTGTCTCAACTAAAACCCTTAATTAATTGTAATATTAATTGGTCAAGTGGGCCACGAAATTAGTGAATGTAAGAAATAATATGAAGTCTACTTCTTAAAAATTGAAAAGTTAATTAAACAATGAGAGCACACTTGGCACTCAACACGACAGACAAGAATGACACATCTACACGGAAAACAAACATTTTGAGTCCTGAAGAGGATCTCAATATAGATCGAAATGTTGGCATGATAAAGAAAATGTTTTTCTAAAACCTACATCACACCAGACCGTATCTCACGACCTACAAATAATCAATAATAAAATTGAAACTACTGCATCAAAATTGATAATTTTATGCTCAACAACAAAATTTTATTATTTGATTAAACATAAAAATAGTCAAACAATTATTTTATTTATAAGATGCTGATTAGACGAGACATTCTTCTGGGCTGAGCTACTTATGAACCAACAAGGCTATTTAAATTTAAAAGGTGGTGAGACACAAGTTTTTATGTGCAACTTTATGTGCACCCTAACCATCCCTAAATGAGGGTTCGCAACAGCAGAGGTCATATAAACGCTCAGGGTGCCGGTGTTTTTGAAAACAAAAAACCCATTTGTAAGCATGTCGGGTAAGAATGCTGAGCCGCTGGATTCGAACCTAGGACCTTTACCGTACAGTGATGAGCGCCGTGTCAACGCCTAAACCATTGTGGTAACTGACAACCCTTTTTATTCTTATCATATTTTAACTATTGTCAATTATTTTTTTTTTTTTAAGTTTCCATTATTACTTTATTATTCAAATCAAGTTCATAAGTGCAAGATAATTTTTTTCATTATTCCTGTATCTTTCTTTTCTTTAAAAAAAAATTCATATTTTTAATCCAATAATTTTTTTTAAATTGTACACTCAATCTCAGCTCTCTCTCTCTCCTTCTATTTTTAAATCAAATTTTAAGAACTTTTTATGTATGAATTAACTATTAATTAAATTATTCACTATATTGTTTTCATTTTTTTGTTATTGTTTAACTCACCTGATTCTGACTCTTGGGCGACATTTCCACATCGATTTCGTTGTTTTTATTGTTCATTTTTTCATCACTGAAAATTGTCTTTCCAAATTTTCTCTGAATCTGTTGGAACTTTGTGCATTGATTTGTCGATGTTTTTACATTCTTTTCATTTTCTATACTCGTCTGAAAAAAAGGAAACAATTTTTTAAAATTAAAACAGTTGTATATGTTTATTTTTAACTAAAGACAATAAATAAATAAATAAATAAATAAAAGAAAAATTGACGCAAACCAAGCAAAAATGATTTTATTACCTTGTTAATGTTAATATTTTTTCATTTCTGGTGAATTTTCAATGACAAAATGACTTCTTGTGTCACATTGAAAGGTACTAAACACCTCTCCATTTAGAAACAAGAATATCATTTTTGTTTTTTTATATTTGGAAGATGCAGAATAAGAAACTTGCAGTTTGAAAAAGCATGCAAAATTGATTCTTCTGAACGACAGTGATTTCACTTCATGCGAACAAACAGTCAATTCTACATCTGTACTTGTGCTCATAAACGAGGAAAGGAGGAAGAAAAACAAGAGCGAGAAAGTGAAGCGAGAGAGATGAAAAATGAAAACAAAAAAATTATATTTCAAAATTAAATGCATCTTATATAATATATGTACAATATGGTAACGATAAGTACTTTTTTTTAAGAGATCAGTTACTATTTAGTGAATAAATTTGTTTGTAGTAATTTATTGATTTATTAAAACATAACCGATGCAATACCATGATAGGTGGGCTGGTTTGTATATAGTGCGTAGGAATCGTGTTCTGCACAACATCAGGAACAAGTGGCATTTCACGTTGCTAAACAATACACAAACAAAAACAACATTACATAAAGCATTTATAACTAAAATTAATTTTGATATGTTAAATGTTTAAGGAAAATTATTTAAAATCAGCCTTCAATAACAAGTTTTATACGGTGCCATGCCAACAAATTTAACATTTTTAGCAGTTGTTTTATTTTGAGTTATATTAAATAATTTACAAAACCCTTTGAACATTTTCTAAATTTATCTCTTCCACTGAAAAGTTTTCTTTCTTTTTAATATATTTAATTCTGACTTTTTGACTTTCATTTAGGGTCATTTCTAGAATAATTAATTAAATCTTAAAGTAAATTAATTAAATATCAACAAAATTTAGTTTTTGTTTTACTGAAGAATAGATTCCTAAAACAATATTATTTTTTCATAAAATGAGAGTAACGGTCGCCCATAAATTTGGCCATTCTTAACAAAAAGCTTGGTTTTTCATTAAAGTTAATACAAATAATGGTGATGAATTTTTTTTTAAATTTTTAAGCAACTGACTTACATCCAAAGGTCGATAATCAGGTGTAGTGCATTTGCTCAAAAATGCAAATTTCATTTGGTACTTATTATTAGAACCTGTTGTAATCCCGTTATTTATTTTCGGCTTATGAGTTCTTATTCCTGCCCCTGAAATTACACACACATTAGCAAATTAAATATTTTGTTTGTTTTCGTGTATTTTACCGATTTTCATTGACATCAGCTGTGGTGGCCTGTTGATACCGTTGACCCAATCAGAGGCAGACACTGCCGGCATGGGTGCCGCTGTATCCGGATACAAATCATCTTGAAACTGATCACTCTGTACAAAAAAAATACACCACTATTTATCTAAAAAAATTAATTTTGCAATAATAATGCTTACCTTTCGCGGAACTATCATTGAGATCGGTTCACATAATGCTTTGGTTGTATGCAGCTTATAAAATCTAAATATTTCACATTTGCTTATATCACATCCTCTCTTTGGCATAAAACCCAGGCTTCTCTAAATGTACAAAATAAATTAACATACAAAACCAAACATAATTTGTTTTTAAACAATGAATAATAAAAATCAATTTTATTCTAATGCACTAAAAAAATTCAAAAAATGAACTATTTCTATCATAATATACATTTATATAATTCAAGAATATATGTACAAAATAAATACCTGAGGTAATCCTGACAAGAACTGATTAAGGAAATGAACCCATGGTGATGAGTCAACGATCTCATAGTAACGAATATTTCCATCCCCCTGAAATAAATTTATTATTAAATTGATTCCCCTTAATTATTTTTTTTTTTTTTTAAATTGTATAAGACCTTTCCAGCTAGGAAGAGTATATTGGTGTCATAGTCAAAATACGGCAATATAACACCTGAGGAGGAATCGATAACTTCATTCGTAAGCGGTGAGGTGAGCGAGTTCTCGTGCCAAATCGCCAATTGTCTATCGCTGTGGCGAGAAAATCCAACAGTTGCCAAAAGTCCATTCTTAAGGTAAACAACTTTACTACTACGACTACTACCATTGTGGCAAAGACCCTCCTATAAAACAATGTTTAATTTTAAAAAAATTACAAGTATATAGAATATTAAAACTTACCGAGATCACTAGACCTGTCCTCGGATCGATAACCCTTAACTTTTTATCTTTACAAGTTGTAGCAAACCTTGAACCGTCCCTGTTGAAAGAGAGACTTTGGACAACATCCTGGTGGCAATCTATAACATTGAGAGCCTCACCTTTGCCTACGTCCCAAAAGATGACCTGAAATACAAAATGTTTAATCAATAGGGGAAAAAAAACCTAGTTGTAAAGATTTAGCATCACACTATATGAAGTGATTGTATTGAAATGTTTTGTGAAAATGCATCAATGATTTTTATACATATAAAAAGAGTAGTTCATGTGGAACATTTGGCTTACAAGGTAGTCAAATCCGACACTGGCGATGACATCCTCTGCAGTCGGATGCCACTCAATGTACCCGACCCTTCTTTTGTGCCCATGCAAATCGACTAACCATTCAGTCAAATTCCCATCTAAGCCGCCTTCTGGTATATACCATACTTTTATCTACAAACAAGGTAGAAAGATACAATTGTCAATAAAGAATTTATACCCCAATGAGGATTAAAACATTTTATAACATCAAATAACATTAATAAAGAAAATTCTTTGCTTAAAAAAATAAAAATTCATTTGAAAGTCAAATTTTTCTTTGTATAGAATAAATTAGTAGGTATAAAAAGTTTTAATTTGTCACCAATTTTACATATTATTTTTTATCTGAGCCCATTTTCTTTCACTACTATTTCTATTTGTATCAATAATTACATATCTATTTATATAATTTAGTAATATTATTTATTAAATAACATTAGTACAATATCCTTAACAAGAAATTCAATATTCTCTAGATAAAAAGACAAGACTAAAAATTTTTCAAATTAACAACTGGATTTTGTTCATCATTGCCATAGAAATGATGCAAACAGAAAAAAAGGTGTGAGAAGTTACGTGAAATGTAAAAACATTTGTAAGAAATTGTGCAATACCTGAAAAACTATTTGTGAGAAGTTTGTAAAACAAGGAAAAAGCTATGAAAATTTGATTGAAATGATAAACTGATCATTAGAAACTGATAAAATGAAAAATAACTGTTGATTTTAAAGCTATGTAAAATTAGAATAGCTATTTGAAAGTGTGGCAAAATGAGGGAAAATCCAAAAGGTTGTAGGTTGAGATGAGGAGTGGGTGTTTGAGTGGATTGAAGTCATGATAGCTCAAGTGGTTAAAATATCGATGTATTGAGCCTCAGGTCGTGGGTTCGAATCCTGCTTGTGACACTAACTTTTTCATCTCAACCAAGACCTTATATATAAAGTATAATTAATTGCAATTAGAAAAGCAGTTGTTAGTATTTTTATAAAACCAGAACAAGACTTTATTGAAACATGCATAAAATATGGAAATAGTTTGTGAGATTTACATAAGATTAGATAAGCAATTGTGAGGGAATGCACAAAGCTTGAAAATAAGTTTATGAAAAGCTCGAAAGACAATGAAAGTGGTTCTGAGAAATTACATAAGATTAGAAAAGCATTTGTGAGAAATGGTTTAAAAATAGAATAGAGAAATGGAACCCTAATTTATATGCAACAAAAATCCTCAAATATGCCATATAATTTGCAATATCAGCTAAAAATATGAAATTACTCAGCATGAATATCAGAGACTTCACCCAATAGATAGACAATAGATAACTTTTTTAACCTAGACATATATTTTCTCTTTGGTCTAGAGCATATTCATTTGGAAAGGGAATAAGACAGAAAAATCTGCCACGCATAAAATCATATAATTTAAAATTTTAAAAATAAGTTTTTGATCTGAATTAAAACACATTGATATTATTTCAAAGTTAGTTACAGTGTTTATCGCTCATCAAATATTTGTAACTTGAAAAAGACTTCAATGTCGACAGAAATGATGGGAGTATACTTGTAGGAACTTAAAATAACAGGATTGTCGATTCTCTGTACAACAACTTTACTGTTTCCATTTAATATTTTATTAATTTTCCCCAATTCAGTCAATCCTGTGTTTTTGTCAAGCATTTTTCTAATTTCTGTTTTGCGAAAGGAAAAATCCAACTTGTTATTTTAGAAGTTGAGCTCCCACTTTTAGCATTTTTTAGGTATACTAGGTTGAAAATATGAAAGAGAACTGAAAATGACTATTTTGGTGTTTTAAATGAGGTCTTTTTCCACAACTTCATAAAAATTAATTTTTCAGAAAAGCAAAAAAACTACACCTAGAAGTTTTGAAAACAGGGCCTCAAAAAGGTACTGATTATTTCAAAACAATCCTATTGTCAGATTGCTTACGTCTTTGCTCTTGGCAAGTGAACTGAAATGCGAATCAAAGTTTAGATTTTTTTTCTACTCATGTTCTTAGTTGCTTCATTTATTTTTATGCAATAAAATTTTTTTAAAAATTTGCAATAGCCTTCAAATAATATTCATCAAAATAAGCGGAATAAAATTTAAATCACTGTACTATGGAGATATGGTTTTGATAAATATCTGATCACCATGGACATAAGTTTTAGCAATACAAATATGCAATTGAGTACAAATCTGAGCTCTAATCAAAAATGAAAAAAAAAAAAAAAAATAGGTTGTGAGTAGTACAAAACTAGGAAAAAAGTTAAAAGAATATAATCAGTATTAAATTAAACTAACAAGTAAATCTTATAAAATTATATTTCTTTAGATATTGGTTCTAAAGTAATGTCTATTTTAGACAAACAATGTATAACAGTAAACAGTAATACAAAAAAATTACATTTTGTGGTAGTTCTAGTGCAAATTATCAATTTGAAAAAATTTACAAAATGGTAGATATATTCTTATAGTATCAAAGCAATTTTAATCAACTTACGGTACAATCATCACTGCATGATGCAATAACATTATCATCAAAAGGGTTCCACTTAATGTCCAAAACTGGCCCTGAATGCCCTGTCACTTTGTACGAGTTTGGATCAACTCGTCCTGTCTGTAAATGAGGTTAAATTTAAAAAAATTAAACAGTCACCATAAGTATTTTATTTGTGATAGTGGTTTTTTAATTATATTTTGTTCAAAATTTGTCTACTCTAATACAAAATATTATTTCTTTAATTAATAGTGTATTCTGATTATAATTTTAAAAGGATATACGTTCATTATTTCTCTTTGGCAGTTGTTTCACCATTTTGCACTTGCTTTTTGTATATTGCTTATAAAGAAAAATATAAATGTGCAACATTGGTGTGTGTCACTGGTTGGAAAGTATACACAAAATCCGGATTCCTGCTTGCTGCTTACAACCAGTTTGTGGGTATAACAATCCTTTCCAACCAGCGAATTGATTATACTCACCCCACCTCAATTATTTCTATTGATGAGCGTAACCTGTGGCTTCAACACTATGGTCTATTCTTGGCGGTTAACTTGCAAGCAGCAAATTCATAAATGGAGACAACTGACAACATAACAGGCTGCAAATTGTGTCCTTTTATAAGTTTTGTAAAATGTAAAAAAAATTAGATTTGTAAGATTTTTTTTTTAATTTTGGTTTTCCCATTATCTATGTGCTGCGATGTGTACTGCTAAGTTGGTCAAAGATGAAGCCCAGGGGCCATTGATCAACGCAGAGATTGGGAAGAGAACGCAACCTTTAGATTTTTTTTTGTTTTTGTTATTTTAAATTGGCTATCTCCATACTGAGGACGCTGATGAAAACCTGTACCTTTGGTCTATGGGGTGATACCTTTAATTTGATTCTTACCGATAAATCTTTGTCTACCTACCCTAGCTGGGTTGGTATGTCAGACACATTTCAGCATTTCTTCAGTATGTTGACAGGCCAATCCATAGTAGGCAGACCAAGATGGCCAAAAATGTAATATTGAGCAATTCCATGATCCAAGAGAATCAAACTTTAACCAAAAAATATATATATATACTCACTGATCCGATGGGCAGTACAAGGAATGCACCTCCTCCAGCAACTTCTGTAACGACTGCAATAAACTTTGGATTGACAGCACAGAAGTGCGAATCATGAGCGTTCTTCGTTATATTGATGTTATCGTAGCACTGCTCCCTTTTCAACGGCTGTCCGTATACATGGCGGAACTTTGAGCTACGCACGCCCCGGAACCAAAGCTGGAATTACAATACGAAATGATTGAAACTGAATCAAAACACGCATTTCGGACAACAAATCTGAAAATATTTTACCTGCGTGTTTGTCATGTTTTTATAGCAAATTCCCTTAACAAAAAACCCCGAATAGTTTGTAATGCAAAACTTAAAATTTCATTCAACTGTGCAATTGAAAAGGAACGTATGTGATAAGTAGAATAATCTAATCTAGTGCTACTTGTGAATTATCTCTAAAGCCGACTTTTTATTTTTTTTTTTATTTTGCTTTTGTTCTAATTGATTATTGGACACAACAGTCTATTTACAATGACTGGCTGACTGAAATACAAAATCAACAAGTTTCCTCAGAGCAGTAGGGAGAAAAGGAAAAACAATGCAGCCCGATGTAGGAAGATTGGATAACTGTTATGGTCCGATAATTTGCAGCTAATTAACAAAGCGAGTTGATACACTGAATCCAATTTTATACGGTTCAGCCACTTTAAATGTTACGCATCAGGTAAAATGCCTTTCTCGCAGACAGAGAGATAAAAAAATAATACAAAGCATAACTCTCATCGTAATTACATCCACACACAAAAAAATTAAAGGAATGACTTCCGGTCCTGTTCAAAGTATTCATAGTCAAAGTTCCGATCCTGACTTAAATCTTGACTTCAAAAATCATATCTAGTACTTTAATTTTTTTTAAAGAAACGCAGTTTTACTTGCATTACAGGAATAAACACGGTACCCTCCAGGGTATTCAGAGAATAAATTTTGCGGAGAAAAGAAAAGTGTCAAAATACATTGCTGAACACTTACCAGAGAATCGTTAGCGCCCTGGGAAGTACCGAGCCTCATTTTGTGTCTCCTTCACGCATAAATATGTTAAAATTCGGCCAAATCCCAACTGTTTAAGTAAAAAGTTCTACATTTTAGTTTTTGCTCAGAGGATCAGTGTCGTACTGTAATTACAACTCGGTATTGTCTGTTGTTGCGTTTATGCAGCGATGAAGATTGAAGAATAGAGATTCGATTCTTTTGGATCGATCCTCCTAAAGGTCATTGGAAAGGTCGTCAACAAAGAAGTAGCATACAACGACCCGGAATCGACCGACGAGGATTCCACATAATTTATTAAAATTTTCGTTTTCTTTGCACATCCCTAAGACTTGAATCTTTAAATCTTTGCAAGCCTCGTTAATGACACAATGAAGTTTCTAGTCTAAAATTTTCTCCCTATTTAGCAACTTTTGCATTTTTCAACTTGTACAAAAGGTTTTTCTTAAGCATTTTTTCTTTTATTTCTAATTCTTGACTTAAAAATATTTAAATTATTTTTAGAAGATTTAAATTAACATTACCGAGATTTGCAAAGATTCGACGGTTCAAGTATAAGTTGGAAGGAAGAAGGACTTGAGGAATCAAAAGCTATTTTTGATTCTTCAATTCTTCTTCCTAATCACGTCAAATCATAAATATTCGAATCCTTTCAAATGCCGAGTATCTATAGAAGAATGTTGATGGGTTTATCGTAAATATTACACCATAAATAACAGTGAAAAGGAATTAAGATAAAAAAGTCAAGAAAGACGATAAAAATCTCGTTCATGTGTCATAATCATTAATCAGAATTTTTTTCTCAGTTTTACAAGCTTTGGATTATTATTGATCAACCCATTCTTCAATTCTCCAAGTTCTCCTTTTTTGGTTTTTGTTCACCTTTCATGATTTTTAATGTTCAACCATCCCATTATTAAAAGTTATTAGTAAATTTTCCTCTTTGATAATGATCCTTAATGTCGTTATTTTAATATTCGTTTTGTTGGATTATTTCCTTTTTCTACATTAATGCCTTTATCATTTTGAAGCTTTACTTCTTAAAGTTCTAAATCCCTTCAGTTCAAGACTTAATCTTCAAAATTATGAAAATATCATTAAAATGTTCATTTTAGTAAAAGATTATTTTTTTCAACTTTTAATGTTATTTTTCTTAGCCTTCTATTTTATTTCTGGTTTTTGACTTTAAAATACACACTTCATAAATTTCATCTTTAATTTATGGAGCATTTAAATTAACAGCATTGTGAAGATTTGCAAATATTCAAAGGTTAAAGTATAAAATATGTAAAGGGAAAAAGATCTTGAAGATTCATAAACTATTTTTATTCTTCAAATTTTTTGATGGTGTCCATCCTGATTTTGTGGAATTCCATAATAAGATGATGGATTGGAAATAAACCTCTTTGGACTTAGTCGTCGTCTTGGTATTTGTTCAAAAAGAAAAATTTCATTCCAAATAACCCATTCTTGACAGACTACTAGCCAAGTTCATAATCGTCAAGACATCCACTTTTGAATTTACTACAATGTAAAAAACCATCAAACCACCTTATGAAATAGAAAAAGTCACCGAAGATGGTCTATATTAAGCCGAAACGCGATTGCCTATTATGGAAAAGATTATTTATTTCCAGCCCTTCCTTTTGTTCTTCAACTTGCCAAGCCTATAATTTTCAAGTCTTCAAATACTGGATCTATAGAAGAATGTTGATAGGTGTAATATATCCAAAAATAAAGATGAAAAGAATTTAAGAAAAAATCAAGAACGACATTTTTACCCTTAAATCTTCAAATATCTGGAAATCTTGTCCTGTCATTTTAAACTTTAATCTTTATTTTTATTTTTATTTTTTTTCAAATTGCCTCTACTAAACGTAAATTATTATTAATTTCAGTCATTCTTCAAGTTCTCCTTTTTTGTTTTCTGAACACATCGTTCATTGTTTTTAATGTTTTACCTCTCATTTTTGAATCCATATATTCTTAAAATTTTCTCCTACTTAATTAAAATCCGCTATTTCTTTATTTTAATTTTAACTTCAATTTTAATTTAATTCTTCAAGTTCTACATCCCATCTTCATAAGATTTAATATTCAAAATTATTCAAATCTTGTTTAATCATCAATTTAATCCTTTGCTTCACTTTTGCCGCATTTTTCATAGCATAAGTGTTGTTTAATTTCTAATTTTTAACTTAAAATATTTTAATTAGTTTTATATTTAATTATTGAACATTTAAATTAACATTATCGAGAGTTGCAAAGATTCGACGATTAAACTTTTATAAAGATAGCGGGAAGAAAACTGAAGAATTAAAGGCAATCTTTCATTCTTCAGTTCTTTCTTTACAGTTTGTCAAGCCCTTTTAATCTTCAAGTCCTTTAAAGCGTACATATTTGATTGACGTTGAAATGATTGAAGATCAAAAAGTTATGAAGAACAACCCTGTAATCTTCATATCATTTCAAATTTCTTTTGTGTATCATTTATTTAATGGTATTTATTTATTTTTTACTGACAATAATTTTTTATTATTATTAATTAGCCCATTCTTCGATTCTTCTCTCATTTTTTTGGTCAACTTTCACGGTTTTTCTTGACATAGCTTTTTCACTTTTATTTTCGGTTCTTGACTTTAAAATACTAGTTATTTTTTATTTTAATTATGGAATATTTAAATTAACAACATTATCGAGATTTTCAAAGATCAAAGATTCAAATATAAATGTGGTTGGGTGTTAGGAAGAACTCGAATTTTCAATTTTTCTTCCCAGCTTGTAAAGCCTTAAATTTTGTTCTTTCAAATACCTTGAATCTAGAGGGGGATATTTAAATGTTTAACTTCCCATAAATAACGAAAATAAAAGAATATAAGATAAAAAAAGTCAAGCTTTCCGGACTTTTGTCTTCAAATCTCATTCGTTCGTTCAATTGATTTATTATTATTATTATTATTTTTTTATTTACTAAACTTGAATTATTATTATTATTAAGTCCATTTGTTCATTCTTATAGTTCTCCTATTTTGATTTTAAGGTCGTCCATGATTTTTAATGTTTTATCCCTACATTTTTTGGCTTGTCATTGGCTTTTGGCTTGTTTTTTTAAAGTAATTCTTTCATCTTCTAAAGATCTTTAAAATTATTCTTCATAATCTTTATTTTAACGTTTTATAGCATTGCATTTTTACTTTTAGTGCTTTTTTCTTGACATGAGTTTCTTCATTCATTTAAAGACCTTGCATTCATAATATATTAATTATATTTTTATATGTATTTATCGAACATTTAAAATAACAGCATCGAGATTTGCAAAGATAGTAACATTTAATGTATAAAGGCGTGGGAAGAAGAACTTGAAGAATCACAGATCAATTTCTTTTTCCAAGCTTGTCAAGCGTTTAATCTTCAAATCTTGGCAATTCTTGTTCCTCTATTATTTTAAACTTTAATAGATTTTGTATGTTTTTCTTGGGTTTACAAAACTTGAATTATTATTAATTCAATTGATTATACTTTTTATCTAAGGTCTTGGTTGATATGAAAAACTTGGTATTATGAGCGGGATTCGAACCCACGACCTCCGGCTTTTCCTCTTTTAGCCATATTTTCAATGGGCTCGAATCCCGCTCGTGAAACTTTTTCCAAGGAAATGCCACCCCTCAACACCAACGGCCCATCATGGAATGCCACCTGAGGAATCATACAGTATGGCGCGTAGCTTTCTCTTTATCACGGATAATGTGCCTTCCAATAAACGACAAGATATTTTAAGGGCTGTTGAAAATGCAAGACATCATCTCGAATTTTTACCGACTTATTCGCCTAAGGTGTACTACCACAACACATTTTTCCGTGACTCTATATGAAATTACGCCCTTCTGAAGATTTGAGGCCAACTCTCGCCTCATCTGTAAAGAGGAACTCGTCCCCAATCTTCCAATATCCAATTCACATCTTCCCGTGCGAAGCCTGGAAATATTCTGAGTTATGGTAAGAAGAGGTCCATAAGCCGATTGGCGGACCCTAAGGTTATTTTCATTGAGCCTTCTTCTCACAAGGCTCCTACTGGAAGAAATTGAAACACTTCGGACTTGTTTTATCAGATTTCTTATTTCATTTATGCTGCAGTATGAGTAGAGCCTTATGACGGATGAATGTCTATCTGTCCTGTAGACTCTAGTTCGACCCTATGACGCTGAAGAACCCGTCCTATTAAAGAGAGATTTACATTCTCCTGGCGACCTCACCCTGGCTGTACCCTTCATCTAATAATGTTATGACTTTGATACTGTCATACTCACTCAAATGCCTGACTGGAGCCATTGAAAAAAGTTTAAGAATAACATCAATTGAAATCACCTAAGTAAAAAGATTAACTGAAAGCGATCTTTAGGCGTTGAGAATTGAAGAGCATAATGCTACTCTTTGTGTAAATGGGATTAAGTACAAAAGTTCTAGGAAATAAACAAGAATTTGATATTGTTTATAATTATTTAGAGATCGTGAGATTTTCTTTTTAGTGCCAACGTTTCAATGTTTATTGAGATCATCTTCAGGGCCTGGGATTTATGGCTAAATAATCATTACAAAACGGTCACTAAATATTACACGTTATACCTATTTTGACTACGATAGGTCCTAATTAGCTGTAACTAATGTAGAAAGATAATGAATTTAATTTTAAACTAAATAAATTGAGTGGTGCGTTAAATTTGTCCATCAGTGTATTGGCATATCTTCTGAAAGGGACTTATAAGAGCATGTTATGCTGAAGTGGTAGATACGAAATAAATTGACTTTACTGTACTGGGGAAAAATAAGTAATGTAAAAGTCAAATTTGACTGGATAAAATCTATCTTTAGTTTCAATTAATTATTCTTTTTATGTAAGGTCTTGTGGGTTCGAATCCCGCTCGTGACACTAAGTTTTTCATCTCAACAAAGACCTTACATAAAAAGAATAATTAATTGAAATAATTAAAATAGTCAATTAGACCACTGAACATAAATGGAATACTTATTTTTTGTGTAAAAAAGGGATATTTTTTCGTATCGTTGTAACCCTGTTGGTAAGCACGGCTTGCTTGTTGCGGTGTTGGCGCTTGTGCCGCTCAGGCGCTGTCTGTTTTGTCCGTTTTCCCCGGATCGAGCTGTGATCGTGTGAGTTGGCTTTGGCCTGTCGGACGGGATTTCTATCTTTGAGCCAACCCGGACGAAAGATGGCGGACAAGGACGATTCGGAAAAGACGATCGCTGAAGATTTGGTCGTCACCAAGTATAAAATGGCAGGCGACATCGTCAACCGTAAGTTAAGAAGGAAGTTGTAATAAATTGAACGAGGCGGCCGCCGGCGTCGGCGCGGCCACCGCTCGTCCCAAACACGCCAACGGCCCATATGGGCCCGCCGTTCCAGTTCCGCTGTGATTGAACCGTAAGGCCATGTGGCCGTAATATTTCAGACTTTGTCTTCTCTCTCTACGATTTCGGCCTCATCAAACTCGGTCCATTCCTTTCGACATAACCTAGCAGAAAACGTTGTTGAGATAATTTGCAGTTTATTATTTCCCGAATAATTCTCAGTTTTTCCCGGACGTTAACAGAATTGTTTTTTCACAACATACTCCACTTTCGGTGTTGAAATCCATCCTATAAAGAAAATAATTCTACGTAATAATAATAAAAAAAACTACCACCAAAAAGAAATTACCAGCAAAATGTAGTTAGTTTTACCATAATATTGCCTACTTATGACCTACATTATTATATCAGATTAAAATTAAAGTGTGTTTAACCATAAGGCTTACGGCCTGTATTATCATATAATCAAGTGGTAATTTTGTCATTTCAGTTTGGTTAACATAAGCTATCCAATACGGAAGTCAATAATAAAAATAAATAATAGCAAGTATTGCTTACTGATGAGACCTGTATTTAATCTTCAAATGGTAGTTTCAGTTGGTTTTATCATAAGCTTGCTGGCTTATGACCTGCATGATCGTATAACCTTCAAAAGAAATTTTTTCATTTGAATATTTAAGATAAAGTAAAATATTTTATTCAATACAAAAATTAACCAACAAAAAATAAAAAATACTAGCAAATATTGCTATCTGATGACCTGCATTCAATCTTCAAATGGGAGTTTCAGTTGGTTATATCATAAGATAGCTGGATTATGATCATCAAATCTTCAAAAGAATGTTTTTCATTTGAATATTTATGATAAAGTAAAATAATTTATTTGTACAAAAGTAAGTTAACAAAAAAAGAAAAAAGAAGCAAATATTGCTACCTGACGACCTGCATTCAATCTTGGAAGTTGCAGGTGGTTTTATCATAAGATTGCTGACTTATTCCTCCATGAACATATAGTCTTCAAAAGAAAATTTTTCAATTGAATATGTATGATAAAGTAAAATAATTTATTCAATACAAAAATTAATTAAAATAAAAGTGTATAAAAATATTAGCAAATATTGATGTCTGATGACCAGCCAATCTTCCTGGGATCTTCCAATGGGAGTTTCAGTTGATTTTATCAGAAGATTGATGGCTTTTGATCTGCGTGATCATGTAGTCTTCAAAAGAAAGTTTTTCATTTGATTATTTAAAATAAAGTAAAATAATTTATTCAATACAAAAGTTTATAAACAAAAACTAAAAATAAAAAATACTAGCAAATATTGCTGTCTGATGACCTGCAACAATCATGGAAGTTGCAGTTGGTTTTACCATAAAGTTGCTGGCTTATGACCTGCATGATCATATAATCTTCAAAAGAAACTTTTTCATTTTAATGTTGAAGATAAAGTAAAATAATTTATTCAATACAAAATTAATTAATAAAAAATAAAAAAACTAGCAAATATTGCTTACTGATGACCTACATTCAATCTTCAAATGGAAGTTGCAGTTGGTTTTATCAAAAGATTGCTGGCTAATGACCTGCATGATCATATAATCGTCAATTGGTCATTTTTCATTTGAAAATAGGTAAAATAAGCTATCTAATATGTAAGTTATTAAAAAATAAAATAAACACTAGCAAATATTGCCATCTAAACTAGTTTTGTCATAAGTCTGCATGCTTCGGCAAGAAAATTTTGCCTTTGAGTGAAAATTTTAAAATGAAAGTATACAAAATTAGTCAGTAAAAAATTAGTAGTTTTTAGTTTAAAAGTATAAAATTTTAACAATAAATGAAGAAAAAAAATAATACATGTAAAACTTGTGATATTATTTTGAATGATTTTTCTATTCAAACTTTTCCAATGTTTGTGTGTACATTTTTTAGTTAGATCCATTTTGATGCGCCTTTAGCCTTCTCAGAACATTTTAGTCCGCCCTAACTAATATTATTGCTAATTAGCAATTTTGTTCTTTGTTAAAAGCATATTCACATACTCATGTAAGCAATTTAATAAAAGATTTTATCAAATTTCAGGCTTAAGCCACGTGGCAGTTTTGTAATGATCATTAGTTCAATATTTAAAAGATCGGCAGCATGTTCCTATCTGATCTGATTGTTTGGAATTTTTGCCTGATTGGTGCGGCCTATCTCAATATTTGTACATTCAAAACATGAAACGTTATTAAAAGACAAATTTGCCTTTATTCTATCTTGAATAAACAGAGCTCTTTTTTCTTTGTTGTTTTATGTTCAGGATATAAATTTTACTTCTGGTAGTAGTACAATGTTAAGCGAATTAAAAAAAAATTTTTTTTGTTTGGTGTAATCTTTCCCAATGTATAGATACATTAAAAAATGTTAAAATATAAAATTCAAACTGATGCCAAAAAAGCTGAAATCAAGTGCCTTTATGTTACAGGTGTATTGAAAAAGGTGATAGAGAAATGTGTTTCTGGAGCTTCAGTTTTACAAATTTGTGAATTTGGTGATAGCTTACTTACAGAAGAAACAAATAAGATTTTTAAAAAAGAAAAAGAACTCAGGAAAGGTAAAGGTAAATTGATAAATTAACATGTACCATTATTTGCCAAGTTTACATATTATTTTAATACAAATTTTTAGGAATAGCATTTCCCACTTGTGTTTCTGTAAACAATTGCATTTGCCATTTCTCACCCCTATCGAGTGAACCGGACTTAATTTTAAAGGATGGTGATGTCGTCAAAGTGTAAGTGTATTGAATTTGGCCAATGTTAGATGTCATTTTTATTTTTTAATATGTAAATTTATGTGAAATATTTTAGTGACCTTGGCGCACATGTGGATGGCTTTATTGCTGTTGTTGCACATACTGTCGTTCTGGGGGCTACCTCGGAAAACAAAGTGACAGGCCGAAAGGCTGATGCAATGCTTGCAGCTCATTATGCAGCCGAAGTTGCACTTAGGTTGCTCAAACCAGGAAATCAAGTAAGTCGTATTTCATATTGATTGTCCGTTCAAGTATTGTATCTTGTTTCTTATTGTAGACATACACCATAACTGATTCAGTACAAAAGGTGTGCGAAGCATACCACTGTAAGCCAGTCGAAGGTATGTTGTCTCACCAGTTAAAACAGGGGAAAATAGACGGTGAGAAGACAATCATTCAGAACCCGACAGATGCACAAAAGAGAGAGCATGAAAAATTCGAGTTGGAAACTCATGAAGTCTATGCGATGGACGTTTTAGTTAGCACAGGCGAAGGAGTTGTAAGTTGAAATAATAAACGAATAAATAATAGATATTGTTAAGAATTACTTTTACAGGGAAGGGAAATGAATACGAGGGTTTCAGTGTATAAAAAAACTGACGAGGTTTACCAGTTGAAACTAAAAGCCGCAAGAACGTTTTACTCAGAAGTGAGGGAGAAGTACGGTTCTATGCCTTTTACTCTTCGTAGTTTTACAGAAGAGAAAAAAGCAAGACTAGGAGTTAACGAATGCGTGACACACAAACTTATAGATCCTTTCCCAGTACTGTATGAGAAACCAAGTATGTATCATTGTCTTTATTTAGTCCGTATTCCAAATAATTTATTTGATTTGATTTTCAGATGAGGTGGTCGTTCAATTTAAGTTTACAGTATTATTAATGCCAAATGGACCACACCGGATTACCGGGCTGCCATTTGAAAGTGATGTATGTGACTCAGAGTACAGGATAGAAGATAGTGAACTAAAGGTGGGTTTGAAAGTATATTTTTGAAAGATTATTGGTAATTCGTTCATGCATGAATTCCTATTTAGGTTAAATTCAAGCATGATAGTTTTATTTTATTTTTTATTTATGTGAAAACGTAAAGTATTTTGAGGCCTATAAGCTGATAAAATGGAGGCTTTATCAGCTCCATCATCCTGGTTATTTTTGTTGATTTGCTTTTCAGTATTTCACCATCTTTCAGTGGTTGTCTGTGAGTAATTTAGGTTAATTGTGTTCCTTCCAATTTTAATAAGTTCATAAAACAAAGGATTGCGTTTACATTTTACAAAATCATTTAATATATTTTAACATGATAAAGCAAAGCAACCACTGAAACAATAAATCCAGGATGATCGACATCATTGTACAGTGTAAATGTGAATGTGTTAATTTTTTTTTTTCCAGGCATTATTGACTAGTTCAGCTAATCCTAAATCAGGTAAGAAGAAAAAGAAGAAGGCCATTAAGGAAGAAACAGCAACTACTACAGAAGTCAGGCTGCGAAATGAAGTGTAAACCAGGCATTGATAAGTTGAGGGAAAAACAAAAGAGAACATTTTAGGCGATTACAAAAAGAATGCAATTATATTTTGTATATAAAACAAATTGGAGATGTCAACACAAAGTGTTGCCAATTTTGGCAGTGCCTCAATTTTTTTCTTTTCTTTCAAGTCAATATAGAATTTAAAAAACAATTACATCAAATTTGTAGAAAATGAAAGAGGACATTTTCAAAACCTGTTTCAATTGTATGCAGATTCGCTAACATCTTGTTGGTACTGTTTTTAATTTTTTTTTTCTATTTTGTTTATAGATTTTTTGATGTTTATGTACATTTAAGATAAATGTGCCTGTTTTGCAATAATAACAGTTTGTCTTTGAATTTTGTTTTTCTAGTGCCGTAAAGGCTCAGTTGCTATCAAAATGTGTAAGTAAAAACTAATAAAAAAAAAAAAGAAAAAAAGAAGAACAAGAAAAGAAAGAAAAAAAGTGAATAGGATGTACAAAAGAATCCTTGTTTCACCTAAAATCTAAAGTATCAGCAATACCATACTTAACATTTCTTTGTAATGTAGAAACTCAATTATATGGCCAAAATCAAATGTGTTCATATTCCTTTAAGGTATAATCACATAAAAAAAATTAACAATACATTGTAAATTGACGATATATACATCTTATTTTGTCTTGACATGTCAATATTTTCCACTCTTGTAATAAATCATATTAAAAAAAACAAATCAAATTGACAACATGGAAAATTGAAATGGAAAAAAACTATTGTGACTGAATTTTCTCATGTGTTTACAACACGTTGTTACATCCAGGAGACTGTAAGACCTGATTGTTGGTTTCTACAGTATTCTAGTTTTAAATAAAAATCCAAAATTTACGCCTATCAATTGAAAACACCCATATGTTAAACCAAATTGTGGTTATGTTTAAATAACTTCCAAGTTTGATTGTGGTTGGTGTGAAAATCGATCACAGCTCTTACTATCTGCTTGGTATGAATTACCTTAAAACAGATGGAGTTTATAAGTTTTAAGTATAAAATTAAAACATCAACTGCAAGCTTATTGAATATTCTAAATTGTGGAGAATAAACATGAATCCTGAGTCTAAAAAATGTTAGTTGAACTTGGTGAAATGTAAATATTTAATAGCAAACTTGGAAAAAAGTGTTTTAATGAATCAAGGAAAACGCAAGCTTACACGTACTAAAGACCGCAAATTAATATTTCCACAAGTGTATACTGTAATTCGGTTTTGAATGTGGGGAATAGCTGGACTCAAAACTACACGTGCAACAGGCCACCAGGGTTTGTCAGGAACAATGCCTCCTCTACACAATTGTCTACTTTAATGGTTGGAAAGATGGTCACTGTCAGTCCCTCGGCAATCTTGGGCTATGTACATTAGTTGATGATGGTTCATTCTGAAGTACCGTCGAGTAGGAGGTGTATCTCGTTTGTACCTTTGACGCTAGAAGAAAAATAGCTCCCAAAGCCATCCCTCCCTACTACCATTGTGCCTCAGCCACTGCATCCCATCCTACTTCTATGCAATGGCTTGTTGATGTGGGTTATTGTGCTATATGTCATAGTGTACATTTACAGTATGACATACACATGAACACAATCGATTCTGGTTGGTCAATAGGTAGTATGAAAAACTAAGCAGCTGGGTGGCCTGATTCATTCCAACTGAAAAATTAGCCAACTATCGGCAAACTGTTTATATTGCATCGGTTAACCAGGCAATGCTATATGGCCCATTTGCACAAAGATTGCCAACATTTATAATAATTTTAACCCATTTTAAAGAATAAAAATTTTTGGTAACATTTTAGAACACTTGGGTAAAAGCTGTCCAACATAGCTTTGACCTGTGACTACATGTATGAAATTGGCTAATGTTGAACAGCTCCACCAGCCAGCCAAAAAATTTGTTAGCCTACTGTTGATAATCTGATAGTATTTAAAGTTGCTTTTACTTCAGTTGACTCATTTACATTTAAGATTTTGAAGGATGTCATTCTATGGTTTCTAAGAGCAATTGTATTCCTGATTTTCCTGTAGACGCTCTTTACAACATCCATTAACGTCTCAACAGATTACAAAGGAGAAGAATTCAGGAGGTAATGAGATACAATGATTTGGTATTCACATAGCACCAAAACCAATGAAGGAACAGGATCAGGTGTTTTCTGTACAACCTCAAAATAAGAGCAATCAAACTCATTAAGGAAGTACATCTCAGTCTTTCAAGCTGGAATAAATGCCATCCAAAACAGGGAATCAATAACCTGTTATTGTCGGTACCAAGACACAAGGGAATTTTATATAATGAAAAGGTAGACACACTGGCCAGAGGAGGATCTGCTGCCCTATACCTATTTTTGGGATGGCAACAGTATAATGATAAACAGAATCATCCGTCATCAGAATGGACCCGAAAAAGATATTGGATAAATTGTAGAAGTGCTAGATACAGTAAACTTATGTTAAAACAACACTGGTAAACTGACTGCTACAGCTAGAGTGGGCCAAACTCAGAGGAGTGATAGGAATATTAACCGGTCACTGGCATCTGAGAAAATATCTGCATAACATAAGAATGTTCAATGCTGACCCCATTTGTTGGTTATGGAACAGTCGCTAATATCATCTTTGAATGTGAATCAACCCCTCAGTAGAGAAAAGGATACAAAGAAAACCCTGAGAAAGGATTGTATCAACGCCCTAGTACTTCTTAGGAGAAAAATTGAGTCGATAGCACTGAACTAAGGAACATTAAGCCAGAAGGCTGCAGTTCTTGGGGAACAAAAAGCTTCCTACATAATCATCATTCCTCTTTTGCATCTACATGTGAACCCTTACTTCATCTACAAATTTCAATTTTTCTCGTTGTAATCTAAAAATTTTAATACACATTATTTTGCAATAAATAAATAGAGGAATCTAAACATAACAATAATAAATAGCATGTAGATAGATGGTAACATGTAATGCTTGTCAGAGAATATAGTGTAAGAAAATTATAAAGAATTAAAAAAAGAAAGAAAACAATAGAAAAGTTACACTTAAGAAGGCACATTGTACATACAAGATAATAATAAAAGGTATTTACAAAGTATAAATTATTTAACAGTAATTCTTGGCAGATTTCAATTGAATAAGTCAATAGTAAAATTATTTTGTTTTATGATTATAAATAGAGGAGAGGAGAATGTTTTAAATAATTCATTTTTCACTAAGGATCGTTGTAGTTGGGTGAATTTGGAATACAATGATTAGATAGAATAAAACTAGAGAGAGTGAGAGATCAGGTAAATCTATTTGTGCTTGAAGGGTGGAAAATAATACCAAAAAATTTGCTGGTCAAACCAGGCACATCCCACTGTCTTTTATATTTTGTGCCAACAATGAAAATAAAATGGGGTGTTGGATATACAGAGTTGATGTCATTAAGAAAATTCCAGTCATATTCAATCATAATCAAAAAATTTGTTTCAGTTTGCTTCAACCCAATTGACACGTCCGATATGTTTTAGGCCTTGTATGTTTTATAGTGAATAAGACAAAGTATTTAATGCACAATATCAAAAAACATAAATAGTATTGTTGTTTCATTATTATTTCTGTCGCTAATTATGAATAAATCTTTACATTACTTTTGAACCATTTTTGTTTAGTGGTCTAATGGACCAAATTACTTATTTCAATTAATTATTCTTTGTATGTAAGGTCTTGGTTGAGATGAAAAAGTCAGTGATTATTGTTATTATTAACGTGTAATTTAGTGACCATTATGTAATGATTATTTAGAGATTGTAAGGTGCAGTCTGATGTGATGTATCTGGCAAAATTCAAAAGTCACGATAGCTCAAGTGGCTAAAGCTATTGAACAGGAGGTTGTGGGTTCGAATTCCACTCGTGGCACTGACTTTTTCATGTCAACCAAGACCTTACAAAAAAAAAATTAATTGAAATAATTACTTTTGAATATAGTTAACAGAATCAAACAACTCAGTATAAGTCATATAATAACATATTTATTTACATAGACTAAATTACAAGAAAAGATGTTTAGTTCAAATAGAATTTATTAACTACGATTCACTGCCTTTAGACTCTTGGTTGAGCTGATTGGACACCCAATCCGCGCTATATCTGTAGAGAGTGCTTGCGTGCTCAGGCAGATCCAATATGAACTTGGTAGCCGTGACGATTCCATGGTTCCAACTAGTTTTCACATACAAGGAGACTTCTGCAGCCTTGGGCAGTTCCGGAGTCTACAATTAATATAGGGTTGTAATTATACAGTAAAAGTAGTTTCCCCTGATTGTATATTTATACCTCTATGGGTACTTCTTTCAACAAAGGGACAGCAAGCTTGTACAAATCTTTATAAAGCTGTTCGGTCTTAGAACTGTCCTTCCAGACGCCGTACTCTACCGAGTAGTAAATCGTAGTCCCAACTATTCCGAGCTTAGTTCCAACTCTGAAAAGTAATCGTTTGTAGTCGTCGTCGAATTTAAGAATACTCAATTGCATTTACTTAACGAGTCGTGACATTCTGACTTATTCGATATTAATCTGCTAGGCGAATATATCCTTTTCTTCCTTATTCTAGTACTATCCTCCTAAACAAATTCTTAAGCTATACTAGTTCTATAACCTGGTTGCAAACAACCTCTACGTCTACAGAGCATTGATCAGTGAGCGTAGAGGTCCGAGGAGGGGGTCTATAGATGTCACACTTTACCATGTGTACATTTCATTGACACATACATATGTTCAATGTTTCAAAAAACTTTCTTTTGTTCGTTTATGGCCAATGAATAATTTTCAACGCTTTCTTCTTGTTAAGATTTAAAAAAAGTATTATATGGAACATAGAATTCTCAATTGTCTAATGTCATCACCAACAGGCTGCTTTTGTCATGTAATATAGTATTAAACCTGAAATTAATTAAAAACACAAAAAGCTATAAGAAGAGCTTAATATACATACAAATATACTGGCATGTTCTCAGTATTATGAAATAATGATCAACTCATTAGTTTAAAAAGTATTGCTGTTTTTTTTTTGTTTTTTTAAACAATATCAATGTTACACTAAACTACATAACTAGACCTATTCGTTCTAATTTCTCTCCATACTTCGAATTAGCTATTAATTAACTTCCCTCGGTGCTAATTTGCTAATTTTTTTCAATTTTTCAAAAATACTAAAACTGATATAGAAATTTATTTATTTATTTATTTACGTATCGAAATCCACTATAAAAAGACATTTTACAATAACAAAAAATATGATATATGTAAAAATACAAATAATAAGAATAAGGACATATATGCATGGTAACAATATAAATGATAAATATAAAAATACAATTAAAGAGTAAAAAACTGAACAACAAAAATGAAAGACATAATTACTAACCAAATAAGGCAGAGGAAACAAGATAAAGCTGAAAGACAATTGAAACTACTCTAATTAGGTACATACTTAATGAAAATAATGCTCTTTGTAAATATATAATAAGACTACAGTGAGAGAATTAGTTGAACCAGTAAATGAAATAAATTGTAATAATTTTGTACAGTATGAAATATAAAAGCATGCAACTAAGGTTGTAGGATATGGTTTTTCACAGATTGCACAGAACTATTGAAGAAGTCAATGCTACTGCAGATGTTGTTACTCTTGATCATCATTCTGTGTAGAGGAGAAGAGAGCATGTAGTTAGAGCTTTGGAATTCAATATAAAATAATTTATAGGTTTTAAGAGAGTGCGAAGGGACATGTATCTGTAGTTGAGAGAGGAGAGAAGGACTATCAATGAGATCGTTTAATAATTTAAATACAAAAACAATATCAAAGTAATCCCTTCTTAGTGCCAGTTCGAAAAGTTTAAATTCAGAGCGGATTCCAGGGTAGGCAGAATTCGGAGGAAGATTGAGTTTGTAGGAAAGTTTTTTTTGTTTTGTTTTGTACAGATTGAAGAATTTTTTGATAATTTAGATAGAATGGGTTTCAAACAGGTGTAGCATATTCTAGTATGGGTTGTACAAAAGTTTTATAAAGATGGACAAAACATAGAGGATTTTTAAATTCATAGGTGTTCCAGATGATAAAACCTAGCTTCTTCATAGATCTATTTTTTATTGAAGAAATATGTTCTTTAAACTTGAGCTTTTGATCAAAAAGTACACCAAGATCCTTTATGACCTCAGCTCGCGTTAAAAGAGCATCATTATTTATGTTTATTGAAAGCAATAAAAGAAGATTAATGAACAAAATGTTTAATTTATAAAAGAAAAAATATTTCTTAAACAAATTAAAAATAATAAAAATAAAATAATAAAAAATTAATGCCTCTGTAAAGAAAAAGCTAAATAAAAAAGAACTGAGTAAGATGAGCACTGATTTGAAATGTTCTTTGAAATATTAATGTCTTGGCTCTAGGTATATAAAAATGGGTGGATGGTGTTTTTATTTTGTATCAGGAAATATTTGAAATGGTTTTAAATTTACTGTAAAGTAATTTGTAAAAACCATGAGAAGCGATCAGGAATGAAGTATTTTAGAAAAAACCTTTTCCATTTTTTGACGTTTCGACATTTATTCAGGTCATCTTCAGAACCTGAATGAATTTAAAAAAATACGTTGACTGGAAAAAATACACTATCGATGTAAATAATATAAATTTACTGTAAAAGTAGGAAATGGCTTGGGTTTTAATAAAATTAAACATGGAACAAGCAAGTAGGTATTGACACTAGGGTACAATTTTAAACCAGTGTAATGTTTCCCTTTTCTTTAAAATATAACTATATCGAACACAGGAGTTCATGGAAAGCTGGAGTGACCTGTTAACAGGGAACAGGTCATTAACCCTCATTAAACACAGGGGAGCAATAATCAAAATGAGGAAAAGCAAACAAATCAAGTTTTTTATACCGGAAGTAGGTTGGGTAAAGATTTTAAGTTGATGTATAATAGAGTTAACTTTCTTTAAGACATTTATGAAGTGAGTTCTCCAATTAAATTTAACATTAAAGAAAGCACTTATATTTTTAACCTCTTAATTTTAATCTATTGTATCGCCATAAATTTTGATTGTATTAACTGAAATGTGATTTAATTCTTGTTATTTTTTTTTCCAAAAATTATGGCTTTGGTTTTCGAATGGTCAATGATGAGATCATTAGTATAAGCCCAACTAATTTTTTTAATATTGATACTACATTGATGTGGTCAAATGCATAATTAAGGTCATGCAGCTTTCAGTGAATGTAGATCTGAAGGTCATCAGCATAAAACTTATATTTACAAAAATGTAATACCTTATTCCTTATAAACTCAGTAAGACATATGGTAAAAACCAAGTGGTCCTAATATAGATCCTCGAGGTACACTACCGAGAATAGGTTGGAATGATGAATTAGAGTCCCTTCAACAGCCTGGAGTCAACTAGTAAGAGGAGATTAACATATTTAAAGCAGAACTATAGGATCTTAAATTTTGAAGTTTCTCAATAAGTAAAACATGGTTAATAGTGTCAAAAGCTTTATAGAAATTAAACAGGCCAAGAACAGTAAAGTTATCTATCTATGTTTTATCTTAATCCTTGGCCAGATCCAGTAGAGCTGTGGGTGTTGAAGCCACTCCAAAAGCCTTGACAAAAGTCAAGATTAGTTTCTTTAAAATGTTTATTTTGATCATGCATGAACCTTTCAAGGGGTTTAGTCAAAAAACAGAGTTGAGAAATAGGCTTGACATTTTGAGAGATATCTGGGAGAAGTTTTTAGGGATATGTTTAATGAAAGATATTTTCCAAGACAGAAATTGTTAGACAATAGTTAATGATGTGAAGCAAGACAGATCACTAGTAGATGTATAGCTGTTAAATTACCATTTAATTCGTGACCAGTTAAGGAAGATTTCTTTCTTGCAATTTGGTTAAGATGTGTAGAGTTCCTTCAATCTGATGATGAGCTGTAGGCTTGAAATCCGGGTAGTTGAAAACAACTTACTGAGTAGGAACTATCTTTTTAAAAAGATTGAATATCACACTCACTCCACCATTTCCATTGATGTGTATTACTGTCTACAAGTTGAAAGTAGGAATTTTGGTGGCAGAAAGGAACAGCCAGAATTTTGGATAGTTTGGTTGAACAAGAGAGGAAATAGGAGTAATCAAAGTGATGAAGTAAATCTTGATTTTTTATATGAGGCCAAAATCATTCAATAGATACCATGTTTGATTTGCGTTGTCTATCTTTGCAAAGATGTTTAAAAAGTGATTAGATTTTTTAAAAAATATTTGCATTTTATTATTGTTGGAAGGTTATGTACATACATTTTTTAAATAAAAATTTATCTCTTCTTATGATAATAATAAAAAATATTTAGAAATGTAAGGGAATGAAATTTATTGTTACAACTGGCCTTCCAGGTCCATCACCAAGGATCAGGTCCATGCATATATTCTTTTCTTATATGATAAAATATTTATTTTATGAACAAAATAGAAAAATAAAAAATATAAGTAAGACAATAATTAATATAAATAAAAATATACATTTTTGTTTAGAAATATTTATATTAAAATGTAAAGGGAGGTCCGGAGTACCCGTGCTTAATCCATCCAAAAACAACTGGACGCAAACGACTAACCACTTAAAATAACAAATAATTCTCTCTAAATAATATTAAAATGTAAAATTTGTACTACATTAATAATTAAATCCATTATATTTCATGGTCCCATTGACCAAATAACTTCTTTCTTAATTAATTAAATAATCTTTTTATGTAAGTATTGGTTGAAATGAAAAAGCTAGTGTCACGGGTGGGATTCGAATCGACACTAGCTTTTTCATTTCAACCAATACCTTACATAAAAGATTATTTAATTAACAATTAAAATTGTTATATAAGAAGCCACCAGAAGACCCCATGATATCATCTTTAAAACCCTGGATGCCCAGTGGTTTTAAAACTATAATTTCAAGTAATAGGAGAATGGAAAAACCACTGGGTTCATAAAAATAAAAATAACCCTGCCCAACAGTGGCAGGTTAAGAAAGATATTGGCCCCTGGAAAAAAGGAAAAGGCCACATTTACAAGATTATGCTTAGGTCATACAAGAAAAACGCAAGGGCACCTTCTGGTCGGAAAGTGACCAGATAGGTGCCACAAGGTTGGAATAACGGGTGAGCACCTTTTCAATTGTGGAAGGCTTGACTTTATTTATTGACCACAGGTTTTCCTTGAACAAAAACCATCTTAATATTTCGATCGTCTCCCAAATATATAAATTTTTGTACTAATTCAAGCAGGTTGTGAGTAGCAAGGGAGCAACTCATAGAGCCAACTTTGACCTCCATGTCGACAACAAGTGCGTCAAAATCCTTGCCGACTTGGAAATTTCCAATAGTTTTTTCTTTGTTTAAAGCTAGAAACAAAAAACTTTAATAGACAAATGTTATTGTAAAATGGTATAGAAATTACCCTCTGCGCCTCCTAAAGTGGCTAAATAAAAGGCTTCGTGGTAGGTGAGGGGCTTCACTTGTTTGCCTAAAATACTAAGGTGATTTGATGTTGCAAGGGTGGTACGCATTGCGTCCATGATACTCAGGCTAATTCCACCAGATACATCTTAAAAAAATATTTTAAACAATTTTCATATTTATAAAAAAATAATATAATTTAATACCAGTTCCCAGAGCTACTTTAATTTTGTTGTCCAATAGTCTTTTAACATCACAAAGTCCACTTTTTAAATAAGTATTGGAATTTGGACAATGCACTATAGCTGTCCCTCGTCTAGATAACAGCAACAGTTCATCATCCAATAGATGAACACCATGGGCTAAAATAGTCTAGAATTCAATTTTAAAATGTGATAAAATTTATTATTATTTTTTTTTTTCAATCAATATGACACCTTGTTAGTCAACAAGCCAGCTTTGTCATAAACATCAGCATAGTTTGCACAATCGGGAAACAGTTCCATTGTAAGTTTGATTTCTTCCAAATTTTCAGAAATATGAGACTGAAAACAATTTTTAAATCAATGATACCTTAAAACTGTTGTAATAAAATTACCGTGAATAGGGAAATTACTTGAACATATAGGTCGTACTTTTCAGCAAGTGAACCGAGTTTTTTTAATAGATCCTTGTCACACGAAATTGCAAATCGTGGAGTTATTACAGGTTCTACAAGAGAGCTCTAAAAGTTGAAAGATATTAAAAGCCAATTTTTTTTAAAGATAAATTTTTATGTTTACATTTAATTCAAAAACATCTTTGACAAACTCTTCTGTTTCTTTCAGTGATTCATCCGTTTCCTCAAAGTAATCTAAAACTGAATTCTGGTTCATATTAACTTTCCCGATAAGCGCTCGCTGGCCTTTTCTCCTAACTATTTCAGCAAGTAACTTCGAATTATTTTTAAAAATCGTGGAGAAATAGCAAGCAGTCGTCGTACCACATTTGAGAGTTGTATCCTTTAAATTAAAAATAATTATTTCTTAAACAAAATAAATAAATAAAAATTCGACTTACAACAACATAGTTATAAACAGTTTCAGAAAAGTTCACGTCCTTGTATTTTTTCTCGAGTGGAATTGTGTATGTGCTAAGCCAGTCTAATAAACTTTTATCCATGCCTAGCCCCACATTTGGAAATTGGGGAGCATGAATGTGTCCGTCTATAAATCCAGGGCACAAAAACATACCAGGTTCCAGTTTAAAAAAAATAAAATTGTCTCCAATCATTCTTCGAATTTCATCCATACACTCACTATCTTCCAAAGCCACAATCTAAAAACCACTTTTATTTGAGTAAATTGCTTTTTCTTATCATTTAGAAAACATCCACCTTGCCATCTTTTACTGCAATTAATTTATTTTCTAAAGCTGTGATTCTGTCTTTCGAAACGCTATGGACAATTGGCCCTTGAATGATGATAGGTGGCTAAAAATCAAGAAAGCAATATTTAGACAGTTTCAAAAATAACAATTACTTTAACACTTGACTCTAAAGTATTTTAGTTTTAAACATTTCAATTTGCATTAAATGTCATATGGGTGAAAGGCTGCGTACGTTCTTGTCCAGCATGTAGAGAAAGGTTAATTAAAGGGAGCAATCGAAACAAATCCTCTCTATATAGGGAGCAAATAGGAATTCCACCTGATATGAAAATTGTATTCGATCAAAGCATCAAAAATTTGGATTCCTGTTTCGATTTTTGAAAAAATAAGACTGTTTTATTTTATACAGTACTTGACAGTTATCTCATTTTGTGTTTATTGAGAGTGAATGTGTAATGTGAGAAGACTGATGGAGGAATATCAAGTACTCCACCAGCCAACTTGAGTTAATGTAAATAGGAAAGAATACATTTAAGAATGAATGAAAGTAGTAAGCATTCCTAGGTTTAAAAACTGCATGCATTGCAGGCTGAAATGACCTACCTGTTATAAGTTCAATTCTGAATATGGTATGTATATTCTGTATCGGCAGGATTAAGCATACACTAATCAATTAAATGTTATAAATAACAAAATGTGTAAAAACTAACGTTATTTATATAATTTTTTTTTTACAAAAGTTCATGCCAAATTAATAAGTGCCTTAAAGTTGTTGTTCGATTCAACAATTACAATTAAATAATTTAGCATTTACTTTTATAAATGTTTGTTGCATCCAAATAATGAATAAATTTGTCAAAAAGTCATTTATCAACTATTTTTAAATTATTACAGTAGCCAAGAATGTATTTAAAAACAGTTTGAAATATATGTAACAGACAATACATAAATAAATTATTGTTATTACATTAGTACTATCTTACTTACAGCAACATGATTATGAAAATCGATGCATGTATTTTTAGAGATGGATGAATGAAAAAAATCTCCCATTTTCTTTGAAGTCCTCTAAAATATATATATAACAATACAATAAGCCTTCAAATAATTAATCTAAACTGCAAAAAATAAATAAAATTCTAGTATTATATGTTGATGTCATTACATAAGAAATGTCCTATTTTATAAATATAATGATTATTTGGAGATCATAAGATGCAGTCAGGTGTGTAAATAATCATTAATTAACGGTCACTAAAACTACACATTTATAAACATAGTCGACTCTTGGTAATTCAAAACCCAAGGGACCATAAAAATAATTCAAATTATCAAGAAGAAAGAAAATCAAATTATTAAGTGTTGATATGCAATTATTAATTGAATTGTACATATATAAAACACTGTAAAAATAATGAAAAAGTGGAAATAGATCAACTGTAAAATTGAACATTGTTATATGCATTATTAAAAAATTCGTGAAGCAGTTTTTGTTTCAATGTAGCCTGTCTAAACGATTTTCCAAAGTGACTAGCGCTGAGAACTCATTGACAAAACATTAACCGCTGAACATAACAAACTAGAAAATTCCAAACAACTTTAGGCCGTAAGGAAGGAAACAATACAAGGAAATTTAGAGGAACAGTACAAAGAAAAATTTCCAATTATAAAGAGGTGGAAGTGGCTCCATTTCAATTTATAGAAATGTTGCTCTTTCTCTCTTTGTTACGAAAAATATTTTGTATTATCGAGTGTATCCCAATACATAATTTTTATTTGATTTACCAAAGTGACCTTCTGAGTTCACATTATCAAAAAAGTTGAGATAAGGAGTTGATTTCCGAGTGTATCGAAGTCACGCTAGATCAAGTGGTTAGAGCAAGCACCAGCGTATTTAGCTGAAGGTCATGGGTTCGAATCCCACTCGTGACACTTTTTCATCTCAATCAAGACCTTAGATAAAAATAATAATTAATTGAAATAATTAATGTGGTCAATTATGACCACTAAACATATGAATTATCAAGTTTCAAATTAACAATAGTATATAACCTGAATGTATCAAGAAAGGACAATATAAATTCTAAAACATATACCTAAACCACCTATGAACTCTCTCAAGTCTGTCAGCATCAATTAAACCATAAAAAATTCGTACATACTCAATATAACTTCTACACAGGAACTAGAACAAAACTCTTACGTCAAATAAGTCAGTGAAATCGCCAGTTATTTTTTTAATGAACTAAGTTTCTATTAATATTGGAGATCATAGAATCAATATGATAAGAGAATTTGTTAATCATTAAAAATTACCACGAGATCTAGTATTTTAGATACTTCCCCACCTGCTTACCCTCAATAAAATAAGCAGGTTTAATTTTATTCTTAGTTTTCCTTTTGAAAAACAACTTGCACTTTTCATAATTCATTCTACATGTTGCATGGCAGCACTCCAACTCAAGATATACAGCATTAAACTTTAAACCATCAACTAATAGAGATTCAGAACAATCCCTTATGTATGCAACTATGTATATAATTTTTTTGATAAATTACTAAATTGTAAGATTTCTCTGTGAGTCTGTGGGGTGATGATTTGGTAGTAAGGTCGTTACTGATCATTTTAATTATTATCCTTGCTGGGTTGGTATGTCAGACGCATTGTAGCATTTTGCCATCTTCAGTACTTGACATTTTGTCAAAAATGCCCAGAAGTCAGAAGCTCTGCTCTGTAGTCATGGATGTAAGCAGGGTAAGGCAGCAACACTCCCAACACTCATGGAAGAGCAACCCAGGCTAGGTATACCAAAATGATTAGTAGCGACAAATTACGTAATAATTATTTCCAAAAATTTTGCTGTTTTACCATAATTCTTACTGAAGCATTTATTTTTTATTTCATTACTTTAGTTACACAATCATAAATTAAATTTTTCATTTAGATCTAATGAAAAAATATATTATATACACAATTACCATACCATAATAAAAAAAAACATACTATGTACTATTTTTTATCTAGCATTTAAAAAGACATTTGCGCTCTTAAAAATTTATTAGTCAGCCAACAGAATTTTCATCATTCAAACAGCACTACGTTTTGATCGCTTAAATAATTTGTCAACTCAGAAAAACCTTCTGAAAAAAAGACTGTCTTTTAAACATACTCAAAAGAAAAAGTGTGTATTAAACAATCATTATCAATTCTGTAAACCAAACTATAATTTTTTTTTAAGCATTTACTTCAATTTGCCAATTATTCCATTTGACAGCTGTTCTGGTGATAGCTGTGAATTGCTCATCAACAAATATCCTCAGTGGTTGAAGATTTGGGAAGTTTAATGAACTAAAATATAAATTATATAAATTCTAAAATGTGAATACGTATACAAAGTTTGGGATTCATGTGACAGAGTGATAAAATAATCAAGATTTGGAAGAAAACCCGCAAGTAGAGACAGACCCAGTAAGTGATGGTTCAGCATGAGTTCACCGACTAGCAGACCAAAAGCCATTATCAGCTCCATAGATAGAACTACAGAGATACATATTTGAATTGCTCTTCAACCAACACTTGCATTGGTTGAAGATTTGAAAAGTTCACTGAAATAAATTCTAAATTATATAAATATATAATATATATCTAATAATATCTTAACGCACTACCAAATTTTGCATGCAGAAGTGACAAGATATAGTAAGGAATACGTCTTCCCAAACAACATAACTCACAGACAGCTTAAGGTGGAACAAAGCGAGTGATAAAAGGCAGACTAGCAGGATTGTGAACGTTCAAGCTGTAACTGCATCAACGGTGAAATTTTAAAAACAAAATTTTTAAATTATACTGCCTCCAGGGCATCCATTTCTTCAGTTCTACAGGGTAGCATATGGCCCGTATTTTCTCTATACTAATGATTTTCCTTTCTATGAGCGCATAACAGATTTTGTAGCATAGCTCTTATCAATGAGGAGCACAATTTAGTACATAATTGATTTATTTTAAATAACACAGCTGTATAATGTAAATGATGAAATACTAACGTTGACTATAATAATTATAATAATACCAAAGTAGCTGCAACTGTTCAATCAAAAAACAAAGAATATTTGTACACAATACGTAGATGATTTTAATTCAACTATCAAAGATCTTACTGAATTTCGGTCAACCTGTGTTAGATAAAAACAGGAAATTATAATCATTTATAGTGTGTTTACGTCAACATTCTCAATCTGACATGCCCACGTGGCAGGCTGATGAAATAACATCTGATACGTGGTAACTTCTGTTGTTCTGGTGGTTAGATGCCATATTGACATGTATAAATGATGAAACACTGCTGAGCAAAGTTATAAACTCGAACGAACGATCATCATAGCGATATTCATTAATTTTTCGTTTGTCAGTTTCAAAAGAACTAGGCCAGCTACATAGATCACGATGATCGGAAACGACCAAAGTACAGGTTCACCACCTCGGAGACCTAAAGGAGAAATCCCACAACATAACATTTTAATCGCTGTATAATGGAAAACCTAATTAAGGGGAAAATTGAAATTTTCGACAAAGTATAAAAAGAAGCTGATGAAAAAAAAAGGTGTACAAGTATACAAAGTTGAAAATTCACCTTCACGTGACAGGCTGATAAAATACAAGTACAGCTAAGCCTTAGTCATGTGTTGACTTTGTAAAACTTCATTTGAAAGCACTTTCTGAATTCGATCATGGATTAATTGTAATTGCATTAATTTATTGAGATTTTATTATTTTAAACGCGGATATTGTACCTTTTGATAGACCATTTAACTAAAGAGGTTCTTCAACGACTTGAACAGCAAATAGCACAAGAAATCTTAATATTAACATTCTCGTAAATGTTACTCTTGCCAATTTTATTTTTCAAACTTCATCTAAACCTGTAAGAATTTTTGTAAGAATTTTTCTAAAGAGAATACATATCGTTGAACACTAAATTTTCATTTTCTTTTTGCTCATTTCAGTTTCAGAATGTGAAATGAAAGAAAATTACGTCGGACCGATTTGTTCAAATGATTGATTAACACATTGCCGTCAATCGTTATGTAATTTTAAATTTTTACAATCCACGACGCCTGATTTTTTCATTCTTAATGCTTCCTAGGACAGGCTCCAGTTATTCATAAGTTATAGTTTTATTATTATTTTTAGTAATCCATACAAGTATTTAGTAGTCATAATTGACCTATTAATTATTTTAATTAATTAGAGCTGAAGGTGGTGGGTTCGAATCCTGATCGTGACTTTACCTTTTTCATCTGAACCAAGATCTTAGATAAAAAGTATAATTAATTATTTTTACTACTGAGATTTTGAGAGCTTTGGTTTGAACTGATGTCGTATAAATCTAACATATCTACAATTTATTCTTGTATAAACAGGGATTTCGTTGTTGATAAAAGGCTTGGATTTATGATGTTTATTTAGAACTCCAACGGTTTTTACTAAGATTGGTTTTTTAAAAATTACTTTCATTACTTTGGTACATTAACCGTCAAGCTTTTCTTCTACTACTAATCCTTGACGTTTATTTGAAAATTTTGTCGGAAAATTTACAACATTTAACACCTGCTTTTCGTTTTTACGATAATTGACTTCAAGGTTGTTAACAATTCTGTGATATTGTTTGTAATTGTTACGTTTGGTAAAACGTGCAACTTTGCCACTTTATCTGACATTGTAGTTTAAAAAAAGATAAAAATAATTAAATTGGTATTAACATCTTCATTACTTTAGGAGGACTAACGCGTGATACGGCGAGTAGACTCAACCACTGAAGATGACGAGTATTTCATTAATAAAATACAAACATTAATGCATCAAAAAGGTCTAATAGCGCTTAAAAAGTGAAATCAAAATCATTTATACAGTACTTCAAATAGTGTACTCTCAAAATTTACCCTTTGTGTTTATTCTTATCAACTATGATCACTTATTTGAATATTTGAAGTGCAAATATCTCTTAAATTGACTAATACATGAATTAAATTCAGATAAGCAAAAAATTTAGACCAAATCTGGGTCCAATGTATGCAACTGATGGAACGTTTTATAGATAAATGTTTAAATTTTGAGATTTCTTCATGGATCTGTGCGGTGAATCACCTGTAATTTGTTCATTACCGATCATTTTGGCCTGCCAGATGCGTTGTAGCCGTTGTGGTTCTTTGCCATCTTCAGTGTTTAATATTTTGTCAATCATGTCCAGAAGCAAAAATTCTGCTCTATAGTCAGAGGTATAAGAAAGATTAGAAATCGACACAAACCTAACACTGAAGACGGTGAAATGCCGAAACGCGTCTGCAGACCAACCCAGCGGAAGACAGGTAGACCAAAATGATGTCATAATATAATTATTTCTAAAAACAAGGCCGTAATTTTTTATCATACTGTATTTATATTGGATTATTGGAAGCAAGCGTGTTCCACATACAAAACCCTTAAAACTGTACAAATAAATACACTATAAAGATCAACGGTACATATGTACGCTATAAAGCTGGAGTTCCGGAAGGATCTATTTTGTGCCCGACTTTTTTTTCCAAATTGAAGATTATCTGTTAGAGTTATACACAACAATTATTCTGCCTAGTGGCACGTTGCTATGAGGAGGATCAGGGCAAATTAAAATAGAACCAGTACTAGAAAATAAATTTATGATAATTTTGTCCTAGTGTATAAGAAATAAGCGTCTAATCTCTATGCTGAAATCTAAACCATCAAAGAATAATAATTAAAAAATCCAAAAGGCTTGAATATATTTATTAGCGTGAATCTACAGTGTAAAAGGGTGTAGAGGAATATCGAGTATTCCACCACCCTACTTTATTTTTAATTAACACTACTTTTTTAATTGCAGGTTATTATTGTATAGTTTGGTGATAGATGTATTTTGTATTAATTGCTTTGTGAGAATGAATTTATAAGCGTGAATTTATGTAGAACAAGAGCGTCCATGGCGGAATATCGAGTCCACCAACCTACGTGAGTGAATGATGTGTAAATAGAAAATAATATATTTAAGAATGAGTGTGTCTAGATTTATGAAGCGCATGCATTGGGCGTGGAAAAACATCGTTGTCAACAGCCTGACTCCATTGGCAAGACGTGTAATATTTAACCTAAAATTATTTAAAGGTTGGTAAGCTCGAAAGTTGGGTTCCTCATGCATAAACGTTTTCCCGATAGAATTGTTTCTTGCTATGAAACGTGGATTCTCTAAGATAACAGCAGACGTTCTGGACAGTGGACAAAGGAAAAAAAGCACCACATTTTCCAAAGCCCCCAATTCATAATAAAAAGGTGATGGTGATACTTTGGTGGCTTCATTTGGGCTGATTTACTACAGCTTCTTAATTCTGGCGAAACAATCAATGGCAGAAATTGAAGCCATGCTTGGTCAATCGGAAAAGGCCGATTCTGTTACACCAAGTTATGTGACAATACGAAAACTGTTGGATCTTTGGTTATGAGGTTCTGCCTCAACCTCCCTATTCTCCAGACCTCTTCTACCAACTACCATTTTTTCAGACACCTGCACGTTTTACAAAAAATAAATAAATAAATAAAATAAAGTAAAAAAATCTATAAAAAATACCCCTTTTCAGAGAGTATAGAGAAGTTGTAAAAAGAATAAAAAATATTTTAAATCATTGATTAAATTGGTTTTATTTTATAACCATAAACCTGCATTATTTTACAGACAACGCAACTTTAAAATAAATTGACAAATTCTAGCATTTAGTTTTTAAATTGGGATGGAAACAATAGTCCCCTCAGGATAATAGGGTGAACCATAAAATATGACCAATTTTATTTTCTTGAAAATAGTAATCACATTAAGTTTTATGTTTCCAATAATACCAATATTTGATACCAGTTTAATCTGTAGACTATACTAAATGAATGTGTAAAAAAATTATCTTGTCCTCCCTTCAATTTTGTCTTAGCGTTTGGTTAAACAACATGACGATAAAATTTGAAATTTTGGTAATATTACGCTTTTATTGAAAACGCAAGTTTTCTGCTGTCGAAACAACCCCTTCGGTGCTGCAATTTGAAGAAGAGGATGCTCTCTCTGAACGGACAGTGTGCAGATGTTTAAAAATTTGAAGCCGGTGACGATCAGCCTCGAGAGGAAACAGGGTTCTGGACGAAAATCATCATTCCATGAAGAAGCTCTTCGGGACTCTGTTGAGGCAGACCCAACGAAAAGAGCTTGGAGTTTTCCAATCCACCATAAATCGTGGACTGCATAACTTGGTTGAAGTGAATCGCTCTAAGAGTGGTTCCCTATGAGTTGACCATTGAGCAAGCACGACGCCAAGTAGAAATTTGTCAACATCTTTTAAAAAACGCAAATGACCTTCAGTTCATCAAAAGAATAGTTACTTGCGATGAAAAGTGGATATATTGGAGAAACCCCAAGACCAAGAAACAATGACTAAACTGCAATCAGCTAGTTCTACCAGTCGTTTAACAATGGCAATACGACGAAAAGACTCTCTATATGTTGGAATTACGAAGGCATAATACATTATGAGTTCATTTTAGTAGGTCGAACTATTGTTTAAAACATTATTGTGAGCAGTTACAAAAATGCATGGTGTTCTGACCCAGCGTTACCCAGTATTATGAACTATTCAACAAGATAACGCTCAAGACACACTTCTCGTTACACGGAACCAAAAACATAATTGGATGGAATTGAGCTTCTCCCTCACCCTGCTTACAGTCCTGACTTAGCACCTTCCGACTACCATCTCCAAAGCTCAAGAACAACAAAGAGGTCCAAAGCTCATTATTTTTAAGGGAAAACTTTTAATTTTCTGGATGAGGTTCAAAATGGAGTTGCAGAATTCCGTTCATAACCCAAAGAGTGGTATTGGTGAAGGAGTCCAACACCTGGCCTCGAGGCATATACAACATAATTTGAACATTAAAAAAATGTGTCAAAATAAAATTATTTTTAAATTAGCAAGAAAAACGGTCATTTTTTTATGGGTCACCTATTATTTGCAAATGAATTAATTAGAGTACCGTAAGGTAAAGGTCCCGGGTTCGAATCCAGCGGCTCTGCATTCGAACCCGACACACTTACAAATGGGCTTTTTATCAAAAACACCGGCACCCCGAGAGTTGATATAACCTCTGCTGTTGCGAACCCTCGTAAAAAAATAAATAAATAATTAATTAGAGCAGATTAATTAGTTGATATTTTAATATTTAAAGACCGTTTATAAAGTGCGCATTTGGTGGTTGTAAGATATCCAACGATATTTAGGCAGGGTTCATTCAGGCCTTTTTTTGAAACATTTGCTTTGAGGATTTATTAAATTTTTCTTTGCAGCTTTATGTAATCTTGTCTTCTTTTTTTTTAAACGGACAATAATCGTTTGATATTTAGCGATTACACCATGGGCTATGTTTAGTGTCATTAGTTCGATTTGCAACATATCTTCGCTGCCAACGCCAAACGAGCCAGCGAGGCCGGGCGAACCCAAGGTCGGTCGTAACGATTGGAAGCCTAACAAGTTCAGTAATCGTAATCCGTCAAACGAAAAGACAGGCAAAAAAGATACCTTTAAATAAAATTCTACTGACGCAAGGAGTAAATTCGTCCCGTCCCCACCACGTACAGAAGGAGTCTTAAGTTAGCGCCAGCTTTACGTTATTCAGTGCCGCCGTTCGAAAAGTGTTAGGACCTCATGAATAGTGATCTCTCTACAAAACAAAGTAAGAATGGAATTTTCGATAATGAACAAAAATCATCTCTTTTAAAAGATCAAACTTTCCGTATAAGAAGATTTTTCATTCTGAAGAAATTTCTTATTAAAAAACTATAATTAAAGCCGAAAAAGTCAATATGAATTTAATTTTAACGCATATAAATACAAATACCAGAGAGCTATAATTATTTAACACTATGATTATAATTATTACTTGTCAGCTTATTTCTCCAACTCCATGTTGCTGGTGATGAAATAACGCCCGATAATTGAAAAACTTTGGTGGCTAGATATCGATATAGTAGGTAAAAGTATTAAAGATGAGTATATTTTCTTGTGTACGATGTTGATGAACTCAATAAACTTATTTGATGAGAAAAAATATTAAATGTTCTATATGAAAAATAAACATATAGTTTAATGTTAATTTATATTCAGAAGCCTATGTAAAATGTCTACTTTTTGCGTGCAGCACGGGAAAATAATAATGGAGTTAAAATTATTAATTTGCATTATTAAATTAACAAACGCTTTTATTTATTATTAAAAATTTATGAAATTGACTAAATTTAAAAAAAGAAAAGAAATGTTTTTTGAACATGAATTCTATGCAGAGGGACAAGTCAACGAAATAAAATTATTATTTTTTAATATTTTAATTTAATGTTTATTTGAATATTTAAAGTTCAAGTTTGGAGAAGTCGTAAACAATCTTTTTTTATTTGTATGGGTCTAGTCGGAATGATAACTTCGTTTTCTGCAAAAAAAAAAAAAAAAAAAAAAAAAAAAAAAATATTCCGGATAGAAATTGATTGAAAAAGCACTGAAATTTCTTTAAAAATTTAATAAAATAAACAGGCTTAAGATTACAATATGAAAAATAAGCATGTTCTCTCTCTCTCTCTCTCTCTCTCTCTCTCTCTCTCTCTCTCTCTCTCTCTCTCTCTCTCTCTCTCTCTCTCTCTCTCAAAAAAAAAAAAGAAGAAAGTTTGATTAAAAATTTAAGAATGAAACTTAATCCTCCATTTCCTAAACAATTTAGGTCGTTCTTGAACTAAATTTAAAATATTTGCTAACTATAATGAAGCCAATTGACCGTGATGTCGATTTCAAAGTGAAAACTCATTGGATTTCTGTGCAAATTTCTCAATTAAAATACAAGTCAATGTCCAAGTACAACTGACAGACGGATGTGTTTCTATAAATTAAAGTTAGTTACACAATAGAATTTGTATTGATTGGCAATTCTGCAAGGGAACTCTGAAATTACAAACAACAGAACGTTTAACCCAATTCTGGGTCAATGTGCTAGATGGTTTTAGCGTTTGATTCGTATGGTATATTTATTTTTAGTTTATTGTCATCAAAAATGTATTGGAACAAACCTGTAGAAGTTAGTTAGATAGATAAATAAATAGAGAGACACTTCTATTGATAATTGTGAACGTAATTAACAAATGTGTGGTGATTAGTGACCGTTAATTGTTAATTATTCAGAAATCGTGAGATGCGGTCTGGTGTGATGTAGGTTTCAGAAAAACATTTTCTTTATCGTGCCAACGTTTCGATCTTTATTCAGATCATCTTCAGGGCTCAAAGTTTTTGTTTTATGCGAAATTGTGCCATTCTTGCGTGTCGTGTCGAGAGTGCACAAGAAGGGCACAATTACACAGAAGATAAACACTTTGAGCCCTGAAGATGATCTCAATAAAGATCGAAACGGCACGATAAAGACAATGTTTTTCTGAAACCTACATCACACCAGACCGCATTTCACGATTTCTGAATAATTAGTAATTAACAAACAAATAATTGCCAAAAACATTCCGCATGGATAGAAAATCCGCTTGCCGGATATGTAGAAGTTAATTTTTAATTGTTATAACGAAATAAACGGACAAAGGATAGAGAAAAATAGAATACTCTTGAAAAGACATTGAGACAATATTCTCCAAAACAAAGATACCATCGAAATATTTACACAAAACATAAAAAAAGAATCTGCTCAAAAAAGTGAACAAGAAGACACATGGTCGAAGGACAATTTGCACACATCAGAAAAAGTAAACTAAGTAAATTAATTACGAAAGAAAACTTTGAAGACAAACATGAACAATAGGTGGCGGACAGAAAAGACTCAAAGGTCGAACAACAACAATTTGTACATATGAAAAACAGAATAATTTAGAAAAGACCGGTCGAAGATAAACTCTTCTATAAATTTGATATAAGATATAACCCCACGAACAAAACCAAATACGCAATAGCAAAACAACACACAATACAAAAGAAAAGACGATAACGCAGATAAATTCGTACAAAAAGATGGACCCAAAATGAAAGATACATCTGAAAAACAGAATAATCTAGGATTGGCAGCCAAGAAGGCAAAACTCAAATAGTTGGCTATAAAAAAAAGTCGAATACATGCACAATAAAAAAAGAGAGTATTCAGAAAACACCGAACATGAACATAAACAAAAGTGAACATAACGCAGAAGACAAATAGTGATATAATTCACTGTCAACATTAAAATACAAAAGCTATTTTGACAAGTTCGTGGTCTTGGGTAGACATAAGACAAGGTAGAAAAATAAAAGCCATAAACAGAAAAAATACTCTAAGTAAGACATGGACATCGATGACATTCACAAAATTGTGCATAAGACAAACTACTTTCAATGAAAAAGAATCATTCTTTAACAAAACCACAAACACGAAAATCAATGAACTAAAAAGCATAGAAAATTAACCTTAATAAAACGTGAGCCACTGAAAATACGCTCAGCGAGATAAGGTGGACACAAAGAAATCTTTTCTTATTAACCCGTGTTTGTCACGTGTAATTTTCATATTTAATTTCCTTCTGGATAATACTGTTTGCAATTGTGTTAAAAAATATCCCTAATTATGCTTGATTGACGACGCCTATGTGTGTGTGGAGAGACCGGCATCCGAATAAACGGTTTTTGCTCTTCCTGAGGTAAATTTCAACGTGAACAATGCTAAAATTAATGTAAAATTTTGTTAAACTTTGATGATAGATCAGAATTTTAAATGGGCGGTACATCTGTTTACTTTTGTGAAGTCTATATTTTTGATTTGTTTGCTTTTTTTTTATTTTTAAAACAGAAATCCATGTTATCATACTTTACAGTTGTAGAAAGTAAAATAAGCAAAAAGTCCAGTTTTAAGTTTTCCTAAACTAAGACAATCGAAAAATTTAACATTTTTATTTACTCTTCCTATACATTAAATAGTCGAAAGTAGAAAACAAAGTGGTATAAATCTACATAAACATTCATTAACTAAAGCTGAAAAAAATGTTCACGAGACAACAGCAAATTAAGAAGAAACACAAGTGGAATAAAAAGTTTATTAGTATTAAGTTCGAGAACACATGACAAAGATTTGATCCACATGAAAAGGCTTCAAAAGGGAACAAGGGACAGAAGAAGTGATGGCTGAAAATGCAGCCAGTAGAGGCGAAAAGATACGGAACTACTGCATCGACCATCAAAAGACTCCATGGGATTCGGAAACTGCATGGAGTGATGATACGTTGACACCTTATGAATATAGCCAACGATAATTGTAAGTTTTTCTTTTTGTTGGAAAAAACGCCCGAGCCCAGTACCGAAAAATCATACGATATCATTTCACTTTCATCGAATTCCGGACGTTTTCTATACAATTTTTTTAAAATATACGTTTGTTTAAATTGTACGTTAGGAACATTTATTTATTCATTGATTATAAATGAAAATATTCTATTATTTTGAAAGAGTTCCAACCTCATGTGTCCATTTTTAAAAGTAGAATAAGGTCAGGGATGATTATCTGCTTTGACGAATTTCACTCCAAAATATTACGATTTCGGGAATTCTTTCTCATAAAAACGCGAAAAACATACCAATGAATCTCAGTTATTGCATTATTAGAACTTCTTTTTGTACTTATCTATGTTAAAAAAAAACATTATTTTTATTATAAATTTCTAAATAGATATTGAGGGAAAGGCTTTCTATTTGCATTTTGTTTGAAGTAAATTTTTGGTTTGTACACACTTTTATTTTAACAAAATATGCATAAATACTTAACTTCAGATTAATGGCGAGTTTAATCCAAACGAATTTCATCACATTTACACCTCTAATAAGCATTATTTTAATATTTTCTTCTTCAAAGATCAAATATCCTGAATCCATTCCTGAAATATCCTTGGGTGATATTATAAGGAATGTATTATTTAATGAATCAAGGTGTACTTTCCATCATTGCAATACTGACATCAATCAGTGTACTGGCAGTCATAGTCAGTCTGTGAATTAGAAGTTTTGCAGGTCCTGTCCCAAGTCTTCTTTTTGGGCTTTGTGCACATTAGCTACCTAAACTAAACTACCCGAGGTAACGCATGTTAATATTTTTCAAACTGATAAGAAATTTAATCTGAATAGAATCCATGCAGCAGAATGTGTTCAGTTGAATCGAAGATGGTTCTGACTTTTCAAACCAAACTACACACACCTAGAACACCGAACAGTCATTCTCAAAATAAAGAAAGAAACTGTTACACTGCTTGTACAACTTAGATCTTCTGCAGCATAGACGCACTATTTTTTAGAATAAAAGAGTGAAAAGTCACTGAACACAGACAAGTTCAGACAATCTTAATACACGTTGAAAAGAACGCAATTTAAGAATGATTAAGTGTAATGTGGTGAAAACCCAGAATTTTAAGTTTCTTGACTGAATAGTACAGATTCAATAAACAGTGAAAAAATTGGCATCAGAGAACAGGATTGAAATCTCTGTGGTAGAAATTGTAATTGAGAAATAATAAAATTTATAAATAAATTAGGTCATTGTTGTACTGTACTGCTAACATAATGAAGGATACATTTACTCTTTTATGGCCCAGCATGATTAGACTCCCACAACATCAACATTCCCAAAAAAGGATTTAACATTCCTGTATTACATTGGTCCCATTTCAAAACATAAAATTACCCTAAAACTAATATTTATTCTTGTTATAGGTCATGAAGACGGAATCATGGGGGACAGGTTCTACACTGCAACAAGAAAGAGCACGAAGAGGAGGATGGTCAAATCAGCTTGATTTCCTATTTTCTTGCATTAGTCTTTCTGTCGGACTTGGCAATGTTTGGCGATTTCCATACTTATGCTATGAAAATGGAGGGGGTAGGTGAAAATTAAAAAGCAAACCTATCATATTATTGATAAATTATACTTTTTAGGTGTGTTTCTTGTCACATACAGTATTGCTATGTGTGTATGTGGGATACCGATGTTTTTTCAAGAAGTGGCGATGGGACAGTACCTTGGATCTGGAGGGTGCACATTGGTAGGACAATTATGCCCTATTTTCAAAGGTACATTTTATTCTTGTATTTGCCTCAAGATATGAAATTTTATAAATTCACATGCTAGTTCATCATGTACTTTTTTTTTTTTTTTTTTTTTTTTTTTTTTTTTTTTTTTTTTTTTTTTTTTTTTCTTAGTCGGAATGTTTATTCTGCAGGAAATCATTATTTTCAGGAGTGGGCTCTGCTACAATGACTTTAGTGTTCTTTCTCAACGTATACTACTGCATAATTATTTCTTGGACACTATTTTATTTGATAAGCACGTTCTATTATTTTCCAGATCTTCCTTGGCAGTTTTGTGGTATGTCTTTATTTTTTTCACATTGTTAACATCATAAAACTTTGTCATTGAATTATTTAAATGCTAAAAGATTTTATGAGATTTTTTAAAGAATTTTGTTTTTTAATTGAGAAATTATAATTTTAAAAATTAAATACATCGATTAAAAAATAATTCTTTTTTTCAGATAACTACTGGAATACTATAAACTGCTATTCCCCTTATAGTGTAGGAAAGATAAGTAAAGTAAATGCTACAATCTCTTCAGTGGAAGAATTTTGGAAGTAAGCCAACCTATTATTTTCCTTTTGAAAACAAACGTAGAATTGTTTATTAATTTACATTACTGAAACATAAAAAGAAGTCTGTTTATACTTCGATGAATTAACACCCATTTGATGTCCTTTTTTTTTGCACAAATAATCAGAAAATCAGTAAAATAGTTAGCAGAGATGTGAAATTTGAATAATATATTTTTAGACCTGACATGTTTAATATGAAATTCTTATGGCAAACACTGTTTTTAAAAAATTAAATAAGACATTAAATATTTTAAGAAAGTTCTAATTCTTAAATAATAACCTTTAGATTTAGAGTTTTGGGAATGACAAATGGCATTACTGAAATTGGAGGTATCAGATGGGAGCTTTTGCTGTGTTTGGTCTTAGGGTGGTTGATGGTGTACCTCATTGTTTGCAAAGGAATTCACAGAAGTGGAAAGGTTTGTTTTTAAATACATTTTTCATTTATATTTATTTAAATTAATGTAACTGAGGATGTTAGGTCATTTGGGTTTCCGCACTGTTTCCGTACATTGTGTTGATAATTCTGTTTGTGAGGGCAATTACTCTTCCTGGTGCAGGTCAAGGGCTCTTTTACTTCATATACCCACAGTGGGAAAAACTTTTGTACCCTAAACCTTGGATTGATGGTGCCACGCAGATTTTCTTTGCATACAGTATTGGCACTGGAGCACTGCCTGCATTAGGATCATTCAATAATTTTCACCATAACTGTTATAGGTTTGATATATTAAAATATTTTTTGTTAATTGACAATTTAAAGAAAAAATCATTTCTAGGGATACTGTTATAACTTGCATTGTCAACACTTTAACTAGTATTTTGGCTGGATGTGTTACTTTCTCTATTTTGGGCAATCTGGCACATGAGCAGCAATTGAGTGTTGACAAAGTTGTAACATCAGGTCCAGGGCTTGTGTTTCTTACATATCCAGAAGTAGTGGTTAAACTACCTGGAGCATCTGCCTGGGCAGCAATTTTCTTCATGATGCTAATTGTGATTAAAAACAACCAACAGTAGTATTTTTTATGTATTACATTTCTTTAATATAATTCTAGGTGCTTGGGATAGACAGTGAATTCTGCTTGGTTGAATCATTCATTACAGGAATGGTGGACAATTGGCCTAAGCAACTGAGACCACACAGAGGGAAATTCACTTTTGTAATTTGCTTTATGCTTTTCATTTTAGGCATTCCAATGGTGACTAGGGTAAGCATATTAACAATTATTATGCAGCTACAAACTTTAGTTTGATCATAAACATCCATATAGCCTTTGCCTATCCTCACTGGTTTGGTCTATCAGACAAATTATAAACCAAGCATTGAAGATGGTGAAGTATAAAATCTGACAGACAAAACTAGCGCAGACTAGGATGATCAGAAATGATCACACTTCAGTTTCAGCACTCAACAGACCTAAAAAAATCACAATTGCACCAAAAAGCATTTTTCAATTTCTATCATTTCAGGGAGGATTTTACATTTTCAAATTAATGGACTATTACTCCGCATCGGGAATCAGCTTGCTATGGGTATGTATTTTTCAGACAGTCGCACTCTCCTGGGTATTCGGTGCCAAGAAGGTTGGAGATTGCATCGAAGAAATGCTGGGCAATAGGCCCAACAAATTCTTGCATATATGTTGGGTCTACTGTGCACCAATAACAATGATTGTAAGTGTAATATATAAAATTTAATTAATTACAGCTCCATTTATCAAGTAAGTGACTTTTGTTTGTTATAGGGAATTTTTTTATTCTACATGGCTCAGTTTACACCGTTACAAATTGGAGACTACGTTTATCCGTTCTGGGCCCAATTTATCGGAATATGTATAAGTATGGCATCAATGCTATGGATTCCAGGATATGCCATTTACTATTTAATTGTAACTCCTGGTCCACTGATTCAAGTAAGGTTTAAAATAAATTAAAACAAACTCAGTGAAAGTTCCACTCAATTTAAAATATTTTTGAATTAACAAATTTTAAAATCCTTTTAAAAACAAAAATTACTATAATCACTGTAGATGTCTATGCATATTTACTTATCCCATGCATTAGGTCAACTACTTCAAAAATTTAAAACTAGTTTAAAAAAAATGTACATCAATGCATACAACAAAAAGAAAATGATTTTCTTACACTTACTCTGTTTTTTTTTTCCAGAAATTAAAAGAAGGAACAAAAGCGAAAGCTTTATATGAGGAAGATCCATTACCGAAAAATTTGCTTCCTTGGTCTGACAGTAGTGCAGTTCTGTTAAAGAGAAGCTCCTATGATGAAAACCACTAATTTTAGCCAGTCAGTATTTACTTGTTGCTTGTTTTTCTGATTCAAGGTTTTTTACTGTGTCCAAATTTTAAAATTCACATTTCCTTATAAATAAACTTTAATTTATTAAAGGTGGTTAAAAAAAGTGATAAGAATTAATGTGTGTGATACAAATTTGGACTCTTACAATTACTTTGAATAGGTTTTTTTATTAGCTTTAAACATTATGTTTTGTAATAGATATTTTATTATTTTTATAATATTAGTTGTTCACTTTTACCTAAAATGCCTGTAGAGAAGAAAAAAGTAAAAGAGGTCACCTTCAAGCCCAATTCCACGGATTTTAGGGACAGAACTTTAACAATGCAGGAAGTGGAAATGTTTACCTTTGTAAAATAGAAAATAAAATTATTTTATATCAGTTGTTTATTACATTGTTTAAACTTTAAATGAATACATGTTCTATGACAAAATATATTTTTAAGAACCAATTGCTGATGATGGATACAATAACAATAATAACGGTGATTTAACAACGTATCTACTGTTGTAATAATAAATTAAAAATATCACATTATATGTCATTTAATAAAGTTATGACTTGAAGTCTTAAAAACCAATCTAAATATCTTTTATGTTAATAATTAGAATGCAATTTAATTCTTAATGAGATTTTGTTTGTTTTATTTAGAAGAAATCTAAATAGCCTAAATTATGTACCCTCTTCAAAAAGATTAATACAGTTTGGGGACCAGCAGAACATTTTTACATTAAAAGAAAATGCTTTTAAGCGATACAAGTCAAAATAAGACAAAACAATGTCAACTTCGTGATGATTAGAGAAGATTCATAGTATAGTATTAATGTGTCATCACTTCGCCATTCTGTTTAAAAATTAAATCTCAAAAATTTGTATTAACTTTAAATATTGCAGTTAGTTTTCTACTAATCAGAAAAGAATTACTAATTTCCGTCTGTCTAACCTCACTGGACCTGACAGGCACCGAAGATGGGAACCAAAATGCTTCAGACCAACCCAGCGAGGGTAGGCAGATCAAAATGATTGGTAATGACCAAATTTCAGGTTCATCACCCCGCAGACAATAGACCTAATCTCAAGCAAGGTGCTAGGCTTTTTCCCCGTGCAAATTGTAATACGTTATAAGTTATTTAAGTCAGCAAAGGTAATAAACATGATGGCTAGGATTATTTATTTTTCTAGCTTTACCTTTTTTTTTGGGGGGGGGATGATTTTTCTTTTATTTAGTTTTAATTAAAATTGTAAGGTACTTGATTTATTTTTATGAATCTATCACCTTTCTACTTTTCCGGGCTTTTGATTAGAAACAGAAGCAGTTTGAGACAAATTATTCTGATTGTCCTGTTGTGCCCTATGAAAAAATTTCATTTTTTTTTTTAAATTTGAAAGTACTAACAGCAATTTAACATAGCACTTTATTTAAAATAATTTCTAATTAATTGTAGAGAGGAAGAGAACAGTTTGTGTCGATTGTACTTAAAATATACAAGCCAACAAGTTGCTGTTAATTACAATATTTTATTAGCAGTTTGTAATAAACTTCTCAATAATATGAATAGTAATAAAAAAACTATTTCTGAAGTGATCTGTTAAATTATTGCAAAATTAGTTTGTTTTTTTTTTTTTGTAGAAGAAAACTCTTACAAATGAAAACTTTGACCCATTTGATGTTTTTAGATAAGGTGTTTATATTTGAAATAAAAGAGAAGATGCATTTTATAGTTGATGTTAGAGTTTGGGTCTGTGAGTTGGCGAACTCTTGCTGTATCAGGTTTGTTTTCACTTGTGGGTTTGTTGTCCTACTCAAACATGTTTCAGCATTGAGCCAGTGAGGAACTTCACCCTAAGACAGACCCAGTAAATGACCAATCCTGATTCAACATCAAATGCAATTTGTTAAACTCAATAAAAATTTTAAAATCTTATATGCAATTAAATTGTTCAAAAATATTTCAGTACAGTCCTATATTACAGTTTTCTTTGCTATTGTCAAAAAATGTGATGCTCTGTACTGGATCATCTTTAGTTTTTGTCAGAAAAAACAAGAATAATGGGCAATACAATCTGACAGCACAAGAGATTAAATGTAAATAAAGTTAGAAAACATATGTTATTACCTTAGTATATAGCAATACAACTTAAATAATTAAGCAATTATATATTTTCAGCCTTAGCTTACACCTGGGTTTTAAGTTTAAAAAAAAAAACACAATATTTTAGTTGAAATTGTTTCTTTTTTACTATAGGTTGGGTGAAAATGAGCAGAAGATATACAGATTCTAAAGATTTGTTAAGGTACGCTAAGAAGAGAAGTTTTTTACAACTTTAAACTTTAAAAACAAAATTTAAATATCCACGATTATTTGTATACAATGTAATTACAAATAAAGTTTGACCTTTTAGGGTTTCATGGATTGATAGGAAAGTTAAAGAATATGAACCTAAAGAGGTAGAAAAAGTTCAGCCAAAAGTGGTCCATTTGCGTTTCTTCGATGGCATTTCTGACTTTCACATCCAATACTTTGTCGAAAAATTTAGAAGAAAACAAACAAAAGAGAATGATGTCATTACACTCAACGATGTAAAAGATGTCGTTTTGTACACATTCTGGGGCAACCTGAATCCAAATTTCATCGATTTCTTTTATACGATTGCAGTCGATCAGTTTCTAAGGGCTCTCCTCCTGTACTTCCAATACTTCATCAGAGTAAATAGACATATAATTTTTGAATTTGTAACACTGTCAAAAATGCATTATTTTTGTCAACAGCTGTCCAGTTCTATGTTAATTTTTGCACAGAATAAAAGCAGAAAGTTGGAGTTAGTGTATAAAAAATTCAAATGCAAAAAATATTTTTTGCGTATTGAACTACTTTGTTTTGATTAAATGTGGCATTTTTACAGTTATTCTAATTCTATTGTAAATCAAAATATAATAGACTAGTTACTAATTATACATTAATTACAGCTCTTTTACATTATTGTGGAGCGCAGTAAACTGAAAAAAACTCATATATCACACCCTAATTCAAAACTACATGAAACCAAATGGCGCCAGCAACTCTCTGACTTAAGATTTATTGTCGCTCGAGAATACTCTTCAATTTTACTCGGTCTGAAAGGCACTGCAAAATTCCATCACTTTTGCAGTAACAATCAATCGCCTGAGTCGGATAGGATGCTTTATGAAAATCTGCATTTATTTTCTTTGAGGATCCTTGAAGTTGTTTTAGGAGAAAGAGAAAATCTAGCATTATATGTAAGGGAATAGTATGAATCATTTTATTTTACAAAAGAGTATAAGTGACAATGTTTCAGGAAGAGTTTAACCGCTTGTTTATGACTGGAACTATAGGTACAAAGAAAAGAAAAAAAGGTATTCTCAACAAGTTAGATGTCGATCTTGAATTTCCATTCTATTGTCCAAAACTTCAATTTAAAACCCCACTAGTCAAGGAATTATACAGGCCAAATCGTGATCCAATCTTGAAAAATATTGGTGTTAAAAAGATGGAAACCATGTAAGAGTTAATATTTTATTCTGTTTACACTTGGGCAAACATTTTTCTGAATTTTTCTTTTTGTTTGAAACCCATAGACAAATCATTACAGGCAATACTATTCGAGAAAGAGTAATTTTATTAGCATAAGAACTTTTCAGTCCAGATGACTACCTTCTGGGTGTTGAACTTGGTCTGCTCTGTAACGAGGAACATTTTACCGAGGCGAATTTTTCTTTTGGTATTTTGGGAAAGGAAAGGGTGTTATTTGATCCATTGTTTGCATTTCGAGAGGATTTATTAATGGATGTTCAGGATTGTTCTAAATATGAAGTAAAGCACAAAACTACATTTGGAGAGTGGACAGTGGACAGGCGCCAGGCTTATTCTGTTCTTGCTAAGATAGATGCCAATTCACCTTACAAGTAAGAAAGATAAAAAAATTTAACTATTTAAAATTTATTATAAATTTAAAAATTATTACAGTGTAAAAAATAAGTTTTATGAGCCAAATAAAAATGCTCGAAGGGAACGAATACAACTGAGAGAGATGTGGATTCAAAATTCAGATTTGAAGTGCAGGCTTAAGTATGGGCTGGAGACTGGAGAAAGGGCCATCCTTACACCAAAAGAGCTGGAAAATAAACGAAATCAAAGAATTTTGAAGGTCGATGACCTACCCAATAAACAATTGTCTGATGAGTTAATTGCGAAGTTGTTGGTTAGTACCACGCAAAAAAAGCATCTCAAGGACCTCAGCCTGTCATCTCTTTTATCCTTTTCATCATCAAGTGAGCAAATCCAGCCAGATGCTGTATCTCTTTTTGAAGATGAAAAAGATGCAATACAACCTACGTCCTGAAAAACTTTAACAGGCTTAAAAGTAATATAATATAAAAAAATAAAATAAACTTCTTACAAATAATATTAAGAAAAATCAGATAATAAAATAATGATAACATTTTTTGTACTTTTATTTTCATTATTTAATAGTACAATCATGGTACATATTAAAATGTTATAAAAGAGTTTTATAGGGTAAATTTAATCAAACTTTCAGTTTTCATAATTCTACTATGATGAGTCTACATTAATTTTTTTTTTGTTAACTGAAAGTCATAAAATGATATTACGGTTTTAGTATATGATCTTTAGTGAGTAGAAGCATTTTGCAATTTAACCGTTTTTCTTATTTGTTTATATGTGCTTACTAGTGTAATCATCAGGTATTAGGTCAGAATTGATTTTGACTTAATACCTGATAAATACACACATAAAAACACAAGGTCGATCCATCACTTGGCAATGTATTTACTAGATTTACAGATAGCCCACTGCACTGAGTCTTGTTTTTTTAAACGTCTCGATGTTTTTAAATGTAAACTATTGTTATTTTCTTTTATACTTTTTGGAAGACAACAAAATTGAAAGAGGAATTAAGGTAGCATGTATATATTAATAGCATCATGATAATTGCTGATCCATTTATCAAATTATTGTAATATAATATGGCATATTTTTACTATGTCAAAAATAGAGACCTAAAGTTATATTTTTAAATTTATTCTAAATTTAAATTTAAATGTGTTTTGGTACAACTTTTGCAACTATAAATCATGGTGATCAAAACCACTTTTTGCAATGCTTATTTTATGAACATGCTGTTCAAGTTGAATTTGCTGTTTTGACTATTTCATTTTGTTTTATGTTTAATAAATTGATATATTGTTAATACATTTGTGGTTCAATGTGTTGAATCCAACATGCTTTTCATTAGACTTTTCCAATAGATGTTGGTGTGGCAAATCATTGTCCAAGCACTCAGCTTAATGACACCACTTCTGAGATGCTCTAAATGAAGGGTGGATTCTATTTGATTTGTTTATGACCAAAAGAGTTCTGCAATCTTCAAATGCTTGCTGGCAAAATCCAATCTCAGTTAGACTCTTTTTCCTGGTTTTTAGCTTTGTTGTATTCATTTGTCAAACTGCTCAACCTCAATGGTGAGGAGCTCAACCTGTCTTCTCAAAAATCTGCACTTTCCTGAAACACTAAATTGGTAGATTGAAATATGATATATTGCAAGTCTGGCAAGTTGGAAGAAACAATTGTAATTTTAAAAGCTTGGAAATGACGTCATTTTGCAATTGAAAATGAAAACCTTTAATAATATTAGCAAAGAATTTGTTATGATTTTAAAGTTTCTTCCTGGTTCATCTTATTCAATATAAGACCTAATTTTTTTTATTACAAATCCTATAAGCTGATTCTTACATTACAGTGAAAAATTTAATTATTATTTATGGGTAAAAACCCAGTTACAAATAAATAACATATCATAAATAATTTTTAAATACAAAATATAGATTAATTTCTAATATAAAATTAAAACTAAATAAGCAAAAAAGACAGAAATTCAACAAAACAAAATTATATCTACATATGTTACGATGCAAAGACACACATTTTTAATTAACAAAACTATGTGAAATTGCAGACATTGTGTTTAAGTTAATTATGATATAAATGATAAATATCAACAGAGAAACTAGATTTTCATATCACCTACAAAGAGTTCAAAATTAATTTGTGTAAAACAAGATGAAATGACATTTGTAAATAGTTTAAACAGGAAAGGCCCAAATAGAACACCCTGAGGAACTCCAGAGTGGATAGAATATGCTTTAGACACTAGGAATATTTATTTGACGATGTGATATCTTCCTATTAAGAAAGAATAAAACTATTTCAAGATAGATTCATGAATTACATAATAAAGAAAGTTTGTTAAACCTGATGAGCTGCAAAGGGCTTTATAATATAGTCCTAAAATATAACTAATGTTAGTTTTTGTTGATTAGCAGAATGGCAACCATGTTCTGAGATTATTAAACTTTTAAGAAAGGATTGAAGTTTGTTTAAAATAAGAGATTAAAAGATTTTAGTTGTTGCCGAACTATATGGGTCTATAGTTTTAAAATTTGCTTTACTGTCATATATTAAATTGAGTTGAAAATCATTACTGCTCAGAGATTAGATCTTCGTCTTCTCTTTTAAATGTTTGTCTTATACACAAAATTTTCTCTTTTAATATTATTATGTTTTTAATATTAACACAAATGTATTCTTTTTTTCAGTTCAATGAGAAGGAATTGTAATTGAGAGAGATAATATTTGATTTTCTTATAGAATAGAGGTTAGGAGAAGGGAAGTATTATAGTTTTACTTTAATCTAATCAAATACAAATTCAGAAGTTAAATTTAAAGAGAAATAATTTAAATACTAAGATTACCCAACTCTCTTTTAATAGTTGGAAGGATTATACATTGGAGCGCTAAAATGAGTATTGTGAATGAATAGAAACGTTCCCTTTGAGGAATAGTTCCTTTTGGAACAGTTCTTTTTATTGACCTATGTAGTCATACATAATAATTTTTTTAAAGTTAACTATTTGTTGGTACAATTTATGTAAGAGAATTGTGGCTGACAGGGAGATTTAAAGCCAAAAATAAATAAACAATGTAGAAACAAAAGAAAAGCATTTACCAATAACAACTTTTAAAATGCTAAAATAATGAGAGTTTTTAAAATCTATTTATTTAGGTCAGATTGAAAGGGTTTTAGGGGTTGAGATTGAATTATTTTGAATTTATAATATGAAGTTATTAGAAGCTTCAATGGTACTAACAAATATTACTATCATTACTAAAGAAAAAAAAAGTAAATTAGTTACTTTTTATCTCTTTAATTATATTTCTGTATATGGTTATCAATTATTGGAGCTTAATATTGAACAAACTGAATGATAAAAAATGTTGGTATTGATTTTTATCATAAGTTGAAGTTTAAAAGTCACATTAAATTAAAGAAGAACATTAAAGAATAAATTGTCAGTTAAATTTTAATTTATCACTAAATGATTTTCCGGTTTTTTGGTGAATTGTTTTTTCATAATTAAATAATTTTTTTAAAATTCAAGAATTTCTGATCCAGTTTAACTTGGTTTACAACAAATCATATAACGATAAAAATACATTCATATAGTTTGATGTGAACAACAAAATATAAAAGAAACTATAAAAAAATAGCTGGCAAGCAATATAGTACAACAAAAAATTATAACAAATTGAGAGAAATCAAAGCTAGTACTAGAATACAGAAAACAGCAATCCGAAAATACAGAAAGGAAGAAACAGTACTACTAGGTTGTAAATTGGTCATTGTAGGATTACGCCATTACCTGATGGCGAGGAAACTGCCACCTAATGCTTGACGTGCGGAGAGGTATTAACTGTAAAGCATTTGCCTGTGTTCTATAGAAAATATGCGCTTCTACTAGTCAAATACGATTTGCCGCATAGCTTATGAGAAGTTCTGGTTGACTGTCGAGAGACTAAAGATAGACTGATGGAATTCTCACATGAGACTGGATTGATAAACTTAATTTAATTTTGGTGTAAATAATTTTATGTATGTCTAAATATAATTAATCTATTTTTGCTTAGTGACCAAATTAATTATTTCAATTAATTATCTTTTTATCTAAGGTTTTTGATTGAGATGAAAAATTAGTGTTGAAATATGTCCAAAAGCGGGAACATTGAATGGTTGTAGGTTGAGAGGGTGGTTAGAGCAGCAGCGTATTACGCCGAAGGTTGTGGGTTGGCATCCAGCTCATGACACTAATTTTTCCTCTCAACCAAAAACCTTAGATAAAAAGAATAATTAAACTAAATATAATGTAATTTAGGCAGTTTTAACAGTTTTTTATCAAATAAATTTCTCAAGGTACCCAGATAATTTGCATTGTCAATTGCAATGTGGTATAATTTAGATTTTAAAATTCATTATTGTTTATTCCAACTTGCCCAATACTCAATCCACGAATGCATAAATATTTCAGGAAGATGCCTTTCTTTTTGAAGACCCTAATGAGCAATACGCTTGAAGTTGAGGAGTCTGACATAATTGAAAATTTATCTCTTAATCAACTTAAAGATAATATAATTAATTTTGTTAATTAAAAATATGTATGTATTATATTGTATCATATCATATGTAGATATAGTTTTGTATTGTTTAATATTTATTTTATTCATTTAGTTTTTATTATTTTCTATAAAATTTATAAATATTTTGTATTTCAAAATTATTTATGTGATATAATCTGTTAGTAACTGGGTTTTCCCACAAAACCCACAAAGAGGAACCGGTCTATGTAGTTCTTCAAGAACAGTTCTTTTGAACTAGTTCGTTCATGAACTGCTCGTCCCTAATCGTGAGGTTTTCCCTGCGATGTTAGTCATAGTCTGTTTTGTTGTGATAACTTCTTGATTCTGTGTTATATTTCATATACAATTCAAACATAATTTTTTTATGGAACATACACAGAATATATATCGCGCTTTGCTTTATTTCCGTTTTGCATTTGTCTTTAGTGACTTTTTTAGTCCATACACAATATTTTCACTGTGTCACAATAACATTCCTGGATTAACATAAATGGGTTTTAGTACAAAATTCCTCTTCCTCATTACATTTTTTGGCGATCATTGTTGCTCCCCTTATTACGAAGACCGTAAGTTTGAAGAAAAAAAGTTTTAATTAATAAATATCCGTTATTGAACTTACCATTTGCTGACTGCTTATCATTAAACTATTTTGCTTTCAATTTTTTTAATTACATATCTCAAAATATATATTTTTACAGATTTTTTTTATCTTATGTGATGTTGTCATTTATTTTGTTCATTTAGGTAAGCTGCCTCTTCAAAAGGACCTTATATGCGAGGAGAAATATAAGCCAAAAACGTTGGATCTAAAAGGAGACTTGGCGTTTGTCGTCTCATTTGATCCCAACGATGTAAAAGAATGGAATGGAAAAAGCGATTTTAATTGCATACTCCATATAAAATCTCCGGATAAAATGGGAATAATATCAGTCATACAAAAAATGTCTCTAAGGACTAAAGATACATCATGTATAGATTCTATTCAAGTAGGTATTATAAATTGAACTGATGTTTTTGTTTTATCAAGAAACTTGCCGTTTTGACATTTCGGTCTGTACTAACAATAATTTAAGGCTTGTTGACAGTCATTACAAAAACATTAAATTAACAGATGTCACAGGTACTTTATGCTCAAAGAATGGCCCTCTCATTCCATGCTTTGATTTTAATAAATTAGCTAAGCTTGTCGTTTAAAATGCAGAACATAAGGCTCGCCTTTGTACTTGGGATATATTTTCTGTAGTTTAATTGTCTCCGATCATCCTGGTCTGCCTATTCTCCCCAGTTTAGCTTGTAAGATGTGGCATTATGCTATATAAATATAATTACAATATTGACAAAATAACTGAATTAAATAAAACTTAAATTTTTAGCATTTAATGGGCCAACAATTGATATTTTTTTCCAAATTTCCAATGTGCTAGCCAGAGTGAATCTTTGGTAATCATTTCACCTTGAATTAATTTTATAAATTAAAAAACATTAACTATTTTTTAACTGTTAAGGACCCATTTTCTTTCCCAGCTATGTAATCAGGGACGAGCTACACATTTTCATAGCAACATATAATTATGTCCTTGATAGCCTGGAAGATTTTCTGCTGACCCAGTCCAATGATTACTGTTCTTTTATAATATTTTTTTTATTGTTCTTGTGGTCATCAGGATGTCTCAACTATTTATTTTTTATCATAATTATTGTTTAAATATAGCTGGCATTCAATTACATAAAAATTAAGTACCTAGATTATTGTATTTTTAATTCTTGAAAGTCTTTAAATGCCAATGTCTTTTTTTGCAGAATAATTAATGAGTAATTAAATTAAATATAGTTTAATTATTCAATTAATATTTTTTTCTACTATACGTTAACACTTTGTGTGATGTTGCTGTTGTGTTCTCTTCTGGTGTTTTTGATAACATTTTATTATTATTATTATAAATTAAGGTTTTTAGTTGACATAAAAAAGTCAATGGCACGAGTGGGATTTGAATTTTTATTTCAGCTAAAAACCTTAATTAATTATAATATATTAATTGGTCAAGCGGACCACGAAATTAGTGAATTTAATTATTATTATTATAAAGTTGTATGGCTAATAATAATAATGGGGTCAGACTAGCAACAGTCTCAGCATGAGTATAGGCTCATCCTTATCATTTTATTCTTCCATTATGATAAATAAACTATTTCTACATAACAATAATAAAAAACAAAACACAATAACCCTTTTTTTTTTTTTTTTTTTGCATTGCAGTTTATTACTCCGCAATTTGTATTTTCTTCCATTTCATTTTTCCGCTCCAGCAGCCTCAAAAATTTCTGAAAAAAAAAGAAATCTTGCACGCACAACTTTCATTCATACATTAGCAGGCAAACGTTGAATGGAAATGGTATAACAATTTGGGAAAAGGCCTAAGTCTCATTATAAATTCCAATAAATTTGAGAAAATTGAAAAGTGCTCTTTGAAAGAAACACTGGGGACCCGGTAACTCCTATAAATCACTCGAAAGGTTGAGCCTTTGCCTAAAGGGTTGCAAAGTGGGACAGTCAACCAAAATATGTTTTACTGTCAGAATGATACGTACTCCACTTCGTATACATCGAATTATTATTATTATTTTTTAATGGCCTTATGAACATAGCGTATTAGCCAAGGAAGATGTGTGTTTTTGATGATGCACTGTTAATGGGGGAAGAGTTTCGTGAATAAAAGGGTCAGGGGCAACGGGTGGAATAGAACCCATGACTGCCGGGTCTACGAGCCAAGAATCTATCACACTACCCCCCTGGCTACCGCATTTTGTTGAAGAAAAAATGAAAATTTAATTATTAAAATTATATGTTTTATTTTTCCACAACAGACAGTCTCTTTATTTTAAAATATTTGTTACCAATTTTTTGTTTCCTTCACAGTTCCGACAGTCAGAACCGATGCATACTCTTGAGAAAATCTTACCATTCAGCCTTCATAAGAAAACCTCTTGGAGTTTGCCAATATGTGGTGAAATGGACCCTTTAAAAGAACCACCCAAAGAAGGTACTAAGTATGCGATGAACTCGTTCGTCGCGAACAACGGTTACATCGAAGTTAAAATTCATATAGGAAGAAAAAGGAAGTCTGATGAGAAAATCGATTTCCAAATTGTTTTTACCGCACTACAAAGTAAATTATCATTAATAACTTTGATTCTTGATGTGCTATTAAAGCTTTTTTTTGGTACTTTTCAGGCTGTAAAAACAGAAGTGCCAATTTGATGGCATGTAGCCCAGACATCTGTATAAACAAACATTTCTTCAATGATGGAAAATACATTAATTGCCCTTCAACGCAGTGCATCGATGAAGAATGCTTACCTGTAGATTCAGGTGATTCAAGTAAGATAAAAATTAAATATGAAGATTGACAAGACAAGAAAAAATTGAGGTTAAAAAAAAATTGATTGTTTAATCCAAGATCATATCCACAAACCATAATAATTTTTGATAAAAAATGTTTAAATAATGATATTAGTCTATAAGATTTATTAAAGCACTTGGTGGCTTGTTAACTTGTTAAATAAGTCAGAAGTGTTTTTAAAAATTCAGTTTCATCCCTCTTGTGCTTTAACGCAATGTTTATTTAGAAACTCTGAAAAGGGGTCTTTTTTGACAGTTTCATTTGAAGTTTTGTGTTTTTACAAGTGTTTTGTTTATTTGAAATGGGGAAAAGCAGTGCATTTTTATCATCGTGGAAAAGAAAGCTAGCTCAGGTTTTGTGAATGTGATGTATACGGTGGTGATGCTTTAGGAAAAAAATGTCCGTAAGTGGTTTACTAGGTACCTATAAAAATTGTAAAAGTCTTCTTATTTAAAAATGTATCAATGATCAATTGACTAGAGAAGCTGTTTTCATAATTTCTCAACAAAATTTGTTTATTTGTTAAAAAGTTGATATTTAAATTCATTTTGGTTCATTGTTTCTTCACAGTAGGAAACACAAATTTTTGAATAAACAACATTGATGTCAGAACAAACGCAATGCTGACTCACCATTTTCACATTTTACAAACTTAGATGATGTGGAATGTAGTCAAATAATATTTTTGTTTAATTTGTCTTCCCACAAAATTCCACAGATAATGGAAAGATAAATAAAAACAAAAAACAGGACTATTTTACAAATTTATAAAATGACATGTCTGACAAAATAACCATATATTTTGTAATAATGCCGATTTTGTGCACTGAAAGCTTTAATAAGGTTTGTCGGATTTTTTTCCCATTTTTCTGTGATTTAAAGGACAGTCAATCAATGTTTTCATTATAACAAGATATAGAGAATTTTTTTGTTTAGTTTTGACAGATAATTGTGAACTCTTTAGCTTTCCTTTGTCCTAATATTGATTTTAAAAGACTGACTTAAGCACAAAAAAAGTGATTATGATCATAGCAAGGGGTTATGAAGTTAAAAAATGGCTAGTTGGTGGAAGTACTTTTGATTTTGAATCCAGGACTCTAGTGCTTGTCCATGAGTACGTACATCTTAACCATTGTAGCCACTGGTGCACCTTTCATTATTACTCATCTCTAATAATTTAAGATATAGCATTAAATTTGTTCAAAAAAAGAAAAAAAAGGAAAAGGATTTGTTGTGAGCTATAAAAAAATAAATAATTTCAGATGGCAAAGCTAGTGAGCAAGTGGTGAACAGTATGATCGTGACGGCTGGAGTTTTGAGCGTCATGGTCTCATTTATCATATTTCTCGGCTGTTACATCGCTTGCCGTTCTATGGAGATTTGTTGGGTGTTTCGAGAGGGATCACAAAACAGGGACAGAGGGACTGAACTGTCACAAGTCGAGCCTACAGCTCCTCCACCTGATACGCCATCATCGGATAAAGATCTTCCTCCATCTTACGAGACGCTTTTCCCCGAGACATGAGGGTCTTGGAAAGTTTGTATTCACCAATTTTATCCCCTTATGTAATGATCAATTTTAATTTAATTCGGAGGAGTGCCAACCTTTTAGCACTGCCATTGGAACATCCTAAAATGTATGTATGAAAAAAAATTATTTAATTTATTTTTATTATTATTCAGCTTTTCTGAACAATTCCTGTAAAATATCAAAAATTATGACATTCCAATATTATGTAAATTATAACGTACAAACTATTTAATTGATCAGATTATTAAGGCTATTTTAAAACAGTTTTATAGAACAATTAAGATGTTTCCTTTAGTTAATTAATTTTAGTTTGAGTTTGAATACGCATTATAAATTTTGCTATACAATTTTCTAAAACTATAATTAACAGTTAAAGGCAGAATTTTAAATTTTATTGTAGGAAGTTTATTATATTATGAAAATTTCAATTATCATTTTTTTTTTGCAACAGCAGAATAATTTTTTTTTAAATTTACAAATATAAAAATGGATAAAATACATGCACACATTCAACACTCAAATATGGGTGTGTGATAATAAACTAAACCTATTTTTCTAATGAAAATTTGATTATGCTCAAGATACATTAAGAATATTTTTTTTTTAGATAATTAATACAGAAAAAAAGATATAGAGTCCCGCTAACCCGAACTAATTTGAGCTCTGTTCAGTTAAGCTGAATAACTTCAATAATGTGGAAACAAGCATTAAAACTGGTTTAGTTTGATAAAAAATAAGAAAGTACTTTCAAAAATAAGCGTGACGTTTTGAGATAACAGGACAAAGGCGTGATAGTGAAGAAAGATCGTTTCTGATCATTTTTTGACATGCTTATCCTCACTGTTTTGTACTGTTGGGTCTGTTTCAACTTTTCTTACAATTTTGATTACAATTTCAGTTAAAACCCACCCATGACTGCATACCTCACAATTATCATTAAAATTTAACTGGAAAGTACAAAAAATATATTTTCTATATTGAAAAATTCTTTCCACAAACCAAAATGTTACACAGACATTCGGATTAGTGGGACTCCGTCATACTATTTCTTTCGTTTGTATAAGTGTTCATAGGAATGGATTTTTAAACAGTAGGACTGTTTTATAGATTTCTTATATGATATATTTAACATTTGGTATAGGAAAATTATTGTAAATGTTATTTGTATTATTTTTATTACATTGTATTATAATTATAACTAAATACTATAAATTGAGAAAACCTAATTACTACTAACAATTCATCCCGATACCAAATTGTGATAAGTATTTTGAAAAGTAGAACGTTTTGATAAGTGTAGAATTATATATTTTTATGTGAATAGCACAGCATGAAAACTCCTTAATAAAAGATATGAAAAGAAAATGATTAAGAAAACTTATTTTCTTAGTTAAAATTTGTTGGAAAGTTTGTAATTAAGATTCATGTAATATAGGTCATGAAAGCTCACAAATACTAACTGTACTCATGTGATAATTCTGGTTTATTATTACTAAGACTGTAAACTGTGCCGAAATATTTACTACTTAATACAATTTTATAACCTTTCAAATAGATAAAAAATCTCTGAAATCCACAATTTTTCCATTTCTGGAATTGGAAAATTAAAATAACGTTTCTATTGTGATAAAACTAAAAATTTTGTAAAGATTGGATTTTTTGAAAAATACATTTTATGTTTTATCTAGTCTTAAGTAAATTGTATATAATTGTAATAACATTTTTAGTATAAAGGAGTCAACAAAGTTTAAACATTATCGAATTCGGATGTTGATAATGGTTTTACATTTTCTATCCGTAAGGAGTTAAACCAGTCATGATAATTAACCATTTTAAAATACAGAGCTTTGCTGTTTTGAATAAGGAAAAAAAGAAAATACATAATGAGTACTTAACAACATGACTAATTTGTACATTTTTGACAACTTTATGTAATTGTTAATATATTAATGCTTGTACTGTGTTGTATATGTGATTTAATATACATTTTTGTTTGTTTTTTAAGTGCTGATAATGTTATGTGAACACATTCAGTGATTTTTAATTATAAAATGTTTTCAAACTGATGTTGTTTTTCTATATTCCAAAACTTACATCAATACAACAGCAGTTCAATAATGACACAAAACTCGGTCAGATACCTTAAACTCTTCTATGCGATTATCAATTATTTCCATTGTGTTATTAAGCTTATTCGTGCAATCATAGATAACAATCCTATTAGAAAAAAAATCCAACTGTTATACTGATTTGCAAATAATTTCTATTATATATAATGTTAACCTTATTTATGACAGAAACAATGCAACATAAATCATAGACAACAGTAGTAGTGACAAATAAAATAATTCTTCAAAGAATTGTAACATTAGTGTTTGTAGATTAAAGCTTGATGATGCATTAAACTGTTCTATACATCTAATTAAAAAAAATATAAAAAAATCAAACAATTTCTGTTGTCTTATTAATCTTATTCATGCTTGAAACAACCACAGCTAAATCAAAAATAGCAATTGTAGTGAGAAAGGAATGATTTGTAAAATAATAATTCAAAATCATGCTAAATTAGGGGTTGTGGATTGTTAAAAATGAGCCCAATTCTGTTCTATCATATTGCAAATTATTTCTGTTATGATATTAATCTTATTCATCTTGGAACAACCACACATTTTGGATTTTGCCCGTGGCTGCGTTAAACTGTTACATGATTTAGCACTTGGGTTTCTGTTGTAATATTAAGCTTATTTATACTTGAAACAACCATATATAAAAATATATAACAATTATAGTGCAAAATCACTAGTTCAAAATACTGTAATATTAGTGGTTGTGGGCCTGATGCTGCAATGAACTATTTGTCGAGTTTTCACAGTATTTCAGTGATATTAAGCTTTCATCCACACATTATACATAATTTTCTAAACCCATGTCACACTAGACCGCATCTCACGATCTCCAAATAATTCTACGTAATGATTATTATGAGAGGAAATTTATTTTTATATATCCAAATAATTCTTTAGCATTTCAACATTAGTTTTATTTACTAAATTGTATTCTTTATGTTGTATGGGCTATTGATATTTATTTTAGAGATATTAGAGAAGTGAATTTTACATTATTATTATAAAACGCATTGTCACAAAATTATGTGAATTATGCTACATAAATATGTTTGCTAATTGTTAAGACTCAATGCTTTGTTAAACTTAAAAACAATTGCAAACAATTTCCATTGCCATATTACAGATAACAATTGTAGTTTTAAATTTAAAGAATTATTCAAAACGTTAAATTGGGGTTTGTGAATTACTTTACTAATACTACTTCTTACTATACTTTACTAATTACTACTTCAGTCGAAAGTTGTGTTAAACTGTTCTAAACATTTTAAAATGATTTCAGTTGCCATATTAAGCTTGAAACAACCATACATAAATCAGCTAACTATTTCAGTGAGGAATAACAGAATAAGGGGCGTCGGTGGCTGTAAAGTCTAGGCATTGACATAAGGTAAAGGTCCTGAGTTCAAATCTATGGCCCTGCATTTTAACCCGACATACTTACAATTTTTTTAAACACTGGCACGGCACCCTGAGGGTTGATATGATCGCAAACCCTTGTAAAAAAAATGCATATAAATGATTTAAAAGAGGGGTAAGACACAGATCCACACACTGAAGAAGTGCTGAAAACATATAGTAGCAAAGATAATCAGGTAAAACAAGGATGATCAGAAACTCCAGATATAAAAGAAGTAAACAACATTGGGAAATTCATGTTGCTGGAATGTTAAAAATTTTACCTTATGACTGTTTGAAGGTTTAGCAAACAATTTTTGTTCTGCTGGTCAGGTCATTCACACTTGAAAAAAACTATACATACATCATTGATGACAATTAAAGGTGGATTCAGCCTAATGTTCTGTATATTTTTATCCAATTAAGTTTAAATGCATTGATTAAAAAAAAAACCTCATTTATTATTATTGTTTTTACTGGCTTTATAAACTTTGCATATTAGCCAAGGAGTGGTTAATCATATGCGATGTGTATTTTTCATTTATTAATTTTTTTAAGGAGGGAAGGGTTGTGTGAAAAAAAAGGACCAGAAACATCAGTGAGAATTGAACCCATGACTGCTGGGTCTAGAGCCAAGAGTCATTCACACTGACCACTCGGCTACAACAGTTCCTATTTTGAGGTTTACAGATGTAATTCTCTTGCACTTACTGACCTGACTCAGATAGGTTGAATTAAACCTTAATCCAAAAATTAAACAGTTTAAATGATTTACAATTGATTACGCTCCAATTTGACACACATCAACATTGTTTCAAGGAACTCTTTATTACTAATCGTGTAAAGTAAATTGCACTCATTTTGCAGTAATCTCTGCAACATGGTTAACTTATGATTTGGATGAAAAATGGGTTAAATAATAATTTAATAACAATTATAACATGGATTTATTAAAAAAATATAATGACATTATCAACTTTGCAACAAACATGAAAAATAAGTTCACAAAACAAAACAACTGCAACTCAACATGATATGAACCCAATACCACCAATTTTGGCCCCAACACTTTACAATAATGCAAATATATATTTTACTCAGTCATTTCTTACAAACATGCGTATGAGGTGGCTTAGAGTCTTTTGCACTGTGTCCATCTAGTAAGACTAATGTGCTCTCCTTACAAACATGATAAAGTAATTCACGCACTTAAATGCAATGTCATCAGTTCAACAATGATTACTGGAATTATTGAATAGAATACTTTAAGCGTAAATGCAAGGGAATGGAAATAATTCATTTATATGCTAACTTTACCAATAAGCACCATACATTTTAAAGATTGACATTGGTAATTAACTATATAAAATGGATAATTATGAAAACTTTACAAGATTTAAAAAATATTGCATTAAATGACCAATTGAATGAATTTATTGAATAGTTCCCAAATGTGACAATAATTGGGAAAATACAAGAATTATTTACATACACTTCCCATTAAAATGATAAATTGTATATATTGAAAACGAGTTGGAAACAATATAAGAATAGCACAACTGGAAGCAATTTTTTCATACAGAAAATAAATCCTTCATCCAGACAAACATATATGTGCCAAACTTATTTTCCTACTATCACATTACTTTTTCTTCTTATTTTTTAAAATTTAATATCAACTTTCATTATGAGTACAAATGTTCATCAAGTAGTAAAAATCTGTTAAAATGACACACAAAAACTTGATAGAAAACAAGAAAATTTTTTTTATAAACTTAATCTTCTCAGTGCCTGGGTTTCGTATGTTTTAATAATCCTCCATTGTTTTTGGCCGCGTTTTAAGGTAAATATATACACCAATGAACAGAAAAACGGCTCCTAATGTTGGCAGTGCTATCGTAAATACTTTCTTTTTATTTTCAATGAATTCCTTTTTACGTTCCTTCTTCTGTTTATTCGTCTCCTTTACCTTGCCTTTAAGCTGTCTCATCTTTTTTCAAAACTGAAACATATTTTGGAAATTAATTAAACATGGTAGTAACATATTTGAAAATGTGCTCTGTACAAACTAAACTTACAACTTACAAAAAATTCTTAATACAATTTGTAATAGAATGAATATAGTATAGATAACAGAAATTTAAATAACAAAAAATTGATATTATCCCATTTTTTTTTTAGTTTGTATTATTTTTTCTCACAATTCAAATTTCTTTAAAATAAGTTTACATAAGAAACTTAATACTTATTTCAATTAGTTGTAATTTTTATGTAGTCTTGGTTGAGATGAAAAAGTTAGTGCCAAAGGTCATGGGTCTGAATCCCGCTTGTGGCACTAACTTTTTCATCTCAACCAAGACCTTACATAAAAAGAATAATTAATTGAAATAAGTAATTTGGTCAATTAGAATACTAAATATAAATGGATTAATACTTAATATTTATTTCAACTCTGTCTAATGATAAGTATATTATGCAACTGTAAAGAATTTAGCTGTCTGCAATCTGTGCAAATCAAAATGTTTTCCCTTTAGTTAGAAGCAAGTCCATTTTGTTTTATGCATCTTTTAATTTATCTATTATTATTTTTACATTTGTTAAAAAAAAATCATTATCATTATAGAAGAGTAATTTATTCTGGCAACAACTTCTAGCAGATGGATTTTCTGTCCATGCTATAATGCTTATGTTAATTATTTCTTTATTAATTATGTACACATGTATCAATAAAAGTATGCCTATACATCTATCTAAAGTGACCCTCAGCAGAGACTGAGTGGTCAGGGTGTCCGAATCCTTTTTGCCACATTAGTGGTTCTGGGTTTAAATCCCAGCAGAATGATGTTCACAGCATACGTTGTAATGATGGTGTTGGGATTTATAAGATAGTCAGCAGTATAAATGGTATAAAGGATGGCACCAAAAATGCTCCCTTGGGGTATAATCTAATATCTGGGTATTCATTGTCACACCGCAAAATAAAGCAGCTATTAGTTACATGATAGAGGATAAGACGTGGTAGGTAAAATTTAAGCTTATAAAGCATGCCTGGGCCACATCCATGAACGCACTCAAACGAAGCTCTACTCTCTAGAGTGGAAACGACTCTGAAACCTTGTCAAATCATTGAAAGGGGATGGAAGACAAATTTGTGGGAAGAAATGATTCTATGATGAATCCAGGATGTGCACTTTAAATTTAAAAGTAGTTTTCGACGATTTTTGACATAAAAAGTAAACTTAGTAATATAATTCTTAAAACAGGCCTTCGATACGGTATGGCTCGCTGGATTAAGGTATAAGTTAAAACGTATGGGAATCCCGATACCTATGTGACCCTAAGCTCCTTTCTCAAAGACCGAAAATTTAAAGTCAGAGTTGGCAATTGCTATTCAACGGAAAAAAGTATCAACTCGGGAACTCCGCAAGGGTCAGTGCTGTCGGCTATATTATTCAATATTTTCATGAGCGACTTCCCATCTCCAGGAGAAAACATTGCTGCCAATACTGACTCAGACATCCAAAAGGCACGAAATGCTGTCCAGTCAGCGCTCCATGAAATCAGCTCCTACTGTAAAACCTGGAAGCTCCCAATCAACCCCAGCAAACGCGAAGCAAAAATATTTACTCTGAGAAGACCCCGCAACCCAAACGAATTGAATATTGAAGGGACTAGCATTCCCTGAAACCCTCCCGACAGTGCTGTCAAGTACCTCGGAATAAAAATGGATAGCAGACTAAATTAGAACATACACATTAATGGCAAACTGCAAGAAGGATATGCCCACCTCAGTATGTTGTACCCATTAATGAATAGAAAATCCAGGCTTAAGCCTGAAATATCTCTCCTGATATATAAATCCATCATAAGACCTTTGGTCCTTTATGGGTGCGAAATATGGGGGGGGGGCCGCCTCACCATCCAAAATCAAAAGAATCCAGGTACTACAGAACAAAATTCTGATGATTGCAGTAGACGCAGAGTGGTTTGTGCACCGGGAACTCAATATACCTTCCATCGGTGAATCAATCCAAGAGAGATTCAGAAAGTTTCACTCCGGACTACCAGCAGTAAAAGGGGCTATACACTTCCAACTGGGGAACAAGATCGCATCGAGGTTAAAGCCGCGTACCATCCAGGATGTACTGGACATTGAATATAGCAGATAGTGGACATTATGCACATAGTTGTTATTCATTTATATATTTATTTACTTATTTAATGTTATTCCTTATTATATAAACTTAAACTATTTCCTCCATTGCTGAAAAAAAGGCTCATGATAGACTTATTATAACCAGATACGAAGTATTTAATACAAGACAATCACTGTGTATAACTTGTACTAAGTTGGTCTAGTGTAATAAGAAAAAAGGATTATAATTAATAAAATAATTATAATATTAATTAATTTAATAATATTAACATGAATAAAACTCTTTTTTTCTTTTTCTTTTTTTTTTAAAGAAAAAATTAACCCAAAACTTATGCATTGAAATAATTTCTGGTGGGTTCGATTACGCTATACTCTAAGAAAAAGATTTTTTTAAATGTGACTTTTCTAAAATGTCAACTCTGACGATATGAACCATAAAACCTGACAATATTTGTACATAATACAAAAAAATTAAAACAGCTTTATTGGAAAAAGTAATGAAGACAATTAACTTTTCATTCACACACACAATACTTGCTAGATTGAATAATAATACTAATTAAATAAATAAAAGTAAAGTCATACATTGAGGTTTATTTATTAAATGGACTCTGAACATCACCGAACTCATTCTATCGCAGGAAGAAGCACTTTTTGCATCTGCAACCCAACTATTTTTCCATACGTTTTTCTTTCTTTGTACATAATACTGTATATGGAGAAAAATATATTTTGTTGTGCATGCACCAACCACCAAACTTTTAAATTTATATTTTACCTTATTGAACCTCAAGCAAAATTATGAGATTTCTACTTTTTTAATGTACATATGTAAATGATTTTTAAAAATAAGACTTTTCCCTTGTGTCGAGTGTTTGGAGCTTTCCTGCCAACTTCTAGCTTGGTGATGTACAAGGTGATGGGAAACCTGCCACGTACCAAACAACCGATAGCCACCAGTACAACCTACTTGTCAATTACTACAATCCTGCAACAAAAACTTCGGTTCATTTTTTTATTGTATTGATTTAGTATAAATTTTGCTATATATATTCGCTTTAAAAACAAAAGTTTTTATGATTTACTCTTAATTGTAATTATTTTAATTAGGACCGTCAATTGATTTTAAGATTATTTTTTAGTGTTTTTTATTGTACTAGATTTTGAAACTTTTTATGATTTCAACTTTATAGTTTTGTATCTAATTTTTTTTTATTTGTTTCTTTGCCTCATTGTTATTTGATTATTATTGTGTCTTTCCCCCCTTCCATGATTTTTGGTTTTATATTCAAGGTTGTGATTTTTTGATTTTTTTTTAAAAGAAAAAATTGAACTGCGTCTATCTTTTACGTATTTTAGAAGAAAGACGCAACACGTTTCGATCGTGTGATCCAATAACGCCATATTCTTGTTAGACTGTTCAACCTGTCCCTTATCAGCGTAGCGTAGTGAACAATGAATGAGTTTTTTTTATCACGGGTATTGCCAATTTATCAAAAATCCTGCCGGAAAGATTTTTTTTGCTTTGAAATTTAGACTTTAGAAGGTGGTCGGATTTTAATTTTGAAGAGGGGAACGAAATTAAAATCATGAAAACGCCTTCGGCAGGAACGTTAGTCCGACGAGAGGGCGGCTTTTTCTGATGCCAGGCCGAACACCGGTGATGAGGCCGATGAGAGACCGTTCGATTTTGACAAACCACGTATAAATGGACTGGAGGTGAGTCTCTATCATTACAAAAAATAATATAAAAATTTACTATAAACGATATACAATTTTTACAAAAGTTTATATAATTTAAAAACTTACACTATCTCACAGCAAACGAACTACCCGATTTTCAAAAACTTTAAAAGCCTTTGATTTTTGTTTTCTAGAACATTAAGTTATTATATTCCTACGAATCCGTGCTTTCTCTAGAAATTTCTAGAAAAAGGCCATGTTAAACAAATTAATTCCATGTATAACAGAGCTGATATGTAAGAGCTGATATTTTAACTGTAGTCAGCCATTTAAAGAAACTTTGGTGTACCGATCGTTTTCTAGACTTGGGCACCATGTTCACAACCCAGACGAAAACTTTTTTTTGTGCTCTAAAGAACAGTATATGTTAATCAACTGCCGACTGGATGCTGCAGTCTCCGGAGGAATAAGTACAGTGTCAGAGGAGCAGAAAAAACCCTGGGTAGGTATTGCCAGGAAGAAGGAAAAACAGCAAATGTTCTCTGTTGCTGCGAATGAGAGCAGAAATTCCTTCTCTTGGTTTCGAAAAAGCCCAGGCCTGAAGAATAGATTCGAAAGTCTTTGACAAAGCTTTGTTATATTGGGGTCTGATAAAACTCTTAAACATTACAAAGAGCTCTAGATAATAATGTAGATCGCACATTAGATTAATATTGGCTATGGCATATAAGGTCATAAATGGGCCTTTAAACTTCAGGCAAGGAAGAAATGTAAAAAAAAGGCCTGGCATATTTAGTCAAGGTATTAATTAAACAAATTATATAATGAATATTAGATGAGAGCTCATTCTTTACTTGTAATCAACCATTTAAAGAAATGTGTGGTGTTTAGTGGCCATTAGTTAATGATTATTTGGAGATCATGAGATGCAGTTTGGTATGACATAGGTTTAGAAAAACGATGTCTCAATAAAGGTCGAAACGTTGGCACGATAAAGAAAATTTTTTCTAAACCTACGTCACACCAGACTGCATCTCACGATCTCCAAATAATCATTTTCATTTAAAGAAACTGCTCCACCAGTGTGCTGGTTGTTTTCTTAATTTGGGTATCATGCTCCCAATCCAACAGAAAATGTATCCCCAAAACTAATCTTATGTTGTGAACTGCTTTTACCTGTGACTTCATCCATGTGGGACTCAGTTTTAATGTACCTTCCTAATGTGTTGCAGAGTGGTAGTAATAGGCTTTCTAATATAATGTCTCGTTTCTCAAATTCTTCTCATCTTCAGTTCACTTGAGTCTGTACACGGTAAAAAATTGTACATATGATCCTCTTAGGGATGGAATTTCAAAATATCCTTTTTATAGTGGCTCTCCATGTCATTTTAGGAATGCACTGTCGAATTTCAGCCCTTTAGATCTAGTGGTTTGGTCTATCAGTCAGTCAGAGAATTGTTTTTATACATACAGATAAAACAGCTTAAAGTGCCCTTTTTTATTTATTTATTAATTTTTTTGTTGCTAAAAATATACAAATCAAAAAAGAGGTATATGGTGATCGACTGCTGACTAGACTCTAAGGCATATATACATACATCAGAGCGGCAGAAACGAGACTTTGCAGATATTACCAGGAAAAAAGAAAAAACAATGGGTGTTCTCTGTTGGTGTCTGACCTCTGTGAAGGTCTTTTCTTTGGAACAACTCGTCTGAGAGGAAAACCCCTGACCTGAAGAATACACACAAGAGTCTTTGATAAAGCCTGTGCAATGAGGAAAAATAAAAAAAAATAGCATGTCCAGTCAAGGCATTAATAAACAAATTATATATGGAAAATTAAAAAATCTGATATTTTAATTGTAGTCGGTTATTTAAAGAAATTTGGTGTCTTGGTAATTTTCTAAACTTTGGCATCATGCTCACTCAACAGAAAACTCCTCCCTAAAACAAATCTTATGTTGTGAATAAAACAGCTTAAAAGACACAATTGATTTGGCTCAGTTATACAAATCAAAATACAAGCATATGATACTGCAGTATAGACATCAAAACAGCAGAAACAAGCCTGTGCAGATATTGCCAGGAAGAACCATGCTCTGTTGGTGCAGTCTATACAGGCTGAGATTCCTTCTTCTGGGAGTGGAAGAGCCCAGGCCTGAAGGATCACGGGACTCCTTGTCAAAGTTTTGGGACCTGATAAAGAGTTAAACTCTAGATACTAATGTAGATCGCACTATTGTGTCTATTGACCAACATTGATTGTGGTGCATAAGCTTGAAAAGAGACTTTTTAAGCTTAACCTAAACTTTGGAAAAAGAAGAAATGTAAAAAAAAAGCCTTAATAAACAAATTATACATGAAACATTACATGGGAGCTGATATTTTAATTGTTGTAAACCATTTGATTAAACTTCAGTGTACCAATGCTTTTCTCATACTTGGGCACGTTGTTCACAAACCAATAGAAAAAACTAACCTTCTGTTGTGAATAAAACAGGTTAAAAGTCACAATTGTTTTGTTTCTCAAATTATACAAATCAAAAGAAAAGTGTTTTGTAAATATATTATAAGGGAAATAATAGGCATTTATAATGGCTATTGCCAATTCAATTACCACCTCAAGAAAATGATACAAAAACCTGCTGACTTTGACACAGGGGTTTGATTCATTCATTTCTATTCAACTTTCTGTCAACAATCAGGAAACAGATATTTCAAAAAGCATGAATAACCTGAATTTAATGGCACGCAGATAAAGCGTTATTGGTTTTCTGAAAACGATAAACTAATCTAGGGTGCCTTTATCTGACATGTAAATAACTTTCAAGTTAACATGGAAAAGTTTTTCCACTTGTACTCTTTCTAGAAAATAAGAATTGTACATGTGATACCTCGTTGACATTTCAGCTTACAAATCGGTTTTTATCACAATGATTAACTTACTAGCTTGCAAAAATTCACATGACAGTAGAACAATAATCTTTTTATATAAGCAAAAAATACCAAAGAATAATACTCACATAAGCTTAAATGATCAACAATGATCACTAATAATAAAATTATGGAATAGTTGTAACATTTTATTGTAGTTTCAAGCAATTATATTGTAATTAAATTAAAAGCGTTTGTTGTAATATTTTAGAAAACAATTAATTTAATAATTCAATTAAAGCTTAATTGTTACTAAATTTATTTAAACTAAGGTGTGCATATATACTTTTTAATTTTTTTCCAGTGACCAGAGAATTACAAGAACCAGAAATAATGGTCAATATGGTTGGAGCGGAACCTCGTGCACGAGACAAAAGGAGTGGATTGTGCAGCTCTCCAATAGAGTACAAAGAGTTTGCATGTGGATGGGGAGCGGCCTCCATCAACATACTTGTCACATTCCCTCTAAATAAAGTCATATTTCGACAGGTACAGTTGTTCTGTAGTTTTTTTGTCAAAAAATTGTCTTTTTTTGTCAAATTGTCACCTTCTTTGTTGATAACTATATAATAATAATTTAAAATTATTCTTTTTGGGTTGTCTTCTACAAAACTACCACTATAAAGAAAATAATATTTTTAAGGAATAATAATAATATTTTGTCAGAGTTATATCGAATGACAATAATTACAATGTTCCTCTGCAGAATATTGACATAATTCTCCTTATTTTGTATTGTTGTACATTTAAAAATTATTTTTTAAATTTTCTTACTTCCTTCTTCCTTTACTTATTTACATAGTTTTATTATATTACTATTTTGTGTTTGTTTTATGGAATGTATATGTACACATTCAATTTCAATAAAAAATTAAATGGTTATGTTGAAATATGCCAAAACTTAGCTGAAAAATAAAAAGAGTTTTACTATAAAGCAGGCCAAAATTAAGAATATAATAAAAATCTTGTCTTTATACAATATGTAGCTGATATATATTGATTATAATGAAGTTTAGATGTTAAAATAGTATTAAATGTTAAAAGTATGATTTAAGACTAATTCAAAGTGTGCTGTTGAAGGGGAAAATTATGTTCAAATAATAAATTCAAAGAAATATTTAAAATAAACTTGATTTGTTGAAAATATTAGGTATGTCAACTACTTTTAGCTGTCCTGGCAACTGCTAGCATGAAGCTACTTGCCTACTTACACCACTTAACGAAAAATCTATTGTGAATCAAACATGAAACATCTAACAATGGAAACTATTGGGTAGTAAACTAAGTCACTAGCATTGTTTAATAATTTTATTTTGAAATTGAACTCTGCATAACTATTAATAAGATAAACTTTACTTCTCGGTCTGTATAAAAGACATTGTAGAGTTCATAGGTCAAAGACGCGACAAGTTCTGGGAGGTTGGAATTTAAAAATTTCATGGAATATGGCAACAGATAGTTGAAAAAAAATGGTTCAAATATTGTTAATTAAATTTACTTACAAGTATCTGAAATTTTCAAATTCACGATTAAAACAAAAGCTATGGACTTATTTTATGACGACATATGTCCTATTGAAGTCCTTCAACAAGCAATTTATACATTCTTTCTACTCATTACTTTATTCTTAATTAGTTTGTAAACTCATGCAATCATTAAATTTAAAATGGTTATTCTTGAGGAATTTTTAAAATTTTTATATTTAAAAAAAAATATGTTATACAATTTGCCTTTACTAAATGCATACCAAGTTTGTACAGTACAGCGTGGCTATACTTTAAGAGGGCTAGACACCTTCAGTTTATCCGCACAGTGATCTGTCCTAAATAATTGTATGAAAATCTGGATTGGTATCTGAACTGAAGGTGTGTAGGCTACATTCAGTTTTCACCTAAGTTACATCCGTTTCTTTAGTTCTTTCATCAGTTTTGGCGATGACTAATGAAATCTGGATGACAACTGGGCAAAAACTGTTTGACAAACTGTGTAAAGAGCATAGTTTAATGTTGCAGAAAAGTGCATTACTACCAGCCTAAACTATTCATGATGAACTGCAAAGATAAACTAAGCCCCATTTACAATATCAAAGCCCAAAGATTGTTTTCTTGTTTCAGATGCTCCACAATGTAACAACAATGCAGGCTGTGAGGCAGATAACAGAAGAAGGAGTTGTTCATTTGTACCGGGGTGTCTTGCCACCACTTGTTCAAAAGTCTCTTTCCGTGTCGATAATGTTTGGTGTTTATGATAAATGTAAAAAACCCCTTTTAGAAAAGAACTTAAACCCAATTTTTTCTACAATAGTGGCCTCGATTGCTGCTGGTACCATAGAATCAATATTAATGCCGTTTGAAAGAATACAGACATTGTTACAGCACCAAAGGTATCACAGAGATGTTCAAAACATGAAAGCAGCTGTGAAGACTTTAGGAAAACACGGGTTTAGTGAATATTATCGTGGTCTGGTGCCAGTGCTCTTTAGAAATGGCCCTTCTAATGCAGTATTTTTCCTTATGCGAGACCAAGCTAAGTCCAGCTTTCCAGAACCTAACACCATCCCAATGAGAATGCTCCATCAATTTGCAGTCGGAGCATTGATCGGTGCTTTCTGTTCAACCATATTCTATCCTTGTAATGTGCTCAAAGTACACATGCAAAGCAGAGTCGGAGGGCCATTTCAATCTGTGCCTTCGGCAGTACGAGAGATTTATATAGAAAGAGGAAGTATCAGATCATTTTTCCGTGGAGTGCATCTTAATTACACTAGATCATGCATTAGTTGGGGTGTTATTAATGTTGCTTATGAAGGGCTGAAAAATTTTTTTTAAATAAGGTTTACTTTTAAACATATTGTTAATTATTGCCATATTTTGTTGTTGCCTTTTTTTCACCCCCTGGTAAATACTGCAAAACATGCAGTGTCTTCTCTTAATAAAACTGATTGAAAATAATTTAAATTACTTTTGCTCAATTAATTTTCATTTTATTTTTCATAAAGAAAAATAATACTTTTAACTTACGAGGAAAAAAATATTTTGTCTTAAATGAAAAACTTTCCTTTGCATTCATGACTGTGTTTTTTAATGGTGTCTGTGCCTCTTCGCATTGTCATCAATTTTCGTGATATTATTACCGGCCCTTATTTGTTTAAAACAAATTCCTTGTTGATTAAACAAGTTTAATTTATTATTATTTTTTTTAGAATGTGTTAACTAAATTGTTATTCAAATATTGTTGTTGATCAATGTGAAGCTATAGTCAATTTGTAGATTTTGCCTAAAATGCAATTAAAAAAATAAAAAATTATAAAAGAGAGAAAGAGAAAGAGAGAACATTAAATCAAGCACATTTGTGCTAACACAACAAAATAACTGCACAAATGATAAGATTTAGGTAATAACTGCAGTACAAGTGGTTGTGTCAAGCTATAGGCATAAAATTGATTCAATAAAAATAAAAATAATAATAAAAAAATGTAACAGAAAATGAAATGTGTAAAGCAATAAATAAGAAATAAAAGTTTTGCCAATTCTAGTCTTTTTTAAACAAGACATATTTATGTATGTCTACTCAATTCCATTTTCTACAAATAGAGGACATTTTCTTTTTATTAAAAAAAAAAAAAAATAATAATAATAAAAGCTGAGAAGAAGATTGTATTCAGTGTAAAAAATTGATCCATGCTAGTTGGATTGTATATAAACAAACTGGTTGATTTTCTTAAATAAATTACGTAAATAATGGAAAATAAATTGATAATTGTGTAAAATAAGTGACTTCAGTGAATGATGTGCTATATGCATATAAATTAATAGGTAGACTTGTTACTAACAAAGATTTATTAATATTTTAAAAAGGAAAATACTAGATACAAATTTAAATACCTTATTTCCTTAATTTAAAGTTAAGATTATATTAGAAATCAGCACATTTTTCTACATTCATTTATCATTAAATTGTCCAAGATGGACCAGTTTTGAAGAGTATAAAAGATGAAAACAATTGAAATATTTTTGGGTGTTGTGTTTTTTTAAAACTTTGTTTTCAATTTTTTAAAGCATGCATATTCACATTGTATAATAAAAATGCACAGGAATCAATCTGCTTATATTTAATAAAATATATGTAATTATAAAAAATTAATAGTTTCAGTCCTTCTTTTAGCAGAATACAATGGGTGGTCCAGTGTATCTCAGGTGCACTCTATGGAAAATGTCCTCTATTTTTTCCATTCTCCTTTTTCTTTCCATGTTTTTCCATATGATGAACTATCATTTCAAATGGATAATAGCGTCATATCTACTTTCTCTCTATACATTTGATGTTGGTTTTACCAAATTTTTTATGGTTATGAAATAAAACCAGCGTTTATTGGGAAAATGCCTTTTTTTTTAATCTCGCAGGGGCTGCTGGCTGGTTATTTCCAGAAGAGTTTTGTGTAAAAAATTTTCTAGTGCACATCAACTAACATTGCGGCTTATAAAATAAATTGTTCAAAATTCTTACCTGGCAAGGTGAATTACCTTTCTTTGTTTGGTAATATGCTGCATTTTGTAATTGGGCATTTAAATCAAGGAAATTTATACCAACTCCGAAAATTAGGTACCATCATATTTATCTTGCCTTATGCCATATATATTTATTTTTATATTTGCAGTTTTAAAGCTTTACCTCTTAACTGTCAAGCCTTTAGTTTAAAATTGCAATTTAATATTTTCAATAAAGAGGGAGATTTATTTTTATGAAAACTCTAAAATATAATGGCATTCTTACACAATACAATTTTTATCAATATCTTACAAAGAAATGGTTGATAAAATTAATCCTCAAATATTTATATATTTGGTGTGACACTGATGGATTAAACGAGTCAAGTTGTTGTAAAGGTACTGGAATTATGATTATTAATTTTTTTAAACCTTCAATCTACCTCCAGCGCACATTTTTTATTATTAAAATCGTTGTTTTTGGAACAAGCATGTTGCCATCTATTCTGCATGAAACTCTCGTACTTTAGCTGCAAGTTTGTTGATTATGATTTTATTGAATCAACATTTTTGCTCATATTTTAAAGATGTAAGTAGATTCTTTAGAAAAATATTGTGATACTTAAACATTTCATCATCGTTTAATTTCAAATTAAAACAAAGCAATAATTATTGATTCTAAGGTTATTTGTATGAATCAAATATTGTTGTTTGTTTTTAAAAGAACATGCTTCTGAAATATTTCAACATAAGTTTGTTTGAGGAGCTTTAATGATTTATGTTACTATTTAAATCATTTTTAGAAGTAAAATTTTTTGGCAATGACAATAAATATAGAACTAAGTGAAATTGTCGTGAAGTTGTCCAGTTTATCTTGAAAACTTAGTTAAAAAACAAGTTGTTACCAAGTTTTATGGATATTTTGTTAGTTTTTAATTATGTTAAAATTGGACAACTTATTGGACAAATTTTGTTTCAATTGTTTTTATGTAATTCAGACATCTTTTAGAAAATGCTATGATAAAGGAATAATAAACCGACTACGGAACAATTACTTCAAATTTAAAAATTTGAAAAATGTCATTCACGCTTACCACGTAACATATAAATAAATTTATCCCCATGATTAAGCGCTGTTTCTCATTTGTTTTTCAATATCTCATCAGACATATCTTGTCAGACATATCTCATCGATATGTACTTAAAACTGCTATTAAAAAATAACGCATATAAGTGCACGAAATGTAACAGCATGAATTTTTTTGTTAAAAAAAAGCATGTTAATAAAAGGCAAAGTATGACATGCATGGTTTATAATGTTCTAGCAGATTTTTTTTTGTTTTTGTTTGAACTGAAGATTACATTATTGTTATGTAAAGCATTTATACTCCGGTACACAATGTGAATTGTATCATGCTCAATGCCTCAATGGATTTTAAATTGAAACAATTGACAAATAATATAGTTCCTTATTTGTAGGGTAGGTAAGTGTAGTGTTAATTTTTAAAGACTTTTTTTTCAGAACAGATTATATGGTATAATAGTGAACAAAGAAATCATAAAATTAATAAGATTTAAATGTGCAGTACAAAATTATTAGATAAAACGATAAATTTGGCAGGGATATTAGGCTTGTGCGAGTAGTTTTCAGGGAATTAGTTATAATTGTGCCTTAAATGTATGATACAATGAAATACACAATATTATTTAAGTTTTGTATTTTATTTTTATTTTGTTTCAATAGAAAATAAAACTTTCCTTATATTTTGCACTGCTAACACAATAAAACGCTGAACAGGAATAATGCAGTACAATTAAAAACACTACTTTTTCAATTTTTTCCTTCAAATTTTCACATTTAATAACGGATTTCTCTGTTGTCTGTGGGGTGATGAACCTGAAATTTGGTAGGGACCTATCATTTTAGTCTGCTGATCTTTGCTGGGTTGGACAGTCAGACACATTTTGACATTTTTTGTCTGACAGACCAATCCAACAAGGTAAGGCAGACCAAAATGATCGGCGATGATGAAAAACAAGATATAGTATATTAGAGGACCTTCAAATATCACGAAAACAAAATCATTTATAAATTGATGCAAGGAAGTATTAAATTCTACAAATTCCACTACCCTCCTGCACTTATTTTATCTATAAATGTAGATGATTATGCACAATCTAAAATAAAATAATATTAAGACTTTGCTAAATTTTTTTCTAAATTTTAGATTAATGACAGAAGTAATGAACACATGAATTAAATAATATTGGCAAACCATTCCTTAAGGAGAGACCGAGAAGTACCTTTGTTTAGTACTACATGAAAAGCTGACCTAGGTATGGCATATCAAGGCCATTCAACAGAAATTACGTTTCTGCATTAAACAACTAAAATTCTTATTGATGGCAAAATCAAAATTACCACCCACTAGTTTAGTATGGTAGTGGTATGCCCAATCCCGTACCTATGGGTGTCTAATATGGGTGCTCTGCCAATAAATTGCAAATAAAAAACATCCGAAATCAGGTTTTGAGAATAATACCACTGTCCATTAGTCTAGATATGCTCGAGTGACTTTTTAGAGAAAATAAACTGTTGCCTGGTGTTATAAACGAGTATGCAAAAGTTAAAAGCAGAAAGGAGATCAATTCAGTTGACATGATTCCATATCAGTTTCTAGACAAAGAAGAATCATAATTAAAATGCAGGTGTAGAGTTTCAAGTCAAGAAAGTCCATGGAGAAGTTTATAAGAAATATCATAAAATACTCCAGTCTTCTTGGACTAAATGTGACATAAGAAACATCTCTGAACAGCCCCCAATGCATCATTTAATTGTTTCGTGTATGAATTCACATCATCACAAGACAAGAATTGGTCGTATAATGGCCTTATAAAGTGAAAGTAAGCTGTAAGAATTACTGAAAATTATTGTAGGTTTGGTTTGCTTTATTGATTATAGATGTAATATGATTTTTTAAAGTTCATGTCATAATTAAAATGATTTCCAAGATTTTTTATGTCATTTTGTTTAATGTTAAGCCAAAATAATTTAAAATCAATACATAAATAGAATTGAGATGATTAAAAGTAACTAATTTACATTTTTTAAACTTGAGGAAGAATTTATTGTTATGACACTAATGTTCAAGGCTGGAAAAAAAAATTGGTAAATAGTTTGTTTATTTATATGATTGATTCTACAGACATACAGATTTTAAATTGTCAGCTAAGAGTGAAAAATGAATTAATAGAAAACAAGAAATAACACTTACAAAAAGTTTAAACAAGAATGGACCAAGTAGTGAACCTTGAGTTGAGGAACTCCAGAGGGGACAGATTTTTTTTTTGAGTATATATTAATTAATATTGCCCATTAAATAAAACGATTTCAAAAGAGATCCTTTAATAGAATACAATCAATTCATTTTCATATAATTTTCACTCAGCACGCAACTTTTACAAATGTAATTTTTCACTTTTACCTTGGCCACTTGAATGATTTCTGATGTTTGTAGCTTCTCTTATTTATTTTTATGGTTTGAAATGTTTCCATTACTTAAATCAATTGCAATTAGTGTTCATCGTACTCGCTTCTTAGAAGGAACATTTCGTCGGCGAAACCCGAAAAAATAGAAAAATACGAGACTTATTGAACCAAGAAAAAAGTGCTGCCGCCATGTTGTTAAGATTGCAGGGGAAAAAATCGCCATTCAAATTTCAGGTCATTTAACGTCAACTTCACAAGACAAATGGTCCTATCCACGTTCTTTTTTAAAATAATTAACACAGTTTTATTTTCTATAACAATTATCCTTCTTTCTCAATCCTAACCAATTGAAAGACCATTGGGTATCCATAACCACTTTACATCGCATATTGGGTTTTTCTTGCAATTTACATTTGTTTGTTTAATTTAATGGAAATAAATTTTAAACGGGCGTAAATAACTGATTGTGGAGGAATTCCTGTAGATTGCTAGTTTGTCAAACCCTCCGCTTCCTTTTACCCGATATTTTGCGTTTAGAAACTAAAAACACACCCTGAAGTTGGAAGCATTATCCATGAATCGATTACCGTGTAATGTATTTAATTACTAAGTTAATATTGAAATCTAGCAAAATCAGGGAGTCAGCAAGAACAGAACCACCAGAAAAATTGAATATTCCTATATTTTTCATCAAAATATAACTTGATTCGTTTGTCTATGATTAAAATCTAAAAAACAAGATTTTCGCAAATTTATCTAATCCATCTGGGAAATAGTGAATGATTGTGCGTGGGTATCGATTTGGTTCATAGATTTTGAAGTTGGCTAAACTTGTGTGTTCAATTGTCACTAACACTGCATCTAGGCAAGGTCTTGAAGAAGAATGCAAATTCAATTGTTACTGCATGGCTTTCGACCGATTTTAAGTCCTTGGCAATGTGAGGGACTGAGTCGGTCTTCAAGGAAATTTGAGATCGCCTGTAAAAAAACTTAAATATGTAAATCTGTAGATATAACTAAGGTTATTTTACCCTTATAATGACGTTAAAATAGGTCAACGCTTGGCAGTAACAACTGAATTTGCTTTCTTTTTCAAGACCATACCTTGATCTAGTGTTCGTGAGTGAAAAGTTGGTCGATACTTTCCAATACTGAAAACAGTGTCCAATTTTGGTATATAGAAAATTTACACTTTTCAAAGTGAAAAGTCAAGTTTTCTTCGTCAAAATTTAATAATTCGATTTGTTATCATGATAAAAATATTTTCAAAAATTGTTTTCGCTAGATTTATCTAATTCATCTTCGAATGGTAGTGAATAATTATTACCTAGGTATCGATTTGGCTGATAGATTTTGATGTTGGCTAATCTTGGCATCTAGAAAATCTTTACTTTCCAAAGTATAAAAAATATCTTTTCATGCAATACAGTAATTAATTCACGAGAAAATTTGAAAATCCCACCTTATTTAGTAAAATTAGATAATTCCATTCATTTGTTTATTATTGAAATTGAAAATTCCAAACTTCTTCAGCAAAATTATGTAATTCGATCGATTTGCCTATGATTAAAATGCTTTGAAAAACTTTTATATTTTTGCAAAATTATGAATTCATTTTGGTGATATGTGGTGATAATGCAAGTGTCAATTTGGCTGTTAGATTTTGCTGTTGCTAGAGCATCCAATTTAGGTATAAAATCATATTCTTACCGAGTTGAAGCTTGCTATGCAATACCGTAAAAAACCGGTAAAATTGAAATTTCCAACATTCTTTATCAAAATATTTATAACTCGATAGATTATCTATGATAATGATAGGTGAATAGTTGTAACCCAGGTTCGATTTGGCTGTTAGAATTTGCTGTTGGCCGAATGTCAAATTTTGGTATATGCATTCAAAATCCTACTTTCCAAGTCGGAGTTTGCTATGCAATATTATAAAAAACACCAATAGAATTGAAAATTCCAACATTCTTTATCAAAATATTTATAACTCGATATGTTTTTTATTATAATGATGAGTGAATAGTAGCAACACAGGTTCGATTTGGCTGTTGGCTGAGTATCCAATTTTGATATATACAAAATCATATACTTTCCAAGTCGAAGATTGCTCTGTAATTGGTACCGTAGTAAAATCACCAGAGATGGAAAATTCTATCCTTCTTCAATATACTTTCAAAATTGTATAGTAATAACGTCATACTATGGTTAAAAAAGATTTTTGCAAGATTATGAAATTTTGATTGAATATAAAAAATATATTTTGCATTGTATCAATTCACTTTTTTCCACATACTACATGTATTTGTTAAATTTAAACAATATTTGTAAATCCCAGGCCCTGAAGATGATCTCAATAAAGATCGAAACGTTGGCATGATAAAGAAAATGTTTTTCTGAAACCTAATCACACCAGACCGCATCTCACGATTTCTGAATAATCATCGATTAACGGTCACTAATCACCACACATTATGAAATTTGTTAATAAATGAAAAAGTGTGACCGAAATGTTATAAAGTTTTTCAATGGCCACAGGTGTATGGTACAAATCTGTCGATACAATCAAGATGTAAGATCAAATTTTGCTGAATATTGACCCATAAGCAGTATGTACCAATATTTTGATGTTGTGTGTGAGCGTGAAATTATGAGTGTGAGAAAAGGCGTTGCCCCGAAAGGGAACTCAGCCCGGTTTTGGGATGCATCTGCATTCTCGCAGACGCCGGCCAGACTCAGGAATTTCAGGTCATTCGATGCATCGATTGCTTCCCATTCGATACATTTCAGGTAGAAGCGAACGGGAACGAACCCAGTCCCCTCCACTTCACGTTCACGTTCGCGTTCACCCCTAGCATAGTCGCTCATTCCGTTCTCAGTCGTTGCGGTGCCCTCTTCTGTTCGTCCTTCTTTTATTTTTTTGTTTTGTCGTTTTCGCCCTCCAATCCGTTTCTGGGGTTGGAGTGATGCCTCCAAGCCGTTCTTTTCAAGTGTCGTCTTCCTCTGTTGTGTTGTACCAGTTTTTCGACGCGTTTTCAATTTGATTTAATATATATAAATTCTTATATATATATTAAAAAAATTAATTTAATTCTTTTTAATCTTATTGGTTAATAGCAAATATTTTTTTTTAAATTGGATAAAATGTCTTGCGGAAAATTCTTACTGTTCACCGTCGCGACAGCATGCTGCCTGTGTTCGGTCCTTTGTGAGACTGTCAACTGTGATAACGTCAAGTACACCCTTGCAGAAAAAGGTCTAGGAACGGACGTTCCCAAGGATCTCAATGGTGAGTACCAAATCAATTTTTTACTTGCACATATATAGATTTAAAAAGTCACTGGACTTGTTGATCACTTGAACATAGCCGTTATAAACCGGCATGAAAAATTCCTGATCTTTTCAACTTCGAAGTTCTCTGGTTCGAAGTCCCCTAAGCACTTCACAATAGACTCACTCAATTTATAAAAAAAAAATCTTTTCGAAATTTTTCAACGACCTAAATAAAAAGAAATTTTCTGTTTTCCAGATATTCATACCTTAGTGACATTTAAAATATAAGCTATTTTGTATTTCTTTCTGTGATTTTATATATACTAGGACGTTTGTAAATTAGAATGAAGACTGAAGACTGATTTCTATATTTAATTTGATTAATAAAATATTAATATTGTTAAAAAAACATCAAGCACAAAATTTTTTCATAGACACCCACAGAAAATGATCAAAAATCTTATTGTTCACCAATAATTAAATTGGATACTGACAGTATTTCAACAACTAATTAAATATTAACAACATTAACAAAAAAATATATTTCTAACTTTTTTGGAGCAGCTATTGGACTTCATTGTGCTACCTGGAGTGAAAGGAACGGGCACAAGCGGGATTAAACGGATCCTTCGGGTGGAATAAAAGAAATTACGGTCCTGTCATTTATTCATTTCCAGTCGATTTATCACGACGATTGTTCAATTTTAATTGTGTTTATAATTAATTATTTCCTTCAATGGTTGTTCTTTTTAAGAACTGTAAGCCTATAAGGATAACAAATGAATTTACAGGTACATTATATTGATAATTGAATAAGCCTTTTAGTTTAGATTTTTTTTTACAAACAAAAATTAAGATTCATTTAACAGTTGAATTTGCCCTACAGAGATCTGCCAAATGAAAAACGCCAGTATTTGATAAAAACGTAACAATATTTCTATATGTGTAGAGATTAGTGACCATTAATCGATAGTTATTCAGATATCGTGAGATGCAGTCGGGAGAAATGTAGGTTTCAGAAAAACATTTTCTTTATCGTGCCAACATTTCGATCTTTTATTGAGATCATCTTCAGGGCCTGGGATTTACAAACAATGTTTACATTTAACAAATACATTTAGGATGTGGATAAGTGAATTTATACAATGCAAAATATATTTTATATTCAAACAAAGTATTTGTACTGTTTGAATATAAAATATATTTTGCATTGTATAAATTCACTTATCCACATCCTAAATGTATTTGTTAAATGTAAACATTGTTTGTAAATCCCAGGCCCTGAAGATGATCTCAATAAAAGATCGAAACGTTGGCACGATAAAGAAAATGTTTTTCTGAAACCTACATCACTCCCGACCGCATCTCACGATATCTGAATAAATATTTCTATAAATTAAAGTCTAAATTTTGAATTTCCCAATGAAAATAGATCGTAAGGAGATATTTTATACAACCAATGAATTTACAAAATTTGATTTTATAAAAACTTTCAAATTTGCCTGCATTTGTTGTTTGGAAACAACTCTGCTTAGTCGTTACAGAAAGATGTTTTGACTGCCTCAAAAACCGCATACAAATCGATACAGGGCTGTTAAAAAAAGAATATTAAACTTGAATTAGAGGTTTTGACTCAGTTTTTTAAATTCATTTTATGGTTCCTTGGTAGGACACAATGCAGGCATGGTTGAGCATCACGCAACGGTTTACAGCGAATCATTAAACCCACCCCCTTTAAAAACGCGACGTTAGGTTGAAGAAAAAGACCCACTTTCACATAAAGTTCAAAAGTTGAGGCAGTTGAAGCACTTGGCGAAATCATTTGTGTATAAATTCTCTCAAGCGAGTCCAGGCCGCATTGATTAACGGTCCATCGTTTAAAAATATTGACTCAGACCACTTAATAAAACCGCTTGTCTTGTGCTTTGACACTTGATGGTCAAATTGCTGGGCGAATTTTCATCCAAGAGACAACGAAAAGAGATGGCTGAAACGCTTTTGTTTCGTAAGACCGATAATGATTTGCACGAGAATAAGCGGTCAAATCCCAGGAGCATTGGAAGATTCACCGGTTTGATCGAAATTGTTCATCCTTGATCCCATCGGCCTGTTAATTATGGAAATTGTCCATTCCCGTTTCTCTCCCATGAGAATGGAAAGGTGGTAAAACGATACCTGGATGAGCAGAGATCAATTTCGGCCATAACTCTTTGGAAAGTTCAGTGTTTCGTGTAAATTACACTCGACGCTAAGATCGAAATTGTTTGTGAGAGCAGGAGGCAAAAATCAACCGCTTAGGAGAAACGGAAGAAAAAATATTCTGGAATAAATTGGACCAAAATTGTTACTAGTCGTAATACTTTCAAATCTACAGACTCTTATTATATTACATTTATTTCTTTATTTCCATTTTTATTTAATTAGGAAGGGTGAGTTTAGTTATGTACAAGCACGATTATTCTATTTTTTATACATTATGCCTGAAGTACGATTAAAACAATCCCTAGTAAAAATTCCGGCTGTTCTTCCGATATGTGATGTCGTTCATAATGTAACATTTTTATTACTTTTAACTTTAAAATGAATTTTTTATCTATTTGTATCCCTTGGTATAGTGGGAAGTTTCAGGCGTAAAATTAAGATCAGGTATCATTTTGGTACGTTATGACTGAAGTAAGGTAAACCGTCCTTAGGCTGTTACGTTTTGTTTGAAACTTAACGTTTAATTGCTATTAAATCTGAAAGACTTAATTGTTAATATTAATCTTTGATTGATCTACCCTTGGCGTTTCAATTGGAAAGACACTTCTGGTATAAAACGCGAGATTAGGCGGACTATTTTGATGCATTACGGATGGAGTAAGATAAACCATCCTTAGGCTTATACGTTTTGCTTGAAATTTAACATTTATTTGCTAGTAAATCTGAAAGAGTTAAATGTCAATATTAATTTTTGATTGATTTACCCTTGGTAAATTGGAAGGAGATTTCTGTTGTAAAAGCGAGATTAGGCGGACCATTTATGGCCGAAATAAGATCAATCGTCCTTAGGCTACTCCTTTTCGTTCTCAATTTCAAATTTCACCGTTTCTAATTCTGAAAGACTTAATTATCAATATTAATCTTTGATTGATCTACCCTTGATGTTTCAATTCAAGGGGAATATCAGGCGTAAGAGCGAGACTAAGCGAACCACGATTAACTTTTAACAGATAACCCTCTCGACCGGTTCATCCGCGATTTAACAATTTACCAAAGCAATTCGTCGAAATTCCCTCTTCATATTGTCGGGAGTGAGGCCGCACAGGCATGTTTTAGGGCGGGACGACCTCTGAGGGGTAGTTTCGGTGAGGTCCATTGTCCGATCTATTGTACCTTCCTCTCACTAAACTGTCACTCTTCTCCCCTTCATTGAATCCCTGGCAAATTACATGTGGGTCTTAGCACATGCCGGCATACCAGAGGGCAAAGCTACCCCCCAAATCGAATACCAATTAAAGTGAAATAAAATTACGCCTAAAAGAAGGTCTAGTATTATTATTTTTCCAATGGTATTCCTTTTAGTTGGGTTGTTTTAAAACTATAGGACCACAGATCAGTTTATGAGTTTTGTGTCTGTTATTTATCGAGCGTTGGGTGTTGTTTGTTAATCGTGTCCAGTAGCAGAAGCTCTCTAGTCAGGGTTATAAGCAGGACGAGGCACTTAAGCAAACCCAGCACGGAAGATGGTGAAATGAAACGCGTCTGACAAGCCAATCGATGATCGAAATGCCAAACCTTTTAAAAAGAACTGTAAGATCTACGAAAACAAATTGTACAAAGTTTCTCGTGTAAACCCAATCTCTATTATTAATATAATTAATAATAAGATTATATAAGCTTTCTAAGCCCCAATACGCTTTTGTCATTCTAGAAAAGCGATGCATAATTTGGGTGTATATTGTTTTGACCTATTCTACATGGAAATTCCTATTAATCTTTTCATGAAAATACACTCCAAGATATTTCAATTCGTTTACTTATCGTTTATGGTTTAAGTAGGCCGCCACTCTCCTGCTTATTCTTCTTTTGCTATTCAAAAAGACTATGAATTTCGAGGGGTTGAAATTAATTTTATTTCCACTAGCGCAGTTCTGTACATTTTTCATTATTGTCTCCAGCTTCTGCTTCCAATTGTAATGCTGTTTTGGCTCGTATTAATAACGATGGATCATCAGCAAAAGCTACTACGTTAATATTTGAAGTTGTGTGGATTTTTAATTGCGAGTCGTAGAGTAGGATCCAAAAAAAAAACCCGGACCACAACTAGAACCTTGAGGGCACTCCTTTGAGTAAGTGTGTATGTGTGTGTGTGTGAGAGAGAGAGAGAGAGAGAGAGAGAGAGAGAGAGAGAGAGCATAGAGCCATAGAGCGGTACTCCATATTTAAGAAAGATCGATGTCATATGATGTCTATTCTTCTTTGATATCAATCCCATTCTTTCTATTTCTACCCTCACTCCTGATAAGTTTAGTAGAAAGAGATCCGAAAGCTCTAAACCTAAATCTTTGACCATTTTTTTTTTCGATAGTTCCCAGCCAGATCTCCCTTTGTTTATTGCAATTTCGAACAAGATGTAGCCGTTTAAGTTGTTACAACGTTAGTTTTTTGGTCTTTGTGTAATGTTCTTATATTTTAAAAAATTGTTTCAGACCCCAAATCAATAATTTGATTCTGCATTTTGTATATATTTAATTTAATCTGAGTATTACAGTTGATGACGTATTAAACTTGAAAACCCAAATGGAAAAATCTTAGATATTAGATGTAACCTTATATGTATTATACTGCGCCATTTAAGAGCTGTTGTAATTCGTTCTGTGCTTATAGCAGTCCTACTTCGTCAAGGAACCTAATTACAAGGCAATTCAGCCTGCAATTCTTTAATTTCTTTTAAGGTTATATTATACACCCCAAAATACTTCATACTGCCGGCAAGTGTGGCACCACAGTTAGCAGGTGTGTTGATGTTTCATC